GATGATAATTTATGATAATTTAGACTCGATAATCAACAAGTCAGCCTATCGCCTGCCAGACCCATCGGACGCCTTAAGGGATATGCGTCAAACTCCACATTCCTGCAGTGGGGCTGGCCGCAGCACGGGAGACCGTAGTATTGGGAATAGGTCTTTCAGTTTTCAAGTCTGGAGTTCTTGGATCGGTTTAACCTTGACGAATGGGGAAAGCAACGCGACAAGTGCATATACGTACATGGTTAGTTTAGTGTCTTATTACAGAGCCATTTTGTAGATACTATTTTCGGACGGACATGCATGGGAAATACTCGGTCGAGCTCGGTCGAAGTCTGGTTGGATTTCGGCTTTTGGACTTCTTTTGGGGGCTGGTCCAGATCGTTCAATTCATTCCGGGGTACCACGCAGTGTGTTTGACAGTGCGTGGCACTAATTGGGTATGCATACGGTATTGTTGTGCTATATGAGCCTCCAATGGATATTTGAGGCAACGGAGTATTCATTGGAGGATTGACGATTTAGGCTCGGGTTCTTCCCGGGCAAAGGGAGAACGTGCGTTAATAATGTTTACCTGACATGTTTGGACTAAAATAATATTCTTATTTCCAGTTCCAAGCCTTGATAAGCTCTTCGTATTGCAAGCAAAGGCTTGTCTTGCTCTTAGTTTATTTTAGTTTCTAAATTCTGGCTTGAATGTCCCACCGGAGGCCCGGAAGTCGTTTTATATTGTGGATTGAAAGCGGCAGGTAGTCTGCTCTCAATTTGCCCACGCGGCTTTAAAAGCTCATTGGATGTGCTTTTAGAAGTAAAAAAAAAAAAAAAAAAAAAAAAAAAAAGGAACTCGGTTAATATAGCTCGATTGGAGAAGGGAAGAGAAACCTGCTTTAGTCGTGTTGTCAGGAGTTCACCTTCGTAGACCACAGACCACAGATGATGGAATGTCGGATCGAAGTCCCCCGAAGGAGAATCCATATTTTCTTTCCTTTCTTGAGTCATCCTTTGACTTTCATAATAATATCGCTCCCCGACAATTGGTTACCCTTCCTCTTGGTTTCACGGATTTCTGATAATGTGACACCCCAGAATGTTGATCTTAGGACAGTGCCGTCCGGAGGCGGAAATCTGTCCGGAATCGGGACTCTTCCGAGCTACAGGAATATCAAAGCAAATAAAGTCTTTGTAACCAGGAGTGATAGGTGAGTAGGGTTATTGTTCTTCATCTATTAAGGTTTGAGGGAGGCAAAATAAACAGCAAAAGAAACAGCACCCACCTATCGTCTACACCAGGACCATAGTAGGCAAACATCCTTCCAATTCCCCCGTGTAATGTCTAGCATACTAGGAGAATCGTCACACTTTCAGGCTGATTGTCAAGGCCTATTACCCAGTGCCAAGATGTAAGATTATGCAGGGACATTAAAGTTAAAGATCTCACTATTCTTCTATGGATCTGTACATTGTCTCGTATTCTTATAGATATAGGCTTGAAGGAGGAAGGATGATTACAAGGGTTGGCTGGAAAGCGATAAACCACTGTTTGAGAAACTAATATAGCAACGTGATCAACGATATATGACCGGAGGTTGGCATGCTCCGGGGCAAGGAACTAAGCGCCGGAGGCTCATGAAGAAAAAGAAAAAAAAGAAAAACCTAGCAACCCCCAGCAACTGAAACCACTAAGTGTTTGAACAAAATAGGGAAAACGAAGAAGAGAGGAGCGTGGCAATATACAATCCCCCTTATTCAACTACGGAGTAGATCAACCCATAACCAAAACCAAAACCAACGCAAACCATGCACCCATCAGCCAAGACCCACTATAACAGCTCATCAACAGCACCACCCAATCCTTGGGAATCACACGCGTCGCCATCAACCGCCCTTGCCTATGCCATATGCCCCATACATATGCCCCATACATATGCCCCGTACATATGCCCCGTACATATGCCATGTGACAGTTCCAGCGTTACACCAGTATCTCGGCATTTTCATAGGAGGAACCAAGTCGAATGTATTGTCTACGCGCCCAACCCCAATAATTTGACCAGGGTGGGCTTGCATATACATATACGCTAACCGTTATACGCGGACACGCTAAATCCCCAAGGATTTCCAGGTGGACCGCTCACCCGCCGTTCCGCCAGTCCGCCGGCCCAGTGCACTAGACTTAATGTGGATTTCTTTGTATACCGAATTTGGATTGCAAATCATGCCCCCTGTACTTTTTTGATGATAAATTATGAGTGATTATGAGTAATTAACCCACAAATCAGATTGATAAGTGGGAAAGCACGGAGTAAGGCCCGGCCGGATACGAGATTGTTGTCATCGGTGGCACGGACATGGTACATCCTTGACATCCTTGACATCGGCCTCGCCGATGTGTCAAGGGCTTGCATAGGAACCGATGAGTACGCTAACGCATGAATGGACTCGTGGACTTGCTGCATAGGATTTGTAATGTTTGAGTTTGTAATTTCCAATCATATAGGGTTGCGTCGGGGACGCCGGTGTATACGAGCTCGTTGGGCAACGTTCACCTGCAGTTGGAGCCTCAAAGATGGTGGGGGTTCAGCCTTTTCTTGCAGATCAGTAGTGAATTGTGGTACTCCGTACCTGAGGCTCTGTTGTTCTTATGGTGATTTGTCTTTGGATGTGTGGAGGTGGCTAGGTGGGCCCTTGAATGTTGGCTCATCTGGGACCTATGGAAAGTGTGAAGCGGGAACAAAGATAGTATAGCAAGCAATATGTACTACTATCACGTTCCATTTAAAAAAAAAAAAAAAAAAGTAATGTGCTGAGTCTACGGACAAAAAAAATAGGAAGAATAAAACAATGAATGGGGACAAATCGATACTGGTAATCGAAACAAGAGGATCATGGAAGAAGGCCAGGGAAGATGCACGCAGACAGAATAAAAACCCAATAGATTAGAAGAAGAAAAAAAAAACCGAATCCCATTCAAAGCAGCAAGTAAACCAAGCTCAAACATCTGTCATCATTGTCATCAATTCCTGGATCAATCATTCCACAGTCAAGGGCATGGCACAGATCCTCCTCTGATACGGTAGACTCAATCTTGGAAACAACCACGAATGCAAGTTTTTTTTTTATCCTTTCATCTACCGTGCACATCCATCGGATCTGTGGAGACTAAGGCGCCAAGGTTTGGTCGCCGGCGCCGCATCGGGGCTTTCTTGCGGTTCGCAATGGCAGCGTCTTGCAATTGTTCGGGGTTCATCTCAGTATCGCCGTCCTTATCGTCGCGTGCCTCCTGTGGAGACACCCCGTGCTCGTGATTCCACGCCTCGTCGAGCTCGACAACGTTTTTGGGTTTCATGCGCAGCCATTTCATGCGCGGGCCGACACGCGAGACCTCGGAGACCTTGAAGCCATAGATTCTGGGGTCATAGATCTTGCCCTTGCCGAGTCCCGGGCAGAGGTTGGGTGTCCGGACACCGTTGATTTCTAGCGGCTGGTTTTCGGGGGTGGGCGACTGTGCCTGACGACCTGCCGAGGTGCGTGTTAGGGAGCCAGTGCGAGACTGCGTTGATGCGCCCCGTGGCGACATCATCGACAATGCCGCATCCAGACGGGGCCCGATATCCAGGTCTGGGAATGTCATGAAGAACAGACATCCGAACGTTGTACCGAAGAATGCGCCATCGACGGAGTGGAAACGGCTGTTGGGGGGTGTATAAATATCCATGCAACCAGGGCAGAAAAGCTTAACCGTTTCGTGGCCAGGGGTATCGGACCGGCCTACGGGCAGAACTTTACATCCGTTGCAGTTCACTCGCGGACAGGTGCCGAAATGCTGCATCTCGTACTTTTCGAGCATTTGTTGGATGCCGGGTCGCGAGGTGATATACCGTTGGTGGATCAACCCATACAGGAGCTCAGCGGAGCTCTCGATCACGCTCAAATCGCTTGCGACCCGGGCGTGTCGCCGATCGCCTGCTCTTCTGTATGCAGGTTGATCACCGAGCGCATCGTCTTCATCTTCCTCCTCCTCCTCTTCCTCCTCCTCTTCCTCGTCATCCTCCGGCTCCACATCCAGGATCATCTCTAGTGCCTCCTTGTACATCGGCACCTGCGACTGAAGGCCAGTCAAATTGAAGTCATCCTCGATGAAGTCCTCCGATACCTCTGCGAAAAACTCATGGCCCATCAACGAACAAAACGAGGAAATCCAGGACTCTGGCGCTCCTTCCGAGGATGACATGTCGAACGAGGCGGACACAGATGACGATAGGGTCGATTCAGACAGTTGACTCAAATCCAGCCTGTCGAGGCCGTCGGCCAACGCCGAACCTGTCTCTCTCGACACGTTGCCGAGCTGGGGGGTGAGGTCTTCGGGGATGTTGGCGAAGACGAAGTGATTTCGTCACGCGGAGGAGCTGGATCGTGGCGGGGAAGGGTATAGGAGTTGGGAGAGCGAGAATGAAAGACTTCGGGTATAATCGTAGGATATCTTGCAGTTGATGGAGGGGTCGAAAAGCTAGACGTTCATGGCAATGTGCGTGCGTGCGGGAGGGGGGAGATTGTGCGATCAACGGGAAGAGGTTGGATCTAAAGCTGAACCCCACCAATATCTTATCAGTTTCTTATGGTCTTCATATTGTAATTTATCAGATCACTTACCAGATCTCAAAGACAGTCGGAGATTAATATTGGTGACTCGAGCCTGGAGGTTGGGTGTGTTAGTCGAATCGGGTTAGGCCCGTTCGGTTGGCGGGGGCGGTGGGCAGTTAGAGAGAGAGGCGCCTTCAAGGGCTGTTCACGTTTTGTGACAGCTCTTGTGTGTCTGTTGTTTTCCACGATGGGAAAAGTGAAGTCAATGTTGGCAGATTTCGATTTGCCCGGGAGGCAGGAGTCACGTGCGATCTGACGTGGGGGATATAGCCCTGGAGACATATTCATATTAAGACTCAGCCAACTAACTTTACATTGGTTTTGTTACTACGTAGCTAAACTATCAAGGGGTATTGACTGAAATATCAAAACAAGTCCCGAATGACTCGAGCAAACTCTCCCTCATCACCCAGAACCCCCGATAAACCTTCACCGGTGTTCGGAATTTCCCCATCCGGCCCAACGAAGCCGCCAATACCATCACTAGAAGTGTTAGGCATGAAATTACCAAAAGCGCCAACAGCCTCAAACAGATTTGTCAACTCTTGACTCATTTGGACTCCATTGAGAGGACTATTTCCAAGTTCGTTCCCACCGTTCATGGACCCGTACATAGACAGGTCCTGGATTGGATGCCCCGCGAGTCCAGCCATGGCTACCGCAGCGCTTGAATGAGCATCACTTGAATCCGGTCCAAAAGGACGGGCGAGAACGCCAAGTTTCTCCCCGATCTTGCGTAAACCTTTGATTGTCTTCCATAACCGCTTGGAGACGTAGGACTTGGTACTGAACCCGTTGACCAGGTCGAGCGCCATGTAGAATTCATCACGGACCTGTCGGTTGAATTCGACTGGGGCATGGGACACTGCTAGGAACAGCACCGCCAATGCAGCAACCAGGAAATAGTTGAACGTTATTTGCTGTGTCCGGTAGATATCGGACATCTGGTTCAGGCGAGTGAGGACACGGACCGAGTCTTTGGCTACCTCCACAACAGTCTGGGCATGGCCTCGATCTTCGGCAATACTGGCAGCAGAATGGAGCACGGGGCGATAGATCAGGATGCGCAGCTGGTTCATCCGTAGGTACAAGAGAACCCTAAGTCGCCTCATGCCTCTGCTCACGTTTTCGCCGTTTTTGGGGGAATCGACGGGATAGAACTTGAGCTCGTCTGGAACTTGCTTGTACCACTGGAGGATTTGATAATCCAGATATCCGATCTCATCACGACGGATATCAGTGGTGCCTTCGGATCCCAAACCAGAGTACCAGATCTTAGAGCTGATCCGGTTATATAGAACCATGCAGCGCAAGTAAGGCAGCGATGCATCCTGTAATTTTCACACGTTAGTTAATTAAGGTAACCGTGTGGCAAGAGGTATCGAGGCTTACAGGTTCTGGTAAGTTCGGATCAATATCCTCGTCTTGAATCACGAAAGGTAATCCCGTCCCTAAACTCCATCGTCTGTCCAAGCTGTAGACTGACCAGAATAGCTGAGTGATCTCGTTCCACTGCTGCTCAACTGGGAATGATTTCACCATAGCATCCCGACGATGCAATCCCATCTCTAAGCACATCCGTGCCGCCAATCCAATAAGTCGATAAGCCATGGCATCATCGTCTGTATGGTAATGGTATGTAGCCTGGAGTGGGAAACAGAGTTAGACTTGTTGACTGCGGCTTTTGAAGAGACATCGGCTTACCACAATAGCAAAGAGCTGAATAGTTTTGATGGTATGAGACTCCCACAACTTCGATTCTACAAATGGCTTAACATCCAAGTAGAGCCGGTGCCCAAGTTCACTTTGACCGCCCCCCTCCACGACCAGCGTGGTGGCGAGAATCAACTTCAAAATTATTGAGCTTTCGTCGTGAAGACCATCAGAGCCCGGAAACCCCCGTTGTGCAAAGCCTGTCCTGGTAGCAGCCTCTATGAACGTGTAGAGCAGATTAGCCTGGCTGATAACCTTGGCGATATCCACCACAGGATACATAATCCCAATCTCTTCCTCGTAAACCTTACAAAGACGCATTGCCTCTTCGCGCGAGATTGTCCATATTGGATCCTTGGTAGGGTGTGTGGTTTGAAGAATCTGTCCCAGGTGGGGAGGAGGTGAGCCTGTTGGAGAAACATGTGCGGTGGTCAAGTCGTCTGGGATTGCGTCTTCCGCTGGTGTGATACCCATATTTTGCAAGCTAGATTTGGCCACGTCAAAGTTGAAGGCCGAGCTTGTTGGACCATGAAAGCGTGGGTGGCGGGCTCGTGGCTTCGCTAGCCCGGCTTGAATTGGAGTGTAGACCGATTGAGACCCGTCGCGAGAGAGGTGTTCAAACCCTGGTGAATCAAAGGTTGGTCTTTGGGTACGAAGGTCATTGAGATTGGTGAACAAGCTGTTGACTTGGTCTTGTAAAGTAGTGATCTGTTCTGTCATTGACCGGAACTCACTAGACTGGTTATTAGTACTAAACGCTGGACGGATTTTTATTCTATGACTTACTCCGAGTCTTTGAAGTTGTTATTACAACAATTAGGTGCATAGCGACCTGGCGAGTAGGTTAGCGCCCGATGCCGAGGATCGAACAGCTCGGACACGCTGCGAGCCGTCAAGAGAGTAAAGAGACACTTACATTCTAGATTCAGGTGACCACACCGTTGACAAGGCATCTGGCCATTGCACTTGATCTTGCGCCGCTTGCATTCATTGCTGAAAATTCCATGGTTAGTTCAGCTCTGCCAACAAAGGTACCAAAAGGAGAAGGCAGAATCATATGACTTTGGATGCAACATAGCCTACCCGACCAGTCGTAAGGCTGGAGGCTGAAGCGAGGTAACGGAAAGGGTAAAAGTGCCGGGTCAGGTCATATCATACCATGCAATGGAAATGTAGCGATTCCGCTTTGTGCGCGCCTGCGTTCCGTTGCCTTGTTCCGCCTTTCTCTTGTTGGAATCAGACGCACCGATGGACTGATCGCGAGGATCCGTTTGCGGCGGTGATATTTCCACTTGAGGTGACTCTGAAGCCATGGCCTGCAGAATATTGAAGCGACTCAATGAGCAGCCGGAGAGAGATACCAGTGTTTGAAGTGCGGAGAAATTCCTCTCTCGCGGGGTTTCCCCAGATTTAGCTTACTCATCGGATTACCCGGCCGGTCATTGGCCTCGGGGCATATTTATGCTTGGAAAATATAACAATATACTGGTGTCCAAGAGTCATAAATTTGTTAATTGCATATAATCAATTCCAAAAATATGCAAGGCTCAAATAAACCCAAATGAAAAGATATCAACGCCGCAATTGCCAAACCGCTGAGACCAGCCACTCTTTCCCAGCCAGCAATGACTGCACCAACTGAGCCTTCTGCTGAGGATTTTGGCGCAGGAATCCAAAGCCTGCGATGAAGCCAAGGATAACAGAACCCTGGAGAGCTTTCCGAAGATCTCGCAATACCCGTCCCTTTCTCGTGAGTTTCGCAGTCCAATGCCGCCACACGGGGAACGTGCAACGCAGCCAATAGTGAATCTGAGTGAATCTGTATACTATGTCAGTAACAACCAGAAACTAGCAAGCAAGAGACATACGGATATGTGGTTGAATTCCAACCATCGGCAGTGATATACCAGCTAGAGCAAGCCCCACGACGGAACACACTCTTCTGAAGCGCATCCTGCACCTGCCGAGTCCATTCACGCTCAGCACCCTCCGTGACTTCATACGAGCTGACGTGACCACTCAAGATCGGCTTGATGAATTTCAACGAGTAGTTTACCGCATTCTCCGTTGCGAAAATAACACTGGTATGCCCTGTTGCCGTATTCGGGCCGAAAAGAATAAAGAAGTTCGGGAAAGAATCCATTGCGATGCCCTGGTATGCCTGGGCACCTCCACGTTCCGCCCAGACCTCTTCAAGATCCTTGCCCTCCCTGCCAATCACCTTCAGTGGGTGCAGCCATTGGTTGGTTTCGAACCCGTTAGCCATGATGATCACATCGGCGGGAATCTCCCTAACCTCAACCGCATCTTCAGACTTGTGGGGTGGATAGTGGCGACCCAGACCAAGAGTCACGCTCTTCGCATTGACCTTCGTCAGAGGCTGGGTAGTCAGCTCCACATTTGGGGCGTTGAGACTGCGATACCAAGTGCCGTCGATGATCCGTCTCTTGCAGCCTAGGCTGTAGTTCGGTGTCAAGATCTCGTGGTATTCCTCCGGCGTAAGTTGGCGCATGTGGTCCAAGAACTTCTTTTCTAGCTGCGGTCGCACTCGTCGACCCCATGCAGTGTCCGCAAACATATCGTAAAAGCCTTTCTCCAGCTTGAAGAAAACAACCCTTCGCACGAACGACGCCAGTCCAGGGACGTAGGTCATCAATCTAGGTGACCATTTCTCGTAAAAGGGGAGATGTTCAGGAGGGATTATATCAGGCTGGACCCACGGAGGAGTTCGCATGAGTTGGGTAATGGATCGAACGTTGGCCTCTGGCTTGGCCAGCTCGGGCACTACCTGCGCGGCGCTGCAGCCGGAACCAACCATGATGACATTCTTGCCCTTCAAATCAATCTGGTCGTTCCAGCGAGCTGTATGCATGATCTCACCTTCGAACTCTTCAATGCCTGGGATGTCCTTCGGCCATGTCTTTGGTTCTACCAGCCCGCCAACACCACTGACGACCACCTTGGCTCGCACAATTTCTGTCTTGACATAGATATTGTGATGGCCATCCTGGGCTGCGATTCGATCTCGTTCGTGCTGAGCTAAATCGCCGGTTCCAGGGACAAGGTGGGAGAGTGTAACCTCCCATTCTTCGTCATCTTCGATCCATCTAAGTTCCTTGACATCGGTATTCAACTGAATCTTGTCCACAATTTGATATCTCTCGCAGACATCAGCCATATACTGTGCAATTTCTGGACCAGATGGATTCAGTGTGGACCAGTCCTTTTTCTGAGCGAACGAGAAGGAGTAGAGTGCCGCTGGTCTTTCCCTCCCGGGTTAGCTATTCAGTAAACAAGCACTAGACTTGGATTCCCTACATGTCACAAGCAACTCCCGGATACCTATTGATCCACCAGGTACCCCCAATTCCGGACTGACGGTCGAATATTCGGAATTGGTCTGTTCCCAGGACGTCTTTGAGACGGCAGCCCATGGCCACCCCCGACTCTCCAGCACCTACTATGAGGACCGGGTAGTAAGTGTGCGCATCTTTGCTGTAGACGTGGCGCTTATGAATTCGGGCAATGGAAGAAGACATGTTGCAGGTGAACACTAATCACAGGCAATGGAGTGACTGTGGAACCTGGGAGGACAAGAGTGAAATAGTTATGTAGGCATCTAACGTGGCACGAAGTGCGAGGGTACTTTGGCTAGAAAATAGCGGGTCACATGGACGACCCTTTTTCTCGCGTTTTCGATGTGTAAGGGTAGAAAGCTGAACAACTGCGGGGGTCCATATTGACCTCGGCCTTCATCGGCTTCATGCATCTTTATTGTGATCGACTCCCTACCTCGCTTGTGATTGGATCATTTTCACTTTGAAGGAGAAATGATGCCCAGGGGAAATCGCTTGTCCTACCGGAACTCTTAGTGGGACAGACTGAGGCACCCGCCAGTCGATGTGCAAGTTTAAGGTCTATAAGTCTATAACTAAGCTCTTTCCTTTTAGCTAATGATTACAAGAATAATCAACCACTTATGCGGCCTTGTATGTTTTTGGATGTTCTTTTTAGATATTCTTTTAGGCTGATACGAAAACTTCATGGAATCTTTTCTATGTAACTATAGTTAGTTAACTAGTTTACCTTTGATGGCACCACTAGGGAGACCCGAATTTCATAAGGTTTATCGCGGAGATCCACTATCTCGGGTCTCCCGAGGTCCGATCTTTAATATCTCTCCAGCTTCCAGCTTCCACCTCTCACGTCGATCTGGATGAAGCTCAAGCCATGGTCGATCCGAGTCTGGACGCGACTCTCTCGTCCATCCCTCTATCATAACCCTCGATTAAGCGTCCGAACCTTTTCCGCTTCTTCACGCTCTCAATACCGACCACTGGACATCCTCGAAAATGCCACCCTGGACACCTTCCGGCAGCGATGCTTCCTCCCCGAACGACCGGCAATCCTCCCGCACTCTACCTTCAAAGACCTTCCCGCCCGGAAACAATGGTTCAAACGCGGGAGCCCCGAGTCAACACCGAACCCCATCACAAGCCTGAACGTGGAATATCTCCATAAACACGGCGCCGATACCTTCGTCCCACTCGAACTCACAGAATCCACATCGACCGACGCTGAATTTAAATCTGAATCCGATGGCGGCACAACAGAAACGCATAGCTTCCGCCAATTCCACGCGCCGCTTACGCTGTTCCTCGACTGGATGCGCACGGCGGAGACCACTCCCCAATCAACGCGGCTCTACCTGGCACAATGCCAGCTCCTGGACCTCCCTCCCGTGCTTCGAGAAGATTTCCCGACACCGGAGCTCGTGGCGCGTGCGGGCAAAGGCGATGTATACGATACGAATATCTGGGTTGGACACCCGCCTACTTACACGCCACTTCACCGCGATCCGAACCCGAACTTGTTTGTCCAGCTGGCTGGGGAGAAGGTTGTGCGACTGCTTGCGCCGGCAGACGGACAGGCTGTGTTTGGGGCCGTGAGGAGGCAGCTGGGGAAGAGTGGGAGTCGAGAGGCAGCGGCTTTCCGGGGCGAGGAGATGATGCAGGGGAGAGAGAGGGCGTTGTTAGATGAGATAGTTTGGCGGACTCCGGTATCTGCTGGTTCGGACGCTGGGGTTGGCTTTGAAGCGTGTCTTGGTCCCGGTGATGGCTTGTTCATTCCTAAGGGATGGTGGCATAGTATTAAGGGTGTTGGTGGGGGTGTTACCGCTTCGGTGAGTATGTTTCTTTTGGGAGGGTTTGTGTCTGTCGCTGATATCCTTGCAGGTCAACTGGTGGTTTCGATAGTCTGACATCTACGCGCCTATATCAATGCGGTACGTCCGCACACAAACTCCGATGCTCGGTCGGCCCTAGCTTGGATGCAATTTGCATATTCTCGGCGACTAGTTGAGCGAAGGCAGAGAATTGGGAGGCACAGGCTTGGAAAGGCTGTAAAAAACACTCCCAGGAAAGTGGGAAACCATACACTTGTTCTCAGACTAGTCGGGCAAGAATAGTCGGTGACGTCTTTTTAGATGTCCTATCAGATATTCTTTTTAGATTTTTTCCCCCTTAGACATTTCCCCCATTATTGGTGTTGTAGCTTATGAAGACGACTTTTCTACGTATAACCAGAGATAATCAGGGAAGTGTGGAATCTAGAAAACGGTCCAATCTCCGCAATCCTTATTTTCCTCCCTCCACCAAGACCACCTAACCTCCCACAAACCCCGAACCATGCAAGTATCGCGCACAGTCTACCGCGCCGCTCTCCTCCACCTATCCGTCAATCCTTTCGTGCGCGCCTCAATCCCAGCTGGTACTACCTTAACATCCCTCAACGCGGCAACCCAAGCACCAAACACCCGGCTCTACAGCATCCTCTTCCCGCAGTGCACAACCACCTTCAAAGCATCCGACTGCACGCGCCAAATACGCACAATGTGTGACTCAAGCTCGAACTCCGACTCCGCAGCCGCTGCATCCTCAAACCCCGCCACCCAAAACGCAGACACCCCAAACAAAGAGACTCAAGAACAAGAACCCAAGAAGAACCTCTACCTCCCCGCCAGCGACCCCTCAAACCCCATCACGAACCAACAAGGGGATGGGGGCATTAAACTCGACATGAGCGGAGGCGGGACGGAGGTCAAATTGGATCACCTGGGTCCGATGGTTGTTAACGTCGATGGGACATTGTCACAGATTGGGAACTGGCAGCAGATGACGGAGATTGAAAAGAATAATACTCTGCGCGTCCTTGGGAAGCGAAACCAAAAGCGATTGGAGGCTTTGAGGGCTAAGGAGAAGGCGGAGGGAGAGTCGGAATAAAAAGATATATCGTGGGGAGCTTGACTTGGCTTTGTGTGTTGACGGGGAGTGAGACTTCTTACGGTTCGCTGTATTTTGATATTGAATATATGTATAATAAAAGGCGTTGTTACATGTCATTGATGTCAAATACGACTAATAATCGCGGCTATTCTTTCAAAAAAGCATTTTCCAATAACTAGTTATATTGGGTATCATAATGATTCTAACGTCATAAACACATGCAGTCTACAGTCCAAAGTAGAGATAAAGCACGAAAAAAACACGTCGGATATCCACAGGCCTGAGGTCACTTGGGCGTATTCTAACCATAGGTAAATCGCAATTATCCAAAGTAGCGATGAAAACCTATCCAAGTCTTATTCAAAGATAATTTGGCACCACTTGTGTACGACAGTCCTATGGGAACTGTTAGAACCGAATCGGGAGGAAAGTAGATGAGAAATTACACTCACTTCGGCGGTATGACCACAAAGTCTCTGGTATACTCCTCGATCTCAGGAACACCAGTGACCAAATCGACCTCCTCAGGCTTAAGTAACTTAGTCCCGTGGAAAAGTTTCCACCCGAAGTAAATAACCGGGAAGACGCCGATCATAGTGTAGGAGAAGAGGAAGGTCGGGATGGACCAGTTGCCGGGAAGGAAGACGGTGTAGCCACCGACGAAAGCCATGGTTGTAGTGCAGATAAAAGCGAAGTAGGCGATGTATGGCTGGAACCAGCTGCGGTATGGCAAGGTTTCCCGGGCAATGCCTTGGGCCGCGAGAGCTTTCTTGAAGCGGATGAAGGTGAAAGTGACGACGGAGAAGTTGATGAGCTGGGAGGCGGTGACCTGGATTTGGGATTAGTTGGCTATAGGGAACAGGAAATTGGGACTGGGGTGAGGGCTCATACTAGATTAACAAACCAGTTTAGCACGACTGATGCACCGTTGGATACCTGCAGGAAACTCAATAGGCCGATGATGAGCACGATGCCGACACAGTAGATGGGAACACCGTTGTTGGTGCACTTGGTAAACAACTTCGGGGCTTTGCCTTCAAGCGCTAGACCGTATAGACTGCGACTGGCACAGTACATGTAACTATTGCCCGCACTGAACGAAGCAGTGAGAATGACAGCATTGACGATGTCTGGCAGAATGGGGATCTTTAGGCGATCCATGGAGATAACATAGGGTGAGGCAGCAGCACCGGGCTTGCCATTGTCGAAGGCATCGGCCATGGTCTTATCATTGTACGGGACCAGAATGCCGACACAGAGAACACCCAGAACGAAGAATGCCGTGAGACGGTAGAAGACACCGTTGAAGGCCTTAGGTAGCACCTTGCGCGGGTTAATGGTCTCACCAGCAGCCATAGAGACATAGTCTGGACCGGCGATGGTGAAACTGGCTGTGATGACAGCCGCAAGTACACCGAGGAACTTGCCGGTATCGCCTGTCTTGTAGTACTCGTTGAAGGCACCTGGTTCGTTCCAGTAGCGGAAGCCAAAACGATCGCCGAGCGGGTTGCCGCCTAGCATGACGATGAATGTATAGAGGATCAGGCCTATGCTCAACAAGACCTTGCCCAGTGAGAGCCAGAACTCTGCTTCGCCGTACCATTTCACAGCAAAGAGATTCAGTATTCTGTTTCCCGTTTATTAGTCAGGATCTTGGGTGCAGATCACAGAAGACGACAAACCCATAGAGTACAATGATAACCACGTTCATGGCTGCGACAGGAATCACATCGGTCCAGTATTTAATGATCAAGCTGACGGCGACAATCTCGAAAGGCACTAGGGCCGCCTCGAAAATAAAGAAGTTGTACCCAGCGGCAACACCCAAAGCTTCATCAACGTAGCGGCCGGCGAATCGGATGAATGGCGAAGAGATAGGCAGGTATGTAACCATTTCAGCCAAGCCTAGAAAATAAAATGTAAGTTGGGTAGTCATACTACGCATCCAGATAGGAAAACAAGACGAGAGGAATGTTGCAGCAATTAGGCGATCGGTCAATGTTAGGACAAGCTGAATCGTTGGTGCATTTGGGATCATATGGGATACGGTTTCGAACATGGAGGAATGCTGCTGGTGGGAAAGATGCAAAGGGCTTGGGAAGCATAGGGGTGTTCGTACAGACGGTGATGATCAAAATCACACAACTCCTAGAGAACAGTATAAGAGTGCGAATCTTCAATGAGATGTAGGCAGGAAACAAGCAAGGGCGATAATAGACTGGGTTGGGTTCTTGGGTGTCCGACTGGCTTTTGGTAGATGCATGGGCAGACGTAGGGCTAATGGTGCTTTGGTCGACATTCATACATCTGTTTGGCATAGAAGTGCCTGGTCTAACAACGTCCTACATCCTTGGGGATCTGAAATTGTGGAGACAGACTTCGAATCCTGGTTCTTGATGTTTTGTTTGGTCGCATGGATCCTTGTTCTTTGCCTTGCTCCTTTTCCTTGACCCATTACCCACTGGCGGATTTCTTTTCCGTTTCTGACATATCCACCTACTTACCGCGCACGTTGATGCTGTACAAAGTAGCAAAGTCGGGACAACCCAGGTCGAGAACCCAATCGAGCCAACAAAACAATATAACAAGGAAAACACTAACCAAAGACTGAATCCAATAAACAAACTGGCGGGGCCACTGGTCCGTAATCCAGATCCGATCTGCACGTACAAGGCTGTGCCAATTGTTCCTCCAATTCCAATCAATTGTACATGACGGGGCTTGAGCTTGCGACGGGTATGGTCGTATGTAGATTCCATTGATCCGCTATCGAGTGATGGCGCGCGATTGGCGCCGGATGTGTCCTTCTCGGTGACTTCCATCTCTTTATTCATCGCAGGTTTCGATTCGAGATCAGAGAGGCGGGTGGGCTCTGCGCTCTGTATGGCGGCGGTCATTGGGGTATGAGAGCCATACCCCGAGTTAGGAGAATGTGACATCTTGGACTTTGTATTTCCAGGAAAGAGCGAAGCAACAGCATAAATAAATACGCAAAGGGGTCCAGACCGAGAATTTTTAAGAAAAAGAAATGCAAGGAGAAAGTCGACAAGGAGATTTTTTTTTTTTCCTAGCTGGGTAGTATTTTCCTGTTTCGCCTTAGTGTGCCAAAATCTTGGGTCTGGACGGCAATAGGCGTAGGCCAAACTAAGTCAAAGAGTAACGCCCCGGTGTCTGATGCTCATCGCTTTTATCCCCACATGGCCCCTCCTAGGGAGAAGGGGGGAGGGGGGAAGATTGGGGCTGATCACTCTTTGTGCCCATTGGATTGAATACTTTGATCTGCATAAGAGGCTCCAAATCAAGAGGCCATTGATTGCAGTGATCACACGATCTAACTGACAATGTTAGAAAGTACAGGCAAAGTATTTTCTGGGTGTTCAGGGAGATAATAATAATCCCCGCGGGTATCCCGTGTGGAGAGAGATAATTGCCGAGGTCCAAGGAGAATGGAGGTTTTCACCTGCAAAACTTCACAATATTGTAGCAAACCAAGCCCCAATTTCGAATATACTAAGTACAGCTGAAATTATATTAAATATGAATCCCTGCAATCAAAACTGTGGTTTAAACACCGCATTTCACTATGCTCATGTTCTTCTTTCCTTGTAGGCACTAGTGCTAGTGTCCCTAGTGCCCTCGAAGTTATTGCCACCCGAGGTTTCAGTCGAGGGTCTCTGTTGTGAGGCTTTTCCGATCCAACTTGGTGGAAAAAAGCTATCGTTGTCTTCAAAATAAAGGTGGTGGATCACATCAGAGTTTGTGGGGGTCCGGCGTTGATTGGGGTCTGGATGCACAGGATGTTCGGTAGCAGAAGTTGGATGTGGATGCGTGTCGGAGAACGACATTTCAAAGAACAGTATTTTATTGTGCAACTGCGTGAGAGTTGTGTTGAAAAAGGTAACCTAACAGTCGCCTGGACCTTTTGAAACTCTTGCAAGGTCAGGTGCACCTGTCGAGGTATATCTTGACGTCATGAGAGTTATTCCCCCATATCAGCCCTCATGTTCTACAAGGCTAACTAGATTGGGGCAAAAAGAGAGGAACTATATATCTACATATATAGGTACCAGTCTTCCCAAATAAGTAATTGTTCACAGTCTTATCACCAACGTATATTCTCTGATTGGGTCAAACCTGTCTATATTGTTCGTACATGGGCAGGGGCCCATCATCATATATATAGAAATCTTAAAATAAGCAAAGATAAGAATATAATCCACCTATAGTGCGTAGAAGAGCAAGTCAAATATAGATCTATACATCGGTAGACTCTACAACATAGTAAGAATAAAAATGGAATAGTCTTAAGTAGAGTGATCAATCAGACAGCCGACAGTAAGCAGCCTTGAAGCGGCTACCGACCTCGGGAAACCCCGCCAAACCCCAAGATGTTTTTTTTCCCCCTCAACTTCACCTCCAACAATCACAATGGTCGAACAAGACGAGTCTAAGCGTTTCACACCCAAGGTGCCAGTCGAGCTCGATCCGCCCAAGGACGACCCCATTTCCGTCGAGGAATTGGCCAAATGCGACGGTATGAGAGTTTACCTGTGCACCCCTCACCGATTCCTTCCCCAATTCCCCATTTCCAATGCGCCCAGTTCAAAGATCATCGCTAATGTTTATTACACAACAGGTTCCGATCCTAGCCGTCCGACTCTGGTCGCCATCAAGGGTGTCGTCTTTGATGTGAGCCGGAATTCGGCTTATGGTGCCTCGGGTTCATATCGAGGTGAGTACAGCACTGTATCAAAATTACAATGAACAATCACACTGACTGTTCTTTCCTCCTAGTCTTCGCCGGCAAGGATGCCTCCCGCGCTCTTGCCTCATCCTCTCTGAAGCCCGAAGACTGTGTACCTGAGTGGTATGACCTCCCGGACAAGGAAAAGACTGTCTTGGATGAGTGGTATACTTTCTTCAGCAAGCGGTATAACATTGTCGGCAAGGTCGAAGGCGCCAAGAACACCTAAGGGCTACATCGCCATGGAGACGCAGCCTTCTCATGGATCGAATGTGCGACATTACCTATATACCCATTATGAGAAATGGATCAACAATCCAGTATTCAAATCTCAAATCATGCTTTTCATTTTCGAAATGGTGGTATCGCGTAGGTACAAAGAACAGTTCTTCCCTCTTGACTGCTGGGATAAATAATGCCTATACATTAAACAAAGTAATATGTAACATTCACGCCTTTAATTCCCCTTGCGGGACTTCCGCTTCATGCGCTTCTGTCCGATAATGCGGTTGCGCTTAGCTGCCTTGTCCTCGTCTTCATTCACCTTCGCATCTTTGGGGCTCTTTCCATTTCCAGTCTTGCCACGCTTCGCGTCCCGGCCATCCCGACTATCTCGTCCATCCTTTCCTTTACCACCACGAGTATCAGAGCGCTTCCTCTTTTGACCCCTCTCTCCGTCACCCTCAGCATCATCTGAGCGCTTGGGCCTGGGCTCGCGGGATTTAGCCTGCAGCTCATTACGGCGCTTAACGACCTGGGCGTTCTCAATGGCAAACTCAACAACGAGGCTCTTCTTCTTGTCCCGGTCATCGGGATCTTGAGCAGAAGGAGGGACTGCCATGGAGTGGCAGTTCAGCCAGCGCAAACTCATCAGCGCGTGACGGTGAGTGAAGAACTCGATGAATCCGTATCCACGACTGCGACCACCTCCAGTCTTCTCGGAAACCTTGGTACCCTCGCGAGTCTCGAAGACGACCTTGGCCTGGCGCACAATACCCATCTTCTTCTGCTTGCGCAGCTGCTCTAGCTCCTTCATAGTATCGCGGGATCGCTGCTGCTCCTCTTTTGAGAGCGGGTGGCGTGCGCCCGCCTTGACATCCTTGGCGAAGTTGACCACAGACTCTCGAGCAAGCTGCTTCAAGTCCTTGGAGTTGATGTGGCGGGGGAGGTTACGAATGGCGAGACGGGTGAGACTGAGGTGGAGAGCTGGGTTCTTCTTGATGAAGGTCTCACGCTGCTTGTAGCTTTCCTCGCGCATCTTGACTTCGGAGGGAGAGAGCTTCTTGTAAAGTGGGGAGTTGGAGGGGATCGTACCCTCGTTGAGGAGGTATAGGCGGCGCTTGTCTGTGTCGCGGACCATACGGCGTGATACTCCCTCCTCTTCCAGCTTGGCGGCTTGGCCCTTGCTCACGGCCCGTGCGACTTGTAGGACGCGGCCTTCCAGGGTGTAGCGGCCGCTGGGGTCGGAGTTTTCATCCTGAAGGACGGAGTGCTTCATAGCAGTGTTTGACTTAGGCTTGTCCTTGTTAGGGGCCATGGCTTCCGCACCTCGGGGGGCTTCGCGAATGCATGTGTTGGCGTCTTCGGGCTTCCAGAAGCAGGCGAATCCAGTGCCTCGAGGGCGCTCGGTCTCGTAGTCAAGGACCACACGTGCGTACCGTAGCGGTCCAAAGTGAGTTTTGAAGTGGTCGTAGAGGGCCTGGTCTGTGGCGGTGAAAGGGAGGTTGCGAATGAAGATTGTGGTGGCATTTCGGTCATCCTCCTCCTCTGCCTCATCATCGTCCAAGTCGTCTAGTTCATCGAGATCGTCCTCCTCATCGTCGTCTTCGTCGGAAGAGGTTTCGTCATCTGAGGGCTCCTCCAGAGCACCCTCGGCATCTTCCATCTCAACATCATCAGACCCCTTCTCTTCTTTCTGCTCCTCCTCCTCCTCCTCCTCCTCGTCGACGTTTTCCTTCTTGGTAGTTTCCCAGACGTCCTTCTCAACAGCCCAATCGACAGCGAGTTGACGTCCATCGATCTCCTTTCCGTTGATCATCTGCATTGCCTTCTCGGCGTTCTTCCTGCCACGCATGGTAATGAAACCAAAACCAGAAAGCTTGCCATTCCTCTTGGGGAGGGTAACAAACTTGACCTTTCCAAAGCTGCGGAACAGAACATTCAGATCCTCGGGCTCCTTAATACTCCATGGCAGATTGCGAACAATCAGCTTAGGTGGTAGGCCCTGCCCTCTCTCCTCTTCCTTCTGCTTCTTGGACTCGCGGGACGCAGCAGTGGGGACACTGCGTCCAATCTTCTCATCGATCTCACGCTTACGAGACTCGGCATAGTCGACGCGAATGATTTTCCCGTCAAACTTGGACCCGTTGAATTCCTTCAGAGCGCTCTCTGCATCCTCGACATCGGCGAATGTAACAAAACCGAATCCTTTGGACACCTTTGTCTCTTTGTCGCTGACAACAACGGCGTGCTTGATAATGTAGGATTGCGAGAAATGTTCTGCTAGGCTCTCTGTCGTGGCTGAGGTAGGTAGTGAGCGGACGAAAAGAGTTCTCTTGTTCTGTGCGGTCGAGGCCTCGGCGGCGGGTGTAGTGGCCTCGGCTTTGATTTCTGTGCTCTCGGCGTCCGAGAGACGTCGTTTCTTGTGTAATTCATCCATGATGGCTTTGTTGCGACAGCGGTTTTTTTTTTCTGCGGTCGAGGAAGAACAAAAAAATTAGCGGCAGAAAATTGAGGCAGACCGACCCAGGCGGTGTGGGTCCCATCCAGATAAGCCATAGTTAGCTTTATCGACTTATCAACTCTCTCCATTGATCGCTCTGCTATTAACAACCTGGGAACAACACATTGGGGGATGAGATGGATTCCCCACGCCCTTCAGACTCCCCAGCTGCAGGTGCACCTTCAAGGCCGAAAGTCCAACAACCTAAACCCCAAGCCCTCGCCAACCGCCCTGGTCCTTCCGCGATTCTGGTGTCTACGCGACAAAAGGGCAACCCAATCCTGACCCACATAAAGCTCATACCCTGGGAGTATGCTGACATCCCCGCGGACTATGTGGTTGGCACCACAACGTGCGCAATGTTCCTCTCCTTGAAATACCATCGCCTACACCCCGAATACATCTACTCCCGAGTGAAACAACTAGCGGGCAAATACAACCTCCGCCTCGTACTAGTGATGGTTGATATACAGAACCACGAAGACAGTCTCAAAGAGCTGTCCAAAACATCAATCATTAACAATTTAACCTTGATATTATGTTGGTCTGCACCAGAGGCTGCGCATTATCTCGAGCTCTTTAAGTCCTCAGAGAACGCACAGCCCACTGCCATTCGAGCCCAACAGGCCCAATCCTATAAAGAGTCGCTGGTGGAGTTTGTCACGGTTCCCAGAAGTATCAACAAGTCTGACGCCGCAAGTTTAATCTCCACCTTCGGCAGCTTGCAAAATGCTATCAATGCACAGCCAGAACAGATCAGCGCCGTGCCGGGCTGGGGAGAGAAAAAGGTCCAGCAATGGTGTCATGCAGTCCGAGAAGATTTCAGAGTCGAGAGCACGAAGAGGGCTTCTGCTCCTGCCGCACAACGCCAGGCTCAACTGCCAACCGTGAATGTGCATGACAGATCTGATCAGAATATGAATGAAGAGGATGAAGAGGAGGCGATTCTCCGTGAAGTTCTAGCGGAAAGCAGGAAAACAGCAGTTGCGCAAACTGTACGGCCTACTGAGCCTCAGGCTGGAGGTCAACCAAGTGAAGAGATGAGTGAAGGTATCGCAGCGGCACTTGCCAGGCTCAGAGACAATGCTGGTTGAGAAACGACGTGACATCCAGTTTTGCCTTCCAAATTCTAGAGATGGGCCTCATTCTCACCTACATGACTGCTGACTACGGCACCTTTTGCAAATGACCATTATCCCAGGACCGGGAGGACGCAAGGACACAATGACATTCGTGCGCATAGCAGTCATAGCTTGAACGAGCTGGGCGATCTCGTGGTCGTGATAAGTTGCCTATGTGCGGGACCTAGATCTAGCCCACGCGAACTGCCCAATCCTACTCATATCCACAGCTAGGTGTATATATTACGTTTCCCGTAAGCTCCTGGGAGCCTGCATTTCTGGTGTGGCTGGGCATAATTCTCTTCAATTCCCAAGAGTTCACCATTGTTGCTCCGTCTGTGACATATAACATATAACTCCGGCATATCTGGGTTTCATGTACATCCTTTCTTTGGGGTTAGCCTAAGATATTTCTCGTCGGGTTCCTCATTGTTTGTGGCTGCCTTCGCTGGTGAGGACTGGTTACCTGTCTTAGACTAGGGTTTCTTTTCGTTCCATTGTGTTTTCCCTATATCCTTAGCCCAATTTGAATTCAAATTCATCTGTTGCTACGGCGGCATTCGAAACACCCTCATTCATACGCCATATTTCCCTCCGTTATAAACTTTCGCCCTGTCTTTTCTAAGGGTTTGGTTATGTTCATCTATGGTATTTTTCTTGACACTTTTCGCTTGTATGGCCACTCGAAGTCTAGGTGATATCTAAATAGCAAAAGAATTGGCTAGTTGGATCCTAGCCTACTGCTGGGCGCGCCCTCTAGGGCAAAACGAAAGCTGACTAACCAGATGCTTATTCATCAGACACGGCGGTCGACGAGGTCGGAGGAGTCCTGGGCTTCATCTCACCACTCGATGATTATGCGTTCACCCCGCTGAGGTGTCTGGGCGCAAGCCAAATCTACAATGCTATCAACATGGCTCGGTCGGACTATTCAAAAAGTCGCTCAAAGGTCATTCTAAGGTCAAAATTAGGATGCAGAACTTGCAAGTAGGTGCTAGCTTCCCTTTTCCATAGACACAGTTTGATATTGAACGTGTCATAGAATTCGACGAGTCAAGTGCGGAGAAGAAAAGCCTAGCTGTGTTCGATGTAGCAGTACAGGTCGCACATGTGACTATGCAGACACACAGTCCTCTTCCCTAATCTCGGTCATCACCAGTCCCTTATCATTATCACCAGACACCAACACGGTATGGCGAGAGCGTCGTGCATTTGCCTACTATTTCGAATGTGCTGCCTCCTCCATTGGTGGTGGATTGGATGTTGATTTCTGGCGCACTGTTGTCCCGCAGGTTTGCCGCTATGAACCTGCTGTATGGGATGCCATCATCACCATTAGTGCCCTATTTGAGCGTCCGCAACAATCTCTGAATCTCATGCTACAACGCCATGATAATCCAGCCTCTCTCACTAAAAACCAACAAGATGCCTTGGGCTGGTACTCGCGCTCGGTATCTGCTGTTCGCCAGCGCATCGAGCAGGGGAGCATAGACGTCTTTGTCGGACTGATTAGTTGTGTGCTTTTCATCTGCATTGAGGCCATCCAGGGAAATGCAGACGGGGCAATGCAGCTTTATCGTCAAGGTGTCCAGCTCATTAACGCTTTGCGTTCCCAAATAGCACCTGCGGCTACGAATAATAAAGCTTCATTACTGGAGGATACTATTATCCCGATCTTCATTCGTTTGGGAACATTCGCTCTTGCCTCCGGTGGGGTTCCCGTGACCGTTTTACTACAAGACACTGAATATGCTTCGGGGGAGCAGTTTGACTCACTCAAGTCTGCTCGAGAGGCGATCGTGCTCTTAGCAATAGATATCCCCTACTTTGAACGCACTTGCTACAAGCACCTACTCCAGGTGCATGTCTCGCATATGCCGGAGGAATTTAATACTAGACTATTCAGTCTAGCGGCCAAGCTGAGGAATTGGCGTACTGCCTTTGATAGGTTGATGACAGTTCTTCGCGCTAAAGACATTTTATCGCTGCAACAGATTGGTACCAGTGCCCTTCTGTTGAGTTATCATGAAATGTTGTATGTCATGCTCGAGACCTGCACATCACTGTCATTTATGCAATTCGACGCTTATCTACCAAACTTCCAAAACATAGTTGAACAATCTGCTATTGCACCTAAAGCCTCGGTGCGATCAGATGGCACTCAACCACCATTTACATTTGACCTTAATATTGGTCTTCCGCTTTGGTTCACCAGTCTTCGATGTCGCGAACCGCATACCCGACGTGCGGCCCTGGCTCTACTTCGTCAAGCGCCCTCGGTACAAGGGTTTTACCAGTGCTCAATATGGGCAGGCGTGGGCCAAATAATCATGGATCTAGAAGAATCACATGCAATGGCAATGAATGCGGCCCATCTTACAGCCAATTTCGATGCATTGGATTCGACAAACGGACCAATTTCCAGCTCCGAAATTGCCGCAAGTTCATGTTCTGCTCATGCGGACATGAGACCGAAAATACCAACAGCATTGCTTATCCCAGAGGAGGCGCGCATTGGACCCATTGCTGCTTTTCGGCCAATGGATGGTTTCCCCCATGGAACCACTGAGGCAGATATCGTGAAGTGGAACCGGGGCCCTGATCAAGTCTTTCTGAGGTTTTCCCGGAGCGAGCGCAGTCTAACTGGCGATCCTTGTCAGATGATGTTCCAATACATTCCTCTTGACTTTTGATCATAGTACCCATTCGTTCAGTGGGAACTGGGTGTGTTATTGATCGATTTGACCCAGAGAGCCCGCGCGTGCAGAGCAACTGGGCTTTAAGATTCTCCAATCTTTCGTACATAATATTATATCTGTTTGTTCCAACTAATTTTCCTAGAGAGGCGGTTGTAAAAAGTGGTACAATTGCCAATTTAAGTATTTTCCTGCAACCTATTTGACATCGGAACTTTCACTATGGTGGTTATAATAATCAAGACTTGACCTTGATAGTGGTTGTGTGTTATGTAGAGCCCAACGGATTCCTTGGAGGCGCGACCTTTATTGACATATGCACATAGCTTTGATCATCTGCATGTTGGCCTATTTTATCATGCCAGTTCCTAGAAAGTACATATACTAGGAACCCATCGTTCCTTCCTTTAGCCATCATATCAGAGTCACATTGTGCGGTAACCACTATCAACGTCACTTGCTTTTGCAAGCAAGCTACCCTACGGTGTACTGAAATAGCTCCAGTTGTTGATTTGTGAGAAGGTTCCAACCATATGGCAAGTCGGGCTAGCAGTCAAATGCTACGGCTCCCTAGTGTGCTGCAAACCTCCACCCTAGGAGAGAGAATTGAAGGGAATATAGGACACCCATCACATACATACGAACAGCTTGGGACTCCCACGTGAGCTTCCACCATATAACCGCATCACCATGTCATCTAGCACATGTGGTTTCTAACGCTATTCAGAACTAACGCTATGCAGATGTCTAGCACTTCGGAACAACATATTCTTACCTCACGTCCTTGTATCGGTGGAAATGTTTGAGTTTAGAACTCAAACTCGTATATGTAACCAATTTGGGATTAATGCGAGTGTATATCTGAGGATTATCAGAGGGAGGAATACGCAGAATCACTCGCACGCCACGCATCACTAACCTCTCACGAGGCTCAATCTTGAGCCTGTGTGGAGGTCTATAGCCCGCTATGAGGACGATATACTCGACATAAGCAGATACCGGTCCTCCAATACGAGCAAACAACACGGCAACAGTACTATCAGGACTACGAGGACGTATAACACAGTCAGTCTGATGGACTAATGCATTTCAACGAGATGGGGAGAGTCTTTCGACCTCCATTTTGCCTTTCCTTTCGATTATTCCCATTCTGCGTGTGCGCTGAAGGCTGGGTGGGCTTCATGGTTTTGGAGGGGTATTCGTTGGTTCATAGCCACTGCATGCTTGATCGGCAAGGATGAATTCGGTCATATGTAGCATACGCTGAAGCCTAATTCTTCGGGCTTTTAGAAAATATCAGATCCCTCGCCTTCAGGGGTGTTTGCTCCTATATTCTACTCTCCTTTTTCTCGACTGAGAGAAGGCCATAATTATTTACCTTTTTCCCTTGCCCTCATTTGTGTTAAAATGAACCGAGTCAACACTTTGTTAGAATTGTGCCTCTGGGAAAGGCTGACTCCACACTTGTTCAGGCGAGCGAACACCCACTCCCATGTCGATCCTTTGAGGAATCCGATGCGTCTGCCTCCAGGCACGACTATGAGCCGCTCTACAAGCCCACAAGATAGCCACACACGCTATAGGTGAAAATACTCCGGCCCGGGCGATACTCGCGGAAGAACATAATTTAGATGTGGATTTTTTGAACAAAGCAAAGCTGTCGGGGAAGAGCTGTAGGCTCGGGGACTCAGGTTGAGAGCTGAAAATCGTCACATATAGACCATGAAGGCGCATAAACAAGTCCAAAACTATATTGACTAGCTTGGGTGATGATCCTCATTCATCTTCGTGTTTGACCTATTGAAAATTGTACTTCGTGAACATCGACAACACGATCGATAGTCTGGCTGATGGGTTAGCTGAAACTCGCCGAAGAAATGACAAAAGGATCGGCTCGTAAGCGAGCAAAAAGAAAAAGAAATATGCCACCCCACCCTCAATTACACGCTATTCAGCAAATGCCTTCATATGCGGGTCTTATCTCACTTGATCTATGTACAACATACGCCTGGCCAACTTCGGGCAGGCGAAGCCAAGGTATCTCTTGCGGTTGTGGGTGAAACCCTAGCTTAAAACGTAAAATTTTCTCTAATTTGCTCCAATTTAGGTTGTCCGGCCTTTCCTATTTATCATGCAACTTTCTCTGATAGGATGGGAATGATTTACCAGTGGATTCTCTGTGGATAATGCGCAATTTCCGATCGACAAGGAAAAGTGGCGTGGGCCGGCCCACGAACGCACGAGCACATAGGATCTTATCTTTTTTTTTTTTTTCTTTCTGTTAACCGCCAGTAGAGAGGGCACTAGGAATCAAATCTCCACATGTCCAGGAACAGCCCGTGCAGTATGTGACCAGTTAGTTTCCAGTTAGTCACAAGGAAAATACGAAATCCGACTTCGGTGTTTGTTTACTATAAGGGTAATAATGCCCTGTGTGTCCACATGTGGTCTGACCTGATTTAGCCCGACCTCTGGACAAATTTTGACTTCTACAGTCAACCATCATGGGTGTTCGCCCTTTGATTCGAAGAGCGCGAATTGTGTTCCGCCGCATGTCGACTGAAGGCAATGACGATGACCCCCTCGCACAGAACACAGCCCATGATGCTGGAAAGGATGGCGCTCGGAGTCCTGCCAGCTCCGTGGCGCTTGAGGAGATACCTGATGGGAATGCCCAGCATGGTGTTCAAGATGTCGAGGCCGTGACGATGACGTGGACGAGGGGTGCGCTGATCGCATTCTTCATCAAGTATGTTCTCAATCACTGTATTTTGTGTCGCGCATTTAATACCGTTATCAATGTTCCGACAGACACTGATGTCACGACTCCAATAGCATTTGGTTCCTTTATTTTGCGAATGCGTTTCAATCTACGGTTATCGTTACCCTGAACCCCTATGTGACAAGTTCATTCAAAGCACACTCGCTGTCTGCGGTTCCCACAGCTCTGGGTGATGTCTTTGCAGCTGCCACCTATTTACCTGTCGCAAAAATGATGGATGTATGGGGTCGTGCAGAAGGGTTTCTCTTGATGGTCATATGTTTAACCATCGGCTTGGTTCTCATGGCGAGCTGTAATAGCTTTGAGATCTACTGTGCCGCCAACGTGAGTTCCAACAATGGCGTGCTGTTGAGTATACAATGCTAACTGGCATGCAAGGTCTTCTACTATACCGGTTTCTACGGTATGGAGTACGCAGTCGATGTGATGACAGCCGACGTTTCAACCCTGAGAAACCGTGCGTTCGCCTATGCCTTCACCTCCTCCCCATACATTATCACAGCATTTGCGGGACCAAAGGTTGCAAACGAATTCTACCACCATGTTTCCTGGAAATGGGGCCTTGGCTGCTGGGCAATCGTCGTTCCTATAGTGGCGGCCCCGCTATACATTATGCTGAAGTACAACCTGTATAAGGCGGAGAAAGAAGGCTACCGGATTAAGAGACCGAGTGGTCGCACGGCGGTCGAAAGCATCCGTCATTGGACTATTGAGTTTGATGGTAAGCACTCTGCTTTTTGATTCCTATCCCCAACGAAAGAAGGCGGGATCTAATTTAAAGTACCAGTCTTTGGTGTCTTCCTGTTCACTGTTGGTCTTGTGTTGTTTGAGCTTCCTTTTGACCTCGCCCATTACGCGACCGATAATTGGGCTTCTGGCTATATTATTGCTATGCTTGTGGTCGGGTTTTGTATGCTTTTCTTGTTCGCGATTTGGGAAAGGTGGCTGGCTCCAGTACCTCTGTTCGAGTGGCGACTTCTTACGAACCGCACTATTGTTGGTGCAGTCCTCTTGGACGCAACCTACCAGCTCTCGAACTATTGCTGGAGTTACTACTTCACATCTTGGCTGCAGGTTAACAACGACCTATCCATTACCACTTCCAACTATATCGTCAATATCTTCGATATGGTCTCTGGTGTGCTATTACTAGCCACGGGTTGGCTAATTCGGAGAGTTGGTCGTTACAAGTGGACTCTATATATTGCCATCCCGCTCTATATCCTCGCACAGGGCTTGATGATATACTTCCGCCAACCTAATATACATGTTGGCTACCAAGTTATGTGCCAAGTCTTCCTCGCTATCGGTGGCGCAACCTTCATTCTTGTGGAGCAGCTTGCTATCCTAGCGGCTGTCGACCACCAACACGTCGCTACAGCGCTGGCCGTGTTGAATGTGGTTGGCACTATTGGCGATAGTGCGGGTCTTACCATCAGTACCGTCATCTGGCAAAACACATACCTGAAAGCTCTTCTCCGATACCTTCCGGGCTCAGCCTTGCCGAATTTAAACAACATCTACGAGGATCTCGTCACGCAACTCAGTTATCCTATCGGAAGCCCCACCAGGCTGGCTATCCAGAAGGCCTACGCCTACTCCGAACTTCGCCTACTTTCTGTCGGGTGTGGTATTATAGTTCTGGCGATTCCATGGACAATTTTGATGAAGGATATCAATTTGAAGAGGAAGTCGCAGGTGAGGGGTACAGTCTTTTAGGAAGACAACCAGTATAAAGATAATATAAAATTTTACGTCTCTGGGAATGAGATTCTTCAACCTCTGCTACAGTTACCTGTGACCATGAACAATTAAACCGCCTCAGCCTTGAGAGTTCTAAATGTGGGATAATGGATCTGACCGCGTGGCACAGACGAAAATAAATGATGCGGCGGGGCCCTCTTTCCGCCAATAAACTTATAGTTTCCCAAGGCTCCCACTAAGTTTCGGATCAGATAACTCAAACCTCTCCGATCCTGGCCAAAAGCGGTTAAAGGTGGGTCCGTGGCAGGAGCGGCTAAGCAAAATGCCGATGGTCGGTTAGGGAACTCAATCCGAGGTCGGACGATGGGTCGGGGTTGTTCTTAGGACCAGAAATCAACCTGGGCTACTAGTGGGGTGCCTCATTGGCACACTGGTCCTGCGGAAATACCCCACTACGCAAATGACATTATCAATCTCTCGGCCATTCCCTTGACCGCAGTTCAGACACAATGCCATGTGACCACAGCGATCCAAGCAGATGTGCGATTCGAATGACAACTGGTTTAAATCTTCCATGGCTTTCTCCTCGCGATGGACCAGGCAGATACAAAAGAGCGGAGGGACTCTGGATCCCACGACGTCACACTTCCGGAAAAACTCGTCTGTCAGTACGACGGAAGGGTGGAGGTTGTTAAGGCCGGAACTCTCCATGCGCTGGTGGAAAATTTGACGCGCCACGACAAGCTCGACGGCTCCTTCAACCGAATATTCCTCACCACTTATAGACATTTTACCTCTGGGGCAGAGCTCCTTGAGCTCCTCATCGATCGATTTGACTGCCCACCTCCCATATTAAATGCCACCCAGACTACAGAATGGTCGACCCAGATAAAGCCACTGATTCGATTACGCGTGATAAATATTCTGAAGCAATGGCTCGAACATTTCTGGTCTGAGCCAAAAGGCATTGATACAGATCGCAGTTTGCGAATACTACAGTCATTTGCAAAACGCGCCACGGATGCCACCGAGACAAGCGCGACACAACAACTGCTCACGATCATTCAGCGCCGACTTGCCGGGTTCGATTGCAATAGAAGATCACTATCGTCCATCTCAACCCAGCCAAAGCCAATTCTACCACGGAAATTAGACAAACTCCAGTTTCTCAAAATCGATGCCACGGAGATTGCCCGGCAACTGACTATCATGGAAGCACATATGTTTGGCAAGGTACAACGTGACGAATTGTTAAACAAAAACTGGCAAAAGAAAGAGGGCTCCAGTGCACCCGAGCTCGCTCCAAACATCAGGGCCTTGATTCGGTATTTCAATCAGCTCTCTAATTGGGTTGGCACCCTAATACTCGCAGAATCGGATTTGAAAAAGCGGACTCAGGTGGTAGGGCATTTAGTCAATGTGGCCAACGTACGTTGTAACCTCTATAGCTTCACCCTTGTAGGTCTTCCTGTATGCTAATTTTCAGCTATTACAGACATGTCATCAACTCCAAAATTACTCCGCGGTAGTCTCTATCCTGGCAGGCTTGGAAAGCGCACCCGTCTACCGGCTTGCTCGCACTTGGGCAATGGTTACCGAACGTAGTTGCAACACACTAAGGCCCTTACAAGCCATGACATCCAATGCACACAATTACCAGGCCTATCGGGACAAATTGCGGGTTGCAATGGCACCATGCGTTCCATTTCTTGGTCAGTTATATCGTTAACTATTGAAATTGCCGATGATTAACCATACAACAGGGTTGTTTTTGAAGGATTTGACCTTCATTGAAGATGGGAACCCAGATACGACACCAGAAGGGCTCATCAATTTCCACAAATATACTATGTTAGCATCAACCATCCATGAGATTCAGCGTTTAAAAGAAGCCCCTTATGCTTTACAACCAGTGCCCGAGTTGCAAGAATATCTTGCGACTCAGTTGCAATCGGCTGTTGATATACATGACATGTGGGATAGAAGTTGTGAGCTGGACCCTCGCGGCCGGGATCTTGGAAATAGACCCCGGGATTTATATACCCCCACAGGAGGCATGTTCGCGTCTATGGTAGTCGCCTGCATGGTCCTGGATGATTGATTGATTAATGATTTTCAAACTATAAAATTCTTTGTTTTACCATGTGGCATTGAATAAGCTGAAGCTAGTTTGTGCAGATCTTCAGTTTGAACATTTAGCGCTCAACGGAAGTACTGTAGACTGTAGGACCGTCTGTCTGTCAGACGAGCGTGCAGCGGGCGGGCTCCTGAACTGAACACTTGTAATCTAACATGGACATTTCGGGGTCTATGTTTCCTTAGAAGCGCGCGCGTGATTCCCGGGATTCTTTGGGCTTTAACCATGCTTCCCATTCGATATTCATGTATCTGTTTCACCAAAGAAATGTCCAAAAACCTCACTACGGTTGACCAAATGGCCCAGCTTCGAGCTGATGTATCAATACGGAACGAATAGACACCATACTTTCTGGATTGCAAGAGAGTCTAGATATATGTATAGCGGAATATGGTCCCCTCTTCATTACGCTACAGGGAAGGATTCATTGGATTTTGTCAAGCTATTAGTGCAACATGGCGCTTCGCCCTGGATTGGAGATCCTCTTGGCCAAACGGCTGCTAATTGGACCAGAAGACATTGGCACCTGGCTGTGTTTGCCTTCCTTCACCCCTTGTTCACTGATCTAGCGACAATCCCCACTTCACAGATGCACCTAGGCGCCATTTCAGAACCACTCCGCTGGAAGACGTCATTGTGAAAAGTGGTTTGAGACTTGTTTAATTATATTTAGATGACCCAATTGCGATTCATCACCACGTCTACAATGGGCTCAGAAAGGATGTTTACCCTCTCATGCTAATCGGCATTAATCCGAAGTACGACTAGAAGAAGACACGGTGTGGTCTTTAGATTCAGCGCGATGATACGGGGAAATCCAAAGCTGCGGCCAGACCATTCATCATAGAATCAATTCGATTGATCAGAAATGAGTCCTGCTGTAAGATGCACTTGCGGTGGATATGAGCTCCTTTGGCTGTAATTCCTTCCGTCTTAGGTTGTGGCTCGAGCAGTTGGTGTATGGAATGGTGTTAGCTGTCTATCCTATTCTCCAGAATTAGGTTGCAGCAGACCCTCACCGAGCTGATTTATATTCATTTCGGGATACACAAGCACAAAAGAAACTCCGGTGCTCGGACCTTATTAGGACGACGGAGCATGAGAAGCATGGGATGGCTCCGACATTTTAGAGGGATCCGTGCATTACCTATCAAGCATTCACACTATTATCGGCGCGTTTGCGTGTTCTCAAATACGAGGAGTGAGATACAATATGCATAGACACGTGTCTGGAGCTGAAATAAAAACTCATATCTAATAAGCCGTCGGATATGGTACAAAACGTATGTTGATTGAGCTCCGACGGGATATAATTTTGTCTATAAAACATCAGTCTTTATCATGTCAAACCCCATAGGTAGATAGCCAGCCCTAACCCAGGAGCCAAGCATCACAATGCGTTGCCACCAAGTGTTTCGGATTATCTTCTTTGCATCAGTATCACTTAGCAATCCAGTGCCTTTGTATACTTCGAAAGAAGCTCATAATGTCCCAGATATCTTCGACAAGTTATTCAACACATCCACAAGTTGCACTCCCTTCAGCGGGGGCATATACCAAGAGCTATATCAGCTCGAATCCAAGATATCAGACATGACAACAGGCAAGATCAAACCAGTCTCAACAATTGAAGAAGGCCTCTCAGTCCTTTCCTCAATTCCACATACCAATGACCGAACAAGCCTCCAAAATGCCATCGACATAGTATCCCTAGGCCTAGTCCCAACAAATATCATCGACATCCTCAACGGCATAACAAACTACAAAATAAACTCCATAGCCAACAACAACACAAAAGACCCAAGTCCACGAATCCATCCAACAAGGTCCTTCTCGGATGCACCCTACGACATCCCCGAAGAAACCCTCCGCAGCGCAATCCACATCCCCCCAATCTTCTCCTACGGCAAAAACAACAAAACCCCCGTCCTCCTAGTCCCAGGAACCGCCGACCCAGCCGGCAGCACCTACTACTTCAACTACGCGAAGCTCTTCACGGCAAACCCACACACAGACCCAGTATGGGTTAATATCCCGGGAAACTCACTAGGTGACATCCAAAGCAACGCAGAGCACGTCGCATACGCAATAAACTACATTTCTGGACTCTCGCAGCGTCCTATCGGAGTGCTAAGCTGGTCACAAGGTAGCTTAGATGTACGATGGGCGCTGAAATACTGGCCGTCGACACGAGCCGCGGTAAGCGATTTCATGGCTGTGAGTGGTGATTTCCACGGGACGCTTGTTGCCACGCTCTGCGCGCTTGCCAAACCGTTTTGTTCGCCGGCTGTGCAGCAGCAGGGGTATGACACCGGGTTTATTCGGGCTCTGCGTGGTGAGGGCGGGGATTCAGCGTTCGTGCCGACGACGAGCGTGTACTCTGGGAATGATATTATTGTCCAGCCTCAGGGTGGAGGATGGGCTTCTGCGGCGCTGGAGGATGTGCGTGGGGTTGGGGTGTCGAATGTGCAGGTGCAGATTGCTTGTGCGGGGCGTGCTGCTGGGGGGGATTATTCGCATTCGGCTATGTTGGTTCATCCGTTGGCGTATGCTTTGTTTGTTGATGCTTTGGTTCATGATGGGCCTGGGCGATTGGAGAGGATTGATCTTGGTGCTGTTTGTGGGGAGTCGATTGCGCCTGGTTTAGACGTGAATGATTTTTTAGGGATGGAGGCTGTGTCGAATGTGGTTGGGGTGCTTGATGTCTTGTTGTATGGATATAATAATGGGAGTGAGGAGCCGCCACTTCGGGGCTATGTTCATCACTAGGAGAGGTTGGGCTGTAATGGGTTTCGGGTTATGAAGGTCGGGGACTACGGAGTTGAGGTTAAAGGCAACGCTATATTCCGTATTCAACCCAAAGGAAATCTATAAGTTCATACCGGACAAGCCTCTATGGTACATGTACAAGGCCAAATGCTTCCATTCGGTATTATTGGGTTGATCTCTAGAACAAAACTGCAAGTCCGTAGAGATCATCACGGCAACAAAAAAGCATATCAGGAAACCACCCCGACGCCAGCCGGCAAGTGGCGACATAACAATGAGTATGAATATGAAGAAAACAAAAATAAAATGGATATAAGACCCGGCAAGCAGACTGAAAAACGATGTGCCGCAAACGACATTGGAAATAGCAGTTCATCGTAATTCGGGCACTCCATTGTATGGCCAGTGGCTATTCGACAATCTCACCCGGAAAATGAGTTTCACGGCACAGTATGTGGACAGAGGCATGGCATGCAAGGGAGCAACTCGAAATGGGAGTCATCAAATTTTGTCAAAAGAAAATGTTAAATGGAAAGCGGGAATCTACGTAGGCTTTTCGCATCCAATGCGGCCCAAGAGAGCTTTTCGATCACTCGGATCGAAAGGAACACGGCCACGTCCCCGCGCGCGCACCGATGCAGTGCCGTTGGACCGCCGACGATCCAAGCCCGGGGCGTTTGCGGTTTCGAGTGCGTCGATAGGGGTACCTTCCTTAGCAGCCAGATGTGCTGGTACGTGGGATGGGGTCTGGTTTTCCACTTCCGCCTCGTCTTCATCTTCCTCATCACTGCGGGTGTCTTCGGCGTTACGGCCACAAACCACACCGTAGGCAACACGGACAATCATGCTGAACCACACAATGGACAGTCCCTCGAGGATCAACAGGAAGGATAAGAAGATCCATTTCAGAGTGGGGTTGAAACAAATGGGGTTGTCCAAACTGAAGTATGGTCCAAGCATGTATGCGAAGGCATTCGGGGCCTCCGCTGAGATGAACTCGCCTGTGGAACCGGCGTAGCAGCCATAGGTGAGTTCGTGGGGGAGATCATAATAAACGGACCAGCACACCATGGGGTAGATGATGTGTCGGGTAATGAACCATATACCCACGAAGAGGCCAAAGCCAACATTGCAGGCTGTTTCGAACTTGGAGTACTTGAGAATCTTCGCAGTCTGTGGAGATGTTAGTAGCTGTTTAGGAGCACTTGGAAGAATAGTAGTTGACGAACCGGTAACACGAAGTCCACAATGTCCATGAGACATAGCGCTACATTGGACACATTGTACATGGCGTAGATGTAGGCAGAGCCCAGGAGAACACTGGTAATAATGTGGTGGGAAAGCATCTGGAAATAATCCTTCCGTCTCTCTTCCACGTTGACCACGAAGATCTGCTGCACGAGGAATGCCAGCTCAACGAGAAGATACCACTTCATCAAACCGGACAGAGGACGGGCGGGCCACTGCGACCACATAGCGGCGAAATCGCCCCAATAGTATGACGTCTTCCACAGGTACTGTAGCGTAGAATCAACAGTTAGTTATATAGTCCCAGGTAAATATCTGTGGGCCAAACACACCAATCCGATTCCCCAGATGAACGAATAGTACGTAGCTTGCCAACCCTGCTCAGCGATGCGAATTGACTCCTTGCGCTTTAAACCGCAAGCGCGCGCCAGTGGTTGCAGGACCCATTCAATGACGATAGCGCGGATACCGGTGAGTGCGATGGCAGTACTGATGACGAAGTAGACATCGTCCCAGCCCTGCACGTATGAGTTCGAGGATTCGTTATAATAGGACAATTGGAAGAATGGCTGCGTATATGGGCGGAGGGAGGGGTAGAGGTTATGAAGAGCCAGTAACATAGCCAGGATGGTCATGGAGATTCCTAGAGAAGCAGATTGGTGTTAGCTTTACTGGTATTATCAGGATGTGGGGGATTTCGCATATCCCGAGGATTGAATGAGGAGCGCAGCGACTCTGTCAGGTACCGGCCGTGTCTTTATCTCCATATTAATCTAAGGATTGAGGTGTTTCTTCATACCGATCTGGTTGGCAACCACCCATTCACGGAACGTGGTCTCCTTGGCTGGGCGCAATCCACTCGGTGAAACGTAGGCATTGCGCGCCTTCAGCCCTGGTAAAGGTTGCGATGGCACAACTGTGTCTGCCATGGTGGAGAGAGCACCAATATTGTGGAAGGGATTTGAAATTCCACGGAGGGCCGTGGGAGAGGATCGAGGGCCGGGAGGGTCGAGAACCGGGAAACGAGCCAAAGTGATCAATGCCGAGATGGATGTGGGACCTGCCTCATCTGAGCCTTATTTACTTTCTAAACTTGACTCGTTCAACCAGGAACGTGAAAAGCAACAGTGTCAAAGTGCAAGAGAATAATTTGAAAGAAAAAAAGGAGGGAATAGAGGGGGAACGTGGTTCAACCTTCGTTTCATCTCTTCACGACGATCATCGCTCCACTCACCGCCTCGTTAAATGTTGAATCTCGAGATTGATGATTGGATGTATGAGGTGCATGCACTCAATCAAGATCTATATTGACTTGATGGATATATAAGATTTTCTGGGTTGAATTCTGTATTGGGGTAGATGTCAACAGTCTACCATTTCCGGTCTATTTACACTTCTTTTGACCAGTCAATGGTCTTGGCACGTTGAAGAAAAAATGGGATAATAATAGATCCATATACGTATGTACGATGTATATTAAAATGATACATGTCACTCTAAACCCTCCGTAACATTCCGCACAAAATCATTAGCATTAACCCCCAATTGAGCCAAATCAATTCCACCTTGCCCAGCCATTACCCGTGACATAGCTCTAGCAACTTCTTCCTCCTCCCAAATATTGTTGAGGATCTGCTCCCCACCTTCTCCAGGCCCCTGGGTGGGGTTCTCGGCACTCACCATAGTTCGCCAGTACAAATCATCTCGATGCTTCAGAGTCGAATCTCGAACCACCGCATTGCGAGTAACGCTCGCAGCATGGAGTTTCGTATTTGCGCCCACAAGCGTCTGCACGGCCATCGATACCGCCTCATCAACCTGCTGGACTGTGGAGGGCGGTTTGAAAAAGAACCGGTTAGTCGCGGAGAGCCAGAGTACAACTGAGCAGATCACATCGCAGATCACGAATGCCAGCGGTCGCAGGAGCGTGATGTGGTGGTAGATGCCGGAGGGCGGTGTCTGGCCCGCGCGCACAGAACGTGGCGCACCCTGGATCGCGTCGTAGGTAGCCATGATGTAGATGTCGATTGCTGCGAGGACAAGCCCGGCTAGGGTGAATTTTATGCGCCAGCGAGAGGCCTCGCGCCCTGCGATGGGCGCGGATGTGGCCACGCCGAGGAGCAGCAGGTGCCCGAGGTGCGGTAGCAACACATGAAATGGGAGGTAGTACATGAGGTATGTGTAGAGGTCGTCAAAAGAGCAGTATTGGCATGATACTAGGGCATCGGGACCATAGGTCAGGTACACCTTTCGGGCACCGAGAGAGGTGAACTTGGACTGAAGGAGGTTGTCGGCTTCGGTGAGGAAGTTATCTGGCCGAAGCCGGGCGAGACGGTTGAAGATGACATCGGTAGGGGTATTTAGACGAGAGCGAGTCTGGGAGAAGATGTTGGGTTCGGGTGCGTGAGGGTTGAAAGGTAGGCTTAGGAGTAGAAAGAAGACGATGCCACCGAATAAGATGTTCAGCGCGCGACCGGGCGCGGCAGGGAGAGGACGCGGCGGTGGCCGACTCGCGATGGATACACGAAGACTCCGATAGGCAGTAATTAGGCGTGGGAGTATGACTGGGCCGAAAAATATGAGGAGTGATTTGACGCTATTCATGGTCAGGATAGATTGCGGATGTAGAGAGAGCTTCAAGACTTACGTTCCCCAGGAGATTGCGAGTGTAGCCATATTTGCCAGAATATGGGCCTTACTTCATCGGAATCACGAATAGGTTGAATCGAGTTTCGACGAAAGAAAGGTGTAAGAGTGTTCGAATGTCATATGTCGTTTCATTGAAGTCGGGGCCAAACGTGGGTCCGTCCTTTTTGGAAACTGCCCTTCAACCACTTACTATTCTAATGTACTGTAACTACTTCCCCTTCTATTATTAATAACACACACTACAAATGGTCATATGAAGACGATGTCTCAATTATATTCGTTAAACACTAAAAATCAAAAAGCAAAAGAGGGGAATAAAACAGCGCCGAGTGCGCCCATCGCAATAACGCAAGATTTCTGATTCAACCAACGCAAGTCTTTCTTTCCTTCATAATAACACCATTTTTGACCCAGTTGACCAGTCAACCAGCTCAAACCATGTGGCCCGAGTACATAGCGGGGTGGTGTGCGAGGTCGGGAGGACGAATCTCCGCAGAGTCACGAGAATACTTGGAGGAAGCGGCGTCATTCTCCTGAACGAGGGTCGGGTTCATGGGCTTGGAGATCTTGAGCGGGAACCGGCCGGTGAGACGCTTGGTGGCACGCTTGACAGGGTTCTGACGAGTGTAGGTGGGCAGAGTTTCCTCACGCTTCACGCTCAAATGGAGGGTGCGGTGACTGCTGGTCCGGCTCATTGCCTTTTGTGGTGCGACAGCGCCATCTACCCGCACCTGGCGGGCACTGACGCCAGTCTCGGGGTCGCTGAAGATGTAACTCTGTCGGGAGAAATGGTTTAGCATTAGGCTAAGAAAATACATACATTGGACGAATTGGGGGGATTTGATATCGGTACTTACTGCCAAAACGTTCACCACACTAACTATCATTGCTAGGATGCCGGCGGAGACGATGATTTGCCAGAAATTCATTCCAATAGCTTCCTGGGTCATGGCCTTGGTGTTCAGGTTGCCCAGTGTTGCTACACCTAGGATCATCATGATCCCACCGAGAGAGTAGAAGCTAGATTCTTGCCCGAACATCGGCCAGTGATCATCGAAATAACATTGCAGAATGGGGAGCTCCGAGATGATCATGAAGACTGCCAACGTTAGCAATTATATCACAAACATGGAAGGAAAGCCTATACTTACGGCTAACCAGAGCCACCACGGCATGGGTCACCGCCTCGAAGAAAAAGAAGCTGTTGAGCATATCGATTTTGGCCAGCAAAACTGCACAAGCAGCTATAAGGTCCATAAAAGTGATAATGTTGAGAACGCGAATAACGTTCAAGATCACGTACCCTGGACCGGCCAGGGATTCACGCAAGCGAGTCATCATGATTGAGGCACAGGCCTGTTTTTGCACTTGTCAAGAATGGTAGATACTCGTTGTCGAGGATGTATAGAAGATTGTCTGTTAGTAGATTTGGGGGAGGGTTGAGATTAAAAGAGGGAAGAAAGCGACTGTCCAGCAGAAAGCTTGATATTCCAATGAAAGAATGGAACAATGCGATAGAATGAGATCAACTCGAGGGCAAGAAAAGAATAAAGAAAGACAAAGTCAAAAGAAAAGGATAAATGGTAGCGACAATGAAGAAAGGCATCTATGGAAGAATGGCTATTGAGGTGCCGCAGCCTAGATGTATGCTCCCAACAAAGGCGATAGTACTTTTTTCTATGAATAGACTTGAAACGTATGGAAGAACCACACAAATGGTATGTATCTAATTTGAGTCCTAGATAAAAACATCGGCAGGGTTCTTCACCCCATCTCTGCAGTGGCAGAGATATCCTGCAATACTGCGGGTGGTGTTTCATTGTTGCAATCTAGGCAATAAATAGGGACCTTTAAGCGCAGAGATCGGGGTTGTAACCGGAACAAGCCTAATTACCTACATTCTGGCATTGAGATCTCAACTAGGACCCGATGTAATCAAATGACTGGTCATTAGTGGAGGATACTCGACCATGCTGAAACTAGTGAGCGGCTACAAGTCGCCCTTCTTTCCCCTGTGTGCCCCGTGTTTCATTTCTGCTTACCTCAAACTTGCCTTATTGCCTGATGAATATAGTTCAAAGGATTCTAGATAATACGTGTATCAAGGTGAATCTGGCAAGATATATGAAGGGCAAAATTATTTTAGGGCAAAATATATTGTAGGTAGGGCTTGGAGCGAAGCGCCAGGGTGAAGTAGAAAGCCAAAGTTGAAACAAGGTAAGAATATAGCCCAATCACAGCCAGCACATAGTTGCCGATCAAATGAGTCAGGATAAAATAACAAAATTAATACTCCAATAATTCAATCAAAGAATCAAGAATATCGACAAGTGTATAGTGAAGTACTTCGTAGATGAGTGGAACCCCTGTGATTCGCCGGAATGCGGCCGACCCCTCCAAACTTTTTCTCTCACTCTCTAAATATTTCGCGCCCCCAACTACATTTGATACTCTTGCGATAATACCATAAAAAAAACATGACACGGGGTAATCAACGTGATAACGATCGGGCCAAGGCCCTGAAGAAGGCGGGCAACGCGGTTCGTCTTATCCCTCCCCCTTCTCCTCTTTATTCATACTGACCGTTTCTACAGAAGAACAAGAACACCCAGACCGGTAGCGAATTCGCCAAGAGCAAGGATGATGCTGCTGCCATCATGCGCGAGAAGCAGAGGAAGGGTGTGTATCCTCAATGCGCTAGATGTCTAACCCACGTTATGAGACTGGCTTACTGATCGTTTCTCCTCTACAGCGGACGAAAAGAAAGCCGCCGAGGCAGCAGCAGGAGGAGGCAAAAAAAAATAATACGCCTCAATCCTTCGACCCAACCCGTCAGTCAGTCTCATCTCCCTACACCTTTTTCGCGACCACCCGAAACAGACAACCCACCGAGTAGCATCGCAAGGTGTACTACGAGTGAAGGACGGTGCTGGGTTCATGGATAAGATCGGAACCATCCGCCTATGCTCACATTTCAAAAACCGGGGGCTAGGTGTCTAGCGAGGCGTTTGTTTGAATCTCATTGACGTTCATCACATATTTAGCCCAAGCATGTATACCAAAGCGCTAACCAAACGAGGCAACGACACATGAGAAATATCATGGAGGTGCAATTTTGGTGGTAATCGTAAACACGTAAACAGGAGTATATACATTCATATCTCATCCGGTTATGTATTCTTCCCTTGGTCGTCTACGACCCAATATACTCTCGCCTGGGCCAGCCAGGTCTGCCATGACGTCTTCTGTCGACTGTCTTGGGCCATCTGGGAACCACAGGATCTAGGTTTTTGATCGCAGTGCAACAGCATGGTATCCTCAACCACGTTTTCAAGCCCAAATTGCCTCGACGCTTGGTCGACGAACGTCCAAAGGCTCTCGCCTTCCCATCCAACGTCAAGTGCAAATTTAATCACTCTCTCAAGAGCATTCACTTGACCCTGTTGCTCTGGAACATTGCCCAGCACATACAGGCAGAAGCTCCAACCCGATATATCGCGTGGATTAGCCAAGCACCAAGCAACCACCCGTTCGACAACCGACTGCGCTGAATGGGGTTCCCACGTTGATTGCCCAGTCGTCTTCTCCACTGTAGCAGCGAGAAGCACATCCAACTGTCGCATATAGCTGAAAGCATAATAGTTCTTGGGATGCAGCTCTCCAGCGCGAAGAACAACATCCAATTCTGTCTGTTGCAGTTTGAGCAGATCCTCAGAGCTCCAATGCCGTCTTTGAAGCAGATGGACAACCACCCACAGCCGGTGGTGCCATAGCGTCGGCGACTTGGTATGACGATGGAGTGGTGAGCACTGGTAGCTCGACATGAGGGTAAGTTCGGCTTCTAACAACTCTGTCGCGGCAGAGGTCTGGTTTGAAATACTAGGGTAATGCGCCATAGCTGCCTGCAGTCGGCGCTTGCGCCAGTTGCAGGCTGTGAGATGCTCGCAGTCGAAGAGGAGCATAACTTCTGTAATAGCTGAGTCTGCATCTCTAGACTGAGCGTCTATCGGAAAGGTGGTTTGGAGATCATCTTCGGACACACGCATTAATCGGTCGAAGAAGAGCTGGCGTGCGACCGTGAAGGCCTGCACTAGTGCTTTCTTGGTTATCCCCAGTGAGCATCCATCCTGGAGGAATGTAGCGCCTAGGCTTGGTGGGATGATCTCGATCTCGAGGACTTGCTTGTCTCTAGATGAGAAGATGCGGACAAGTTCCTGGAACGCATCTTTCGGGTTGGACATTTGAGGGTTTGGTTGTGTGCTGGAAATTGAGAGGATCGATTGTCAAAACCTCATCATATGTATTTCTTTCTTTGAAATAATCATGTGTTTTATTTGTCTTGCCACAGGCAAAGCGGCAGAGAAGATGGTGTAGACCATAATACAGTGAAGGCGGAAAGGCCAAGTCCGCTGTTATTTCCACATTTCCACAACTAGGGACGTCATTCACTCTTTCAACAAGCAACCAACATCTATCTCGCCAGGATATCCAGTCTCACCCAGCCGAGTTACCAGAGACTCGCTTGGTCAGCTGACTGTGCCGCCGTCGCATTTTTCCAGGCCCCCCGAGCCTGTGCTGTCGCATTTAACGCCTCATCTCGGTCTTGCCAGCCCCCACCACGATGTTATCCCTCATTCTCACGGTCTTCTTTGTGCACGTCGCAATTTACCTAGTGAATACGATCGGTGCGAGTACCATTGATGGTCTTGTATGTGTCCAACAATCCTATTTGTAGCCTTTGAGAAGCTTCTCGGCTCCACCGCGCACCTATATTGTGATTCCACACGCTAACACCTACTCTCTTTGGCATACAGCTATGGCTCCTTTACCTAAAACTGCCGACGCCGACCTCGCGGACAGCACGCAAGCAGCAGCAGCTGAAGCGCCAAGTCCTCGAGCAGAAGCATGAAATGAACAGCACAAGCTCCCAGGATGAGTTTGCGAAGTGGGCGAAGGCGAGGAGACGACACGACAAGACCATGGAGGAATACGAGGCGCTGAGTACGTGTCACTGCCACAAGGCTACATGAGGCGTTGTTTATGTCTGTTGCTCGGACTGCTAACACCATGGTTTCTCTGCAGACAAGACGCTCACCGCACAGAAATCCTCCTTTGACTGGACCGTGAAGATCGCCCGGTGGCTCAGCACAAACGGATTGAAAATGTTCCTGCAGTTCTGGTACTCAAAGACGCCTGTCTTCCCGCTCCCCGAGGCCTGGTTCCCGTACTACGTCCAATGGATTGTGTCCTTCCCGCGCGCCCCATTGGGATCCGTCAGCATCCATGTTTGGAGCAATGTCTGTGCGACTACCATTGCGCTCGCCGCCGAGGTTGTGGGAGCATTGCTGGTGCAGATGGTTGGCCAGAAGAAGGTACAGAAGGAGGCTGTGCCTGTCGGTGCTGAGGGAAAGGCACAGTGAACGCGACAACATGAGCTTAGCTATATTGCATCGGGAGCGGTTGTATTATACGAAGTGAAATGCTACGATTTACTTATGAATATTGCATTTTAATCAGTCATTTCAATTGAATTGGTATTTGAACTGCTCAGACTAACAAACAGGATATGTAATGTTCATCAGATAATTTTAAATCGTTTATCGTCAACAATCCTTTGGGATCTCTGTGCTTGACTCTATGATTGGTATATCATCACGCGAACATGAAAAAAATAATAGCCTATGGCAAGATAGAAGAGTCCGGCCCCTGTGACAGGGCTTCTGTGACGAGACAACATCTCATCACCGCTTTGCCATAAGCTACAGACTCTTGAAAAGAAAAGACCAAGGAACTCCTCGCCTCAAGAATGAGCCCCATTGAGTTACCTCCATCGACTTCCGAGGAAGCAGACAGGAGGCAATCGCATGACTATCCGAACATGACGAAAGGCAACCCAATACAAGGAAAGGTGTTTTACCACCAATCCTTCCCCCCTCCGAGACCCAGCACACACCCCATTGTTTCCAGAAACATCGTAAAATGTAACCGTCGGGTGGCACGAGATACCGTGAGGGAATAGGGCGTAAGCCGCTATCGAATTGCTTCTATGGCGGCGCGTTTCCGCAGTGCCTGGCTTGGTACTTTGGTTTTACCCAAAGCGCAGGGTGTCCGGGGACTTTCTCCCAAAGCAAAATTGGAAAAGGGAGCGAGGCTTCCTTTTGTGTGTGAGCTTTGAATGCGATTCTTCGAGCGAGGAGTTGGGAGAAGAAAAGGAAACGGAATCTTCGGGGTGTGGCTTTTATTTTTCTCGCACTAGTCAGGTGATGGGGCTAGGCTTGCTTGGGACTAGCGTGGATGGCATCGGATCGGGTTAGGGCTTGCGATATGCTGGAGGACATCTAGAAGTAAAACGTCAGACAAAAACGTCAGGGAAAATGGAGGGGTTTTTTTCCGCTGTAGAGATACAAGCGGACATACAGAGACCGATATATTATCCCAAGGGGGGGGCAAAAAGGCCCGATTAACCTGAGGGATCCCTATCAACCACTGCCATACTTTCACCGTTCACCTTTTTTGCTCGCGATCTTGTTCATCCTGGTTTAGGTTTCAGGTAGTACTAAAGGAAATTTACTGATGAAGGAAAAAAAAAACACAATGCATTTGACAAAAAGGCTTGATGAATGAAATTACAAACAATTTTTACATGATCCCGTTTACGCCTTAGACTTGGTCTTGGTGGTCTTCTTAGTGACCTTTCCCTTCGCCTTGGCGGCAGGAGACTTGGCAGCCGGTGACTCTGTAGCAGCGGCCTTAGGTGTCTCTGTCTTCTTGCCCTTCTTGGCCTTCTTGGGGGTATCATCGGTAGGAGCAGGAGCCTCAATAGCAGCAGGGGCCTCAACAGGGGCAGTGGCCTCGATGGCCTTGGTAGGCTCCTCGGTGGTCTCAGTGGCCTCGGCGGCCTTGACGGCCTTGGGGGCCTCCTGGATGGGGACATCATCGACGCTCTTCAGCTGGGGAAGATCAAGCTCGTAGCCCAGAGCCTTGAGCTTGTTGACCTTAGCCTGACGCTTCTTCTGCTCGGACTCGATGCTCTTCGACCACTGTTCACGTGTCTTGCCCTTCGCGAGACGCTTCTTCTCGATGCGGTTCCATGGTGTAACCTTAAAGCGGCGGTTGGCGCCCTTCCAGACCTCGGGGTGCAGCTGCTCTTTAGGGACGTACTTGCACTTGACGATGTGGCCGTACATGAGGTAGTTGTCCATAGTGTCAGCGACGATCTTAGCAACGGTGGTCGAGGAGAATTCAATGAAGGCGTAGTGCTTGGAGCGGCCGGTGAGACGGTTGCGTGAGAGACGGAGTTTGGTGATTTCGCCAAATTGGGAGAAGTAGGCCTTCATCTGGTGCTCGTAGAAACCGTGGGGGATACGTCTGAGGATGGGATGTTAGATGGTTCAGACTGGCCAGAAATTACGGTCGAAACTCACCCAATGTAGACAGTGCCGGGCTCCTCGGGAGGGCCGTTCTTGCGCAGCTGCTTGGCGAGCTTGCGCTCGGCCTTCTTGGTGTCTGGGGCCTTGGGGATGGGTTCACCCTCTTTGTAACCCTCGCCATCAGACTCGTCCTCGTCACCGCTGCTCTCGAAGCCCTTGATGAGAGCCTCAGTCTGGTCGTCATCGCCCTCGTTCTCAGCCTCGCTTTCATCAGCGGGGGAGACATCCTCCTCGGCCTCTTCCTCTTCGGACTCGACGACGGGCTCGGGCTTCTTGGTCTTGGGGGCGGCCTTCTTCGCGGCAGCCTTCTTGGGAGCGGGGGCGGCCTCAGCATCCTCCTTCTTGGACTTCTTAGCGGCGGGCTTCTTCTCGGCCTTCTTGTCAGCCTTCACAGGCGTGACGGGCTCTTCAGCTTCCTCGTCGGTAAGGAAGTCGGCAGCACGCTTGCGAGGCTTGACCTGGCGTGTGGGCTCGCCATTGGTCTTGGCCGGCGCAGCAGCCTTCTCTGTCTTGGACTTGGTACCCTTCTCATTCTTCTTCAAGATAGACTTAGGAGCAGCCTCCTTGGTTGCTTCAGCGGGCTTGGCCTCGACCTTCTTGGTTTTTTTGGCGGGCGAGTCGGCGGCGACAGGCGCAGCTGTAGTAGTGTTAGTGAGATGAAAAGAGATTCCACCGGTCATAAACATGTCACATACCCTTGCGCTTTGAGACTCTCTTATCGGGGGCCATTTTGACGTTTTGTTGTGTCGAATTGGAGACTGTATGCTGCTCGATCATCTGCGGGAAACTTTTTTTTCATCTCTGATTTGCTTGGAAGGCGGTGAGCCGCCTCGACCATTACCACTGTCACCGCCAAGATGTTTACTTGTTACAACCCAAAATACTCCAACCCCAAATGGGCCAAGAAAATGGGGAAGAATAAAAAAGGGCCCTTGACACACGCGGAGGTCTGGGATGATTCTGCCCTGGTTCAGTCCTGGGACGATGCTGTCGAGGAATACCAGGTCAGTCGCCAAATATACGATTCACGTGACCGATATCTAACCTGACGGCAGCATTATTGGAGCATTCACGCCAAGGGTGAAAATGTTGAAGATGTCTTGAAAGAAGCAGAAGACACTGGTATTTCTCCAGCTATATCTCACGACGATACTGAAGGTGCCAAAGCTACCGAGGATGATGTCACCAAACCTGCAGATGAGGACGTCCCAATGACCATTGACGACCACATTTCCGAGTCTGCTCCTGAGGTATATTGCCGTTTTATCGATGCGTTCCTCATCAAAGGATTTTCTGACGATATATAGCCTTCTCAACCCGTGGCTGATGCCAGGTCGGCGGCTTCCACTACTACTATGCCTATGCCGCACCCCATCATGGCAAATAGTATGCTCCACCTTCGGGACACATTGATTCAGATTACTAACATATACTTCTAGTCCAAGATGAGTCCTTAAAGAACCTCATGATGTCGTGGTACTATGCAGGCTACTACACGGGACTTCATGAAGGCCAACAACAGGCAACCCGCTACCCGAGCTCATGATGCGACTACGACTTAGAGGGAAAGAGGATGTGTTTTGTTCGAACAAGCACATTAGCTGATACAGTTTTACGAAGGACAGATTAGGAACAAGACCCTGCAGACAACCAATGGAACTAATCATAACAAATTAATCGTGAAACTTGACAAGGATCTCATTGACCATTTTCCCCTTGCAAACAAAAGTAATAACGAATATAAATATCAACGAACCACCGTCCGCCGAAAGAGAACAGCGTTCATCACATACTTTGCAACACCCTCGTATCCAGTCTCATATACCGGGCTCGATCAATTAGATACCGACTCCGGAGCCACCGAGAATACCACCGATGAAGGGAATACTGCCCAAGGCGTTAGGCTCAGATGTGGGCTTGTGGGTGGGAGTAGCAGTTGGGGTCACAAAATTGCCGGAGGAAAGCTTCTTGGTAGGGGTGGGAGTGGGAGTAGGCTGGCCAGCAGGCGCGCTCTGCTCAGCCAGCTTCGCATAGGTCTTGGCCTCCTCATTTTGAGCCTCCTCTTTTTGGGCCGCCTTCTTGTCCTCTTTTTCCTTTTGGCTATCCTTGTCAAGACCATCCATCAATTTGGTGGCATGCTAGATTCATTGGTTAATATGGTACAGGTCATGGGGAATTTGGAGCAGTTGACTAACCATCAAATTGCCAACAGTACTATCGAGGGCAAACGGTTTAGTGGCGGCTTGCTCATCACGCTTGGTGGGCATGGAAAGGGTGACGACCGCAAGGACGAGGAAAATAGAGAGTAATGAGAGACTGAATCGGGCCATTGTGAATGGTGGTGTATGTTAACAAGGTTATAGATCAAGGAAGATATGTCCAAATAATTGTCTCCAAACGAGTGTAAATGGTAATAGTCTGGGAAAATGAGGTGAGTATTTCAGGTGGGCAGGTCGCTGGGAGAAATAGAGCCCCTGGCTCTGCGGGAGTTACATCGGATTTATATGCAGCCCCTTCGATCATATCATGGAGAGAATGAAAGGCCAGGGGGGCTTGGGTGGAGAGCCTTGTTGCAACTAGCTAACGCGCGTCTTTGCGTGGTATTTGGACTCCCTTCGGGGATAAAACAACATAGTATTACCGTGTTATTTTATGAGCCCTTTAACTATGTCCAAAGACTGTTTCGGGGGAGAAACGATTCGATTCATTCGTCCATAGATTGGTATGGGTGTTAACGCCTCCTACCTCGAAGTATATCCGTGCAGCTAATGATTGGCGTAGGATCAATCAAGGGATATTCAACGATCGTGAATCCGTAAATAACAGCAAGGGAAGGTGACCAATGGAACACGCCTCATGATAACTCGTCCCGCATTCCGTGTTGAAACGCTGAAGTGGTAAGGATCGCATACTTAGGCCTAACCCTCCATCATCCCAGCCATACACGAGCGCTTAGCAGTTTTCATGCTGGCTTTAACCAACCAAGTCCTGAGGACCTGTGCAGGTTTCACGGTCTTTACTTTCAGAATTACCCGTCATCCGACTACTCAAAATGCAGGAACAAGATCCCCGCAGGGATAGAGAAGTAGGTCTTTGACGAAAGGTTGCTGCAAGTCCCTAGCAAGGACCTAATGTGCGATGCAGATCTACAGCATGCCACAACGACGGACCATTCTTCGTCTTTTTCTCCGATATCACGAGGCAGCGCTTCTGTCGCAAGCCACTGGTGGAACTATCATTCACAATTTATGGATGTTTACAAAGAATGTATCTCCCAACTTTGACACGCACAGCCCCATGGAGGGAGCGGACGTAACACGAGGGAGTCTCCAGAAGGACGTATCCAACTGTGAGGGCTTAGTTTTGGCATCTTTTTGACCTCAAACATCAAGATATGACAGACAAGACTTCGAAGATGCCAAGGTTGTTTACATCTATCTAGCTGTGTGGAGTTAGCGAATAAAAAAAAGCGCGAATATGATCATCCCTGTCTGGAGGAAATGACCATGTAAGTTGAGGGACGAGTGCCTCGCAGGGGTTGAAACCCAAGCATTAAGAGTTCAGTACCAGCCAAAGCTGGTCCCTGCGAGTAAACACGGGTTCCAAAAGCATCAAGCTCTCCAAGACTAAATCGCAAGGTTCATATCAATACATGATTTTGGGGATGTTGGCTCAAAAGCGAACCCGTTCCCCTCTGGCTGAATGTCAGGGGGCGGGATTAGAACGAGCATTCTTCGGTCTGGGTCCCTAAGCTAAAATATGTAGATAGAGTGAGGTTATTCCATCGACAAGAGTGTGTTGGGGACCGTGTATATGTTTTGAAGTGAAGAAAGAAAGGAAAAGAGAAAGCCGCTTGCAAAATTTTATTCGACGGGGTCAGTAGCGCGGATTATGTCATGGATCACATGACTAATATGGTCTTTGTGGGCCAGCCTCCTTTTGATGCCAACACCATCTCTATGGTTTCGATTTCAATTTGACAACCTCGTATGATCACCCAAGTCATTCTTGCTATACATTTGATAAATCTCGCACAATTTGAAAATTAAGATATATATTTGGAAATTTAGGGTGCGGTGTGGGCAATATATATAATCATGGTTCCAATGATTGGAAATCAATAATTAAGAATTAAAGTGGTTCGCAGTATTTTCTCGTTGTCATTTATAACTTCTTCATGTTTTTTTTACCAGTGAAAGTCACGAAACGAGCAATTCAACGCGCACAACTCATTCCGGATCCTCAACTGGACGAGAAAGCCGGCCCCGCGGTACCCACGCTGTAGCCGGAGTGAAGAACCAAGAGATGAGCGCGAAGATAGTGACAATACCTAGGATAATTGGCGCATCTAAGCATATATTAGCACAAAGTCTCTTCCAATGACCGCTAATAGCAGACGACACCTACAATTTAGAGTGGAGGCTTCAACGGGAAACGAATATGGCGAGAAGAGCACCGCGACAACCCAGCCATTCCACAAAACCGAGATGAACTGGAATGGTTTGCTTAGCCGCCCGAGAGACCATTTTGCCTCAAGCTTCTCCCCGGAGGTCAAAGTCAACCTTCCAAGGCTAATGAGTCCGTAGGCAGCAGCTGAAGGAACACCAGCAGCTGAGACCAGAGATGTAAATGCCACTGCGGACGGCAGAATAGTGCAGGTAATAACCGCGGCCACGCCCCATACAACAAGGACTGCGTTCCTAGGCTGACCCTCCGCAGAGACCCGCGATACCCATCCAGATAGTGGAAGTACTCCATCACGGGCGACGGCGAAAACTAGACGGGAGGCTGCCGTAATGGCGATGGCGGTATTCTATCATATAGGTTAGCATGTCCTCTTCCAGATCAACCATTTGATCTTTTACAATTAGTTGTAGGGAGTTTAAGAGCAACAGAAAACATACCAGCCATAGAGCTACAACCGAGAGCACATTCATCACAATGTGTCCACCCTCACCAAGAAGTGCAGCATACAAGGGCACGAAAGGTTGGGGTGCGTCATATGAGAAGAGAACATCGATTGGCGGCTGGCAAATTGTTAGTTTCTGGAATCTAGAAGAGAAGCTCCTGGACGAACATACTGAAGTGAAAAGGAATAAGATCACGGCAGAGAAGCCAAGAACTCCACTGACAACTGTACTCCAGAAGATACCCTTGGCGGCATTGACGGCGGCATTCTTAGTCTCTTCGGCGACATGACCCGAAGCATCAAAACCGATCAAAATACCGGCTGTCGCCAGATATGAAAGACACCAGTTCCAACCAGCCGGAGCTCCTGTACCGTTATATGTAGTCATAAATGCTTCATTGGCTGTCCGCAGGCCAAAGGTGTTGTGCGCACCGATTGGAAGCCAAATGACGTTCAATATGAAGTCCAGAAAGACAGCACCGGTCGAGAACCAAAAGACATATTTGAATACCCGCGCTGTAAATTGAAATCAGCATTATTGTCAAAAAGTCCAACTGTGGGCGAATATTAAGAGATGATAATATCTGCGCAGGCCATCTTACCAGATGCGAGGTTCATTAGTGCTGCTAAAGCCAGGAGGACTTCAGTGCACATCCATTGAACAGCACGGAACTTGATATTTGAGACATCAGTGGGAAAGTCGACATTGAAAACAGCCAGTTCCTAAGCTGAGTCAGTTTAGAGCCAAAACCGACAGATATAATAACATAATACGCACCGAAAGCATGTAGTTTACAGCTGACTGAGTATTGCCTATTATTGTAAATCAGTTAATCCAAATGTGGACGAAAAAAAAATAACGCCTGGGGGACTTACTGGCGCAGAATGTTGTCCAGGCTGTTGTGCTCCACCAGGCTACAATGAAGCCAAAGAGTCGCCCAAACCTTTTACCACCTGCCTCCGCAGCCCATAGATAAATCGAACCAGCAGATGGAGAAGCTGAGCACGCTTCTGCAATCACAGCTGCTGTGATGAATGTAAACACACAGGTTACAATGTAACTCGTCCTGATATACACGTTAATAAGGCTACCTTTGTTGCCCTTAAATCGGTTTCTGGATCATACCAATAAGCCAATGGTCCTCCAGCTGCGATACCTGTTGTAAATGTCACTCGGACACCACCGACGAAATACAGGGCAGCTGATCGAAAGAGTTAATGACCAAGAGCCTGGCCCCCACATCGTGAGAAGAAAGAGAACAATAAATACCGAACGAAGTTGAGAAATTCTCAAAGAGTGAGTAACTGCGATGAAGAACCTATGTCAATACGTTTGAAGTCAGTGTACAATTCTTGAATAGAAGATATATATCATTCCACTCACTTGTTTATATCCTAGACGCTCCTATGAAAGCCGCAGATGTCAATTCGTGCCATATCTTTATTGCACTTGGACGATATCATACCAATGTATTTTCATCACTGGCATTTACCTCCTGCGCAAGGGAGTCTTCAGGATTCTTAAGATCTGCCATGGCTCCGATGTACGTGAAAGTGAAGTACGTGCCGTTCCAGACCGGATCCTACGAGGGGACCAAGTAGAATAAATAGGGGCAAATTTTATTAGGGCTAAACCTTCAACAGCATTATTTACTACTCTTGTCATATATAGTATCGGTGATAAAATTTATTGGGATGAAGGCTTGAATGTGGACCTCGGCTTCTTCACGGAATGATTGCGTATGGCGCAAGATTATGCCACAAACGGTCCCGGTGGTGTTATCACGGCGCAAAAGCTAACCCGCGTGTACTAGATATGGCGTTTTTATTAAGAAACTCGAGTAATATACAGAAGGGAAGGTATAAGCGATGGGGTGTTTAGTTAAATTGGTTCTTATAAAGCATTCAGTAATTTCGCTGGTTACCAACGAAACAAAACGCTGACATTGTAGAAGTCATGTCATCGTTGATTTGGGGCCTCCTTATAGCTCTTGGGGTTGTTATTTGGGTATGCCAAGGAACTTGTTGACCTAAGAGAACTAACTGATCGTTCGGAAAGATTGTTCATACGTACTATTTTTCTCCTCTATCACACATCCCGAACGCCAATATACTTGTACCAATATCACGTTTACTATGGGAATTTCCCACAGAGTATCGAGGACGCCTAACTTTGGAACTACCCAAATTACACAAACGACTTGGTGAGTTCTAGCTCTGAGAACTGATTTTTGCTATTTTTCAAATGTGGAACAAAGCCCTAACAGCGGTTGGCTCAAATTAATACTTCAATTCTGCAACATATTCTCACAAATTTCAAGGTCCTTTGGTTCGAATCGGTCCTAATGAAGTATCCTTCTACTCCCTCGATATTTACAAGCGCGTACATGCAGCGGGCAGTAAATTTGTGAAGGACCCTCGAGTCTACAGCCAGTTCGTTCAAGATGGACACCCGGCCCTTTTTTCAATTACGTGAGTGTCAGATAAAGAGAAGACAAGGGATTTCCTAACTTGTATTTGTAGAGACCCCAAAGAACATGCACAGCGGCGCCGGCACATGGGTGTTCTCTTCAATCGAAGTAAAGTGCCCATCCTCACGCAGATGATGGTAGAAGAAATATCGAGTTTCAATACCCTGCTTGATAATCTAAGCCAGGGATCACTTGACTTGATTCCCACATGTCGAGCCCTTGAAGCGGATATCGTCTGTAAGTGAATATCCGGTAAATGACCACAACGTGATGTTTGACGTGATGAGTTTAGCAAGATTCGCGTTTGGAAGTTCTATTGGAGCGATTGAATCTTTGATGGAAGGAGAAGAACTACAAATCGTCAAAGAAAACGATTTGAAGTCCTCAAAAATGTCACTGGTATATACCATGACTGCATTACCCGAGGACAACGCTGATATGAGGCTTTTTTTTAGCACACAAACTTCCCCTCTATAATGAGAACATATGATATGATTGGTGAAGTCACTTCTCGAGTTACCGGTTGGGGTGGCTCATCGAAGTCAAGCAAGGAGTTTGAAGGGGTATGTATCACCCAAAGCTCGAAAATACCACCCACGATGAGAACCTTAACAAGTATTTTAGTGGGCAAGCGAGCAGCTGAAACTTGCTGCAGATTCTGAAAAAGCACCCGAGGTCTCATTTCTGAAGGTTATGGCCGGGGAGAGGATCTCCCCGGAGTCTGCCTTGTCAGAAAGCAAGGAGATGTTAGGTCCTGGCACTGACACAACCTCTGCCACACTCGCTCACATATTATGGGCACTGTCCCTTAACCAGTCCTTGCAAGATGATCTTGTTTCGGACTTAAAGACTGCTAATTGGACTACGGATATGACGGAGCTCGAGTCAATACCAAGATTGGCAGCTTGCGTGAAGGAGGGAATTAGATGGACTGGAGCAGCATCAGCTATGCTACCTAGGATTGTACCGACGGGAGGATCGTTGCTCGCTGGAAAGCACATTCCGGGTGGTGTAGGTTCTTTTACACAAACTGCACCGTTATCTGGCTAACACTTCGCAGACTATGATTTCCAGCTCGCCTATCTGGTATCTACATGACGAGACTGCTTTCCCTGGGCCTCATTATTATCGGCCTAATCGATGGCTCGAGAGAGAAGACGAAGACTCTGTTACTTTGCGCAGCGATTATTATATCCCGTTTTCCAAGGGCTCCAGCACCTGCATTGGCAATCAGTATGTATCACCTGCATTCATATACAGCTGTTATTCTTGATTTACTGACCTGCGACGACGACGACGACTAGCTTCGCATATTTGGAACTTTACCTATCAGTCTCTCAGATCTTGAAAAAGTATCGTATCCAGCAGCTAGAAAAGTCCACGATCAACGTTGATGTTGAGGCAACCCTTCCCCCACGACTGGAATGGGTTGCTGCGGTCCCTACTGGGAAATTGCAGGTTGTTGTATCAAAAAGACTCTTGTAAGGATATTCTACTACAAAGTTGAATGAAAACAAGATCATGGCATGGAGTACGGTGGCTCTGAAACAACGGATTCCGGGATGAGTCCGCCACAGGATTCTGTGGTTAGAAATTTCTACCAGTCTAGGGTAAACTGATCTAATCATACATGATAACTTAGATTAGCTTGACCCTCGCTAAATTCCAGCTCATTCTTTCCCAGATGACGCGTACTCCATGGAATTCAGGCCCCTGGGTGTGGCTCTCCTCTCATTTAGCTCAGCCACCATTAGCAACGTATTTTCGGTTGACGACCAGGGATTATTCGCATCGCAACCCATCTTGGCATTGCCATTCGCTGCACATTCGCAGAAGTTCCCAAGCAGGAAGTGGATGTGACGAGCAGTCGGTTGTGGTTGTTTTGAAATCGTCACCGTTGCTGATGAGATGACCCGCAGATGTGCTGCAGTTCGTAAAGTCGAGACGGGCAATGGCATTGCTCGCAAATTTTGTAAGCCACCTTGGTCGGACAGGCGTTGACATCAGCATAAGCTGATCCTCGGGCGTCTGTAACTGCTCCTGGTGCTAATATAAAGGTATAGTGAGCTCGGTTTCTGATTCTTCAAGCGGTTTGAAAGGAAATTTCTTTTTTCCCCCACAGAGTAATGACTCCAGGACTGAGACTGGTCACGTTCCAGGGCCATTGGTTGGGTCGCGGGAATCAAGAAATTTGCCAGCTCTCCACCGTGCTTGCCGATTATTTGTCAAAAGGATGGACAAAAAGCTCCAAATGTCGGGGTGATTCGAAAATACAGTCTGTGGCTGAGCGACCAAGGATATACGAGAAGGCGAAGAGAATAGTAGAAAAGTCGTGCAAAGTTGGCACGAGAACGACAGGAATAATAAGAGAAGTTGTAATAGGAAAACTGAGAAGGTAAGAAGAAATGTAAAAGAGTAACGATGGAGGTTGTCAGAGATAGCAAGGGAAATGGAAAGAGAATTAAATGAACACTAAGAGTGATTGATCATATAGTGAGGTGGAATGGGTATAATTTCGATAGAGGCCTCTCAAACTTTTCATATCGACGGAGTCAACCCCTCTTGAGGCCAAGTCATATCTAACCACCTGGGTCTTCACCCATTTGGTTTTGGATTTGATGTAATATATGTGCGGTAAATAGATAGATCCATCTGTCGATCTGACCCATTTTGGAAACAATTTGGAACACTCGGAATCGACTTTATAAATTAGAGTTGTTGCCACTATGGACGTAGAAACATCAAATGCCATTAAGGTTGAATAGAAACGAAGACCATACACAACAACAAGAGGTAAGGGTATAGCCAGAGTCAAAACCCATATTCATCTGTTGTCCAAGGCCGCACAGTGGTGCCTTAGGCACTAACATCCTTTTCGGTAGATAGTCGGTAGATCGCTCTCCTTAGCAACCAACTCTCTCCCTCCTCCCCTGCTGGCCCCTACCATTCGTCGCCGCCACAACATCATCCACACCCAAACGTCGCGGTAGTTCCACAAATCCCGCAGATCCCGCAGATCTTGCGAATAGGGGGTGATATTCACACCTAAGGCATCAACAGTCCCGCATATTCCGAAAGATCTGAAATATCAGTTTGCAGGCAAAAGGGGAGAAGACACATATAATTGCAGGAATAAATATACAAAATGGGGCGAAAAGTACAAAGATCATTTATCCAACTAATCTTCTTTCTCTGCATTCTCTTTTGCATCTTATACCTAAACCGCCCGCAATCAACCAAAGACAAACTCTTCGCCTGGACCAAAATTCGCTACAAAACAACATCATCCATCATCCCGGAAGCCCGCGGAGTCTGCCCCGGTCTAGCAGAAACAACCAAACCAGCCCTGATAGTCTCACATGTCTCCACGGATGGCGACCCATCCTGGCTAGAAGCCCTCCGCACCCAGTACCATGTATGCATGTACGAAGTGGACGCGCCAGCAGACAAAACCTCCAAATTACTCCAGGTCCCCGCAAACCGCGGACATGAAGCAATGGCCTACCTAACCTTCCTAATCGACAACTATGCGGACATACCATCCGCCGGCGCCGTTTTCGTGCATGGCAGCCGCTGGGCTTGGCACAATGACCGCCCAGACTACGACAACGCCGCGCTCCTACGCAGCCTGAATGTCCGCGCCGCACTAAAGCCCGCCGGGTATAGCAATCTGCGCTGCGACTGGAGTGTCGGAACGTGTCCTTCTTCCGTGCCGGCGCAGGGCAGTCTCGAGATGAGACTGTCGAGCGCCGTGTCGCCGTGGAGTCCGCGCTCGGCATCGGATATAGCGCTGCCGAAGGCGCTTGGCCATATCTTTGGCGGGGATGCTGATGCACGTGTCGAAGAGATTCGCAATGCTTTCCATCTTCGTCTTGGTCGGAATGATGCCGTGCGCGCGCAGTGCTGTGCGCAGTTTGTTGTTTCCCGCGAGCGGATCTGGCAACATGATCGAGATGAGTATATTGCGCTTCGGCAGTGGTTACTCGATGGGAGTGATGATGGGGTTGCACGGAATGTCCAGCGGGGGTCTAGGGCTGCGCCTAGTGATGACCGTGTGGCTGGTCGGATTGTTTCGTATCTTTGGCATATTCTTTTTGCGAACTATGGGGATGATGGGGGCATTCATCTTGACCAGTTGAATCGCGATGCTTGTCCTAATGCTTCTGAGTGCTATTGTCGGTTGTATGGCAAGTGTGATTTGAAGTGTCGGGGCCCGGGGACCTGTAAAGGGCAGTATTCTGTGCCGAAAGATTACAAGCTCCCTGAGGATTGGGAGAAGACGCACTCATGATTCACGAATTATTTTGTGGTTTTTGAAACTTGTTTATATAATATAGATTGGGATAGACTGGGATGCATCGTGTCATTTAAAGTGTAGTTGATAGAGTTATGTACAAATTGTTTAACCGAGATAATGTTTTACCTGTTCCTCTAGAATCTGGCAAGGACTCGCTCTTGGGTGTCTGACAGGGCATACTGAGAGCTGTGTGTCTTGCTCACGACGGACTTGGCCTGCTCGTCAGTGAAGCCCTTGGCCTCTACAGCTGGGTTGTAGCCCAGACCGTTGATCTTGCCAACAACGTCTGAGGGGACAGCGACAGCGGCCTTGCCATCAGTACGCTTGTAGACGGTCACAACAACGGCACCACCCAGACCAAGGTTGTGCTGCAGTGCCATGGAAGTACCGTCAACCAGGCGGTTATTAGCCCAACCACGCAAGTGCCACACCAACTCAGCACATTGTGCAATACCCGTAGCACCAAGCGGGTGACCCTTGGAGATGAGACCGCCAGATGGGTTGATAACCATTTTCCCGCCGTACGTGATATCGCCACGGCGGACCATCTCATGGGCTTGACCGGGCTCACACAGTTCCAGTGCATCAATGGTAATCATCTCATTGGCCGAGAAGCAATCGTGCAGCTCGCAGACCTTGATATCCTTGACATTCACACCAGCCTCGGCCGCCGCAGTGCGGCACGCCTTGCGCGACATGCCGAATCCCATTAGGTCAATGGAACTTTTGTTGTAGACTGTGTCGGTATCGGTGGCAAGGCACTGACCGGCGATGAGAATGGCGTGTTCCTTCAGATGTGGTCGCGCATCGAGGAAGTCCTGCGAGACAATAACAGCGGCGGCACCGCCATCCGAGGTTGGGCAGCACTGCAGCTTGGTCAGAGGCTCGTGGATCATGGGTGCCTTCATGATCTGGTCGAGGGTGTATTCGGTTTGGAATTGCGAGTAGGGGTTGCGCTTGGAGTGCTCGTGGTTGATGCGGGCGATCTCGGCGAAGTCCTCGTTCTTAGCACCGTACCTGTTTTTCGCATGTTAGCATGGTATCTCTACTTTGAGTTGATATCGTCTCGAGAGGCTGCGTACTTCTCCTTGTATTCCACACCCGCGTTTCCAAACATCTGTGCGGCACCGGGCGCGTTCGTCACACCCCGCGTCTCGGCCATCATCGTTCCAAACAGTCCTGTTGGGTTCTCGCGATCGTTGTACATGGTTTGCAAGCTACCAGGGTTCATCTTCTCGAAGCCAACGACCAACACACAGTCTGCAGCACCGTGGGAAACCATGGTGCGGGCCATGGCGAGGCCAGTCGAACCAGTCGAACAATTGTTGTTGACGTTGTATATAGGGATGCTGGTCTGACCGAACTGGTAGAAGACGCGCTGGCCACATGTGCTGTCACCATACACGTAGCATGCTACACCTTGGTCAACTTCATCGTAGTTGATCTTCGCGTCGAGCATGGCTTTGATGCCGGCCTCATAGCCTAGCTCATGGTAGTCGACCTTGCCGCGTGGCTTGATAAACTTGGTCATGCCAACGCCTAGGACGTAGGCGGGGGTTCCTTGCTTTTTTCCCATATTGTATGAGTTGATTTATGGTTAGAGATGAAGATAAGTGAATTTGGTATATGTCCGACTTAAGAAGCGCCTTATAAATACGAATTAGCGGGCCCGGATGTGGGGAGCTCAGCATGGAATTGCGGGGAGAGACCGAGGTCCCGAGGAACAATGTGGCACTGCACAAGTTTGTTCACATAATCTCAACATTAACATCGAAAATAATTTGCTCGAGCGTTCTGAAAAGAGAAGAAAACCATGTGTTTGATTGAGCTTGGGTCTCACATGAAAAAAACATAAATATATATATAAAGGCCGGGACGTACAGGACAACACAAGGTGACTACTCCGTGCAATCAACATCAACAATTCATAATCCAGTCTAGTCTAGCACAGTTGGAATCAGACATCGTTAATTTTGCCTCCAATTGTAGAAGTTTATATTGCTGGATTATCTATGGAGATGGGAACTGGATTGTTGCTTAATGATGATTTACAGCATCTCTCAATCACGCACACCAAATTGGGTTGATTTGAGTCTGGAATCTCAGTTTACAATCATTCTACGGGTTGGATGGATGCGATAATTGGTGGGTGGTAAGGAGCCCAATCCATGCATGCGCTACCTGGTGACGGAGTACTGTCCTCCACATATATTGTAGAGCTCTCCATGATCCGTGGTCTAACCTTCTGTGATCAACTTCCCAAAGTCTGTTTTGCATACTGCACACCATAAAGTATTTCCTGTCTCTGCATGAAATGTATAGAGAAGACAACAACAACATGATCAGACCGCGACCGGCAGATGTGCGGCGGTGCCGAGATTGACATAGTGGGATAACTTTTGCCAAATAGAATGAGATCAGGGTCTCTAGATCAAAACCACGTTTCCACTGGGTATTTTCAATCATGTACTCCTTACATTTGCAACTGATCTGGGGGTAAGCACTAAGAAGATGTTCACTGTTCTCCGCTATTCACGGGTGTTCACGAAGACGTCACTCTGTTTGGCCCTAAACCGCTTTGAGCGCCTAGTTTAAGCTCGGTCCACATGCCATTTTACTGCACTTCCCTCTTCCTTTCTTCACATAGCATTAGCTCACCTTCGGTCTGGTGAGATACTGTGGAAATATAGTAAGTTATACTTGTCAAACTGAGAAACTCGCATTCTGTTTGGTCCTGTTATTGAAAATCGAGAACTGCGGGGAAAGCAAATTGATACTAATGGTCGTCTTCGTCTTCCCACAGCTCCCGATCACAGTCCGTAACCCATTGCTACAGACGATACATCTTGGGCAAGAAGATCCAGACTGTCTGGAACAAGGGACTCTCCCAGAGCATCACTTGAACCGCTCAGTCCTGCACCACACCTCCTAGATCCTATTCGCAAAGCGGGGTTGCATCATTCCTGTGGCTGTAATTGTTTCGGCCACCGATCTCGCACCTATACTTATAATTTTGCAAAGACGGCTCCAAACGTGCCAATCTACACTGCGAGAGTCTCCCGGGGTACTTTCCAACAGACTGAAGATAGATCTGGGTTGGTCGGGCCGATTTAATGGACAATTGTGGGACGCTGAACGGTCTACTCTAGTTCTGAGAGACCGCTTTGCGTTCCATCGGGTTCCCCAGCCTGCAAGTGTAAGAGTCTGTGCAGAATCCCACCTTCTGTCACGACCGGAGAGATATTACTATAGCTATTCCTCGCCGCCGCCAATGGAGCACGTTCAGGGATGACTAGTGACAACAGTTCTGAACATGCACCATCACCCTCGTCAACTCACCGCACAAGAACCGCCGTCATGTCAGACCGCAAAGCTTGGAACATGGATGAGGCCACACGCAACAGACTCCTCAAAAAGTACAAAACCCAGGTGGCTTCGGGGGCGTCAACCATTTGCGCGACGCTGGCGGTGGTGAGTGCCTGATTCCTCGGAACATTGCTTGATATCCTCACCCTTCGTTTCTGTCACTATGATATCAGATACAGACAATGCTAATTTGCCGGAATTTGTTGCGCAGACTCCTTTAGAGAACATTAAGACTCGGATGCAGACGTGAGTATTCTATGTGGCCTTGGAGATGGGAACTAGCATGCTAATTGATCTAAAAGACACAATTTCAAGAACATATGGCAGTGTGTTCGCTATCTCTGGCGCACCGAAGGGCCTCGAGGATATGTAGCTGGTAAGTCGCTATCCATGAGTCGGCAGCGGAAGGGTCGACTAACCACCACCTAGGCGCGCTTCCACCCTTGGCGAGTGTCACAGTAGTCCGTGTCGTCAACTTTACTGTGTATAATGCCTTCAAGGACATAATTGCCGATAACGTCGAGCGCGTAACTGGTTCCAACCCTTTGGACCATTATAAAAAGCCTGGAAGCACCCCCACCCTGACGGGTATTCTTACTTTCACCACTGCAGGCCTCGTTGCTGGCTTGGTGGCATCACCTATTGCTTGTATGCTTATATTGATCACATGAACGAGTGGGAAGGGATAGGCTGACATCCAAACACAGGCCCGTTTGAGTTGGCGAAGAATGTCGTCCAGACCTCTGTTCTAGTGTCGAACCGCGCGATGGCTGCCCCGGATGCGGCCCGAGACCAATCCTTGCGCCACAAGCCCCGCTTGGGGACCATCCAAGCCATCAAGAAGATCTACATACGCCATGGATTCTGGGGTCTTTACACCGGTTTCCGCTTGCATGCGTTGCGTGACACTGTGGGCTCAGGCCTGTACTTCAGTGTTTACGAGACTGTCAAGCAAGTAGCAGCCAAGGAGATGGGTCAGGACACCAATCCCTTCGGGGCACCTATGATTGCCGGTGCTATTTGTAGCACTGTACCTTGGTTTTGCGTATGTGATCAGACCGATCCGCCGTTTTGTGACGAACATATACTAACGTGACTCATAGACTTATCCCCTCGATACGCGCAAAACTCGTGCGCAGAGTGTTCTGCTAGGAAAATCCAGCGAAATTGGTGAAGCCTCAAAAGCTGTCGCCAAATCCAGCATGTACAAGGGCCTATCCATCATTCTTATACGGACCGGCGTCAACAACATGATCCTGCTCAGCATTTTCGAGTACATTAGAATGCGCATCGATAACCTGCCGAAGGAAACTATCTATTGATAGAGACACGGTGATCGCGTTAGGATGAAATAACGATCCATAGGTTGAACATTTTCTTTGCCATTGTGCCTTGAACATCGAGGTCTTTTCTCGTATTTATTACTCATATACATACATGGATGAGCTTGAGGCTCATTTTTAGCAAATAGCAGAATGGATCATTAAACTTCGAAGCGATATGTAAGAAAGGAAAAATATTAAACAAATGGGCGCAATCTTCGCAGCGCTAGGGTAACTTCATAATCGGCAGCATCTTCTCGGCCATATAGTCTGAATGCCACTTGCAACTTCTTTGCCCAGGTTTTCTGTTCCATAGCTAGCCTAACGATGCTCTGATTGCTTTCTGACTTGAACAATTGCACCGTTTTGTCTAAGCTCGGTCTTAACATTGCGTCCATAAAAGCATCTAGCAATCCCTCTTCTTCGAGAAAGAAAATTGACAGGAGGGCATAAATAAATCTAGATGAAAGAGTTATGCTGAAAGTCTCTGCGACAAACCTCTGTGTACTGTCGACAATAATAGAATGCAAACTCTGTTTCTGCCCATCCAAGTCCACGCCACGCGCAAGGTATTGGAGCCCTCGAATCAACCGCCGTCGCATGTCACTAAGCTTTTGAAAGGGTGTGCCAGGGAGACAGGCCCTGCAATCACAGGTAAAACGTAGAGTTTGATGACGCTCATATCTAGTCCTGCATTCGAAATCTGTATTATAACAGAGATTGATTTCCTCACCAACGTCCATGTCCCTAGTCGCAAAGCTTGAAATAATCTCTCCACTAACATTTGGAACCTTCGAGTTGGGTATGCAAGAATGGTTGAAGCGCGAATGAAGGGGAAAGAGACCATGAGCTCCAGGCTCGTCATGGTCTGGATTCGCGATGTTGAACGAGTTTTCAGCGAAAGCTTCATCCATACTTGCAAAACAGCTTGCTCCATTGTTGCGAAGGAGTAAAAACTGTGCTCTTTGGCTAGGCGACAATTTCTGAAAGGCCACAGTCACATGGTAGTCCGTGATTTTGGTATGCGACTTCCGGATAATGAAGGTTGGCTTTTCGCTCAGAATCAGGGCTCCCCGGTCAATGTGTTTTGTGGCGAAAGCACCCCATCCTTTGCCTGGCGAGGGTCTCAGCTCGAATGGTACTTCGAAGGGCACTTCGAGGCGGTGGTATGCTAGCAGATATTAAGTCAGATGCATTGTCAAGCTACTGAGTAAGGCAACGTACGATGGGCTGCGGCTATGGCAGTGTATGTGTGTGGTCGACGTTGTGAGTTGTCATAGTAGAACCGGACTTAAACCAAATTGGAGGGCAGAACAAAATAGAGATTAGTACAAAAGAATATGTTAAATAGATGGGAGGCGACACGATAGCTCTATTGAATCGGCGGGGAAAGCGGCAATCTAGTAGGTCAGGGGAGGCCTGGCAGGGCGCATTTGCAGGGATCAGACATTGATATCGATAATAATAATGCCCAACAAAGCACAAGGACGAGCCCAAATGATATGGCGTATCAATTAGTCTTGTTGTGGACCAGCTGAATCGTTTGCACCTAGACGGGGGGGGGGGGCACCCCTTTTTGTCTAACATGTTGGCGTCATGATCTGGCCGGCTCAAAACGCAATGTTTTGAATTTACTACCTTAGTGGTATATGAGGGAATATCCTAAGAGTTTGAGAAGGCTGTAGCCACATAAGATGCTCTCGGCGTAGGCGGAAATAGTACAAAGAGAAGTGACCGTACCATCAGCCCTAGCTAGGTAGACCATCCTCTACATCCATGTAAGATCTTATTATCGTTATCTCGTTTGCACTTAACATTTTAACTGCCTAATATTACAGATATGATGGATAGATTCCTCATGTTTCGCAATGCTGCTCACCCCGTTTCCCGGCACTTTGTCACGCAAGCTTCTCGGACTCGCCATGTCCAAATACTCTTTGGCGGCTTTGAAAGGCTAATGTCAACGAATTCTTTTTGAGTAGATATATAACGTAAGAACTGGTCACAGAGTCAGGCATTCTCATCAATCCGAAGCAATTCAATGTTAAGAGATCAGAAATGAGGCCAGGCTTTTTTGGGCACCTTTCGGCTAATGGCCTGTGTCCTCAAGATCTAAATTTGCCAAGTAGAGCACATATATGCCAACATTATTAAGACCTAGAATTTCAGAGATTTAAGTATCTACACATCAAATTATCCAATTTATAGGTCTTAGCTAGACCTAAGCCAAGTAATAATGCCAGTCAGTTTTTATCCGCCATCAGGTCTCGCAGGAAGTCCTTAGTTTATATCTTTCTAAGTGTGTTGACCAAATTTTCTACGTTCAAAAAGGCAACCCATAATGCTGCTATATAACCCGAGGTTGCCAGGCCTCTTCTCTCCCAATCTGACAGTGAAAATACAATGGCAGAACCTTCAGCTGCTGAAGACTTTGTCTCTACTCATACCTCAATTCTCTAGATAGTTTATTTCTTTACCGACCCACCAACAAAGCCCGTTACTCCACTTGGTCTTCGAGCTCCCGAATTGATTCTTAATAGAGCCGTCAACAATACCGTTGATCTCTGGAGCTTCGGTTGCCTTATCTTTGAGTTACTACCGGACAGCCACTCTTCTGTATACCATATTCCGAGATGGAAGATGATCATCTTCTCTCCTTCACCGCCCAGCTCGGTGCCCTCGCCGACGAGTTATTCAAGGGAAAGAGAATTCGACCCTATGGACGGCCGAGAATATGATATATGGATTATCGTAGCGGAAGTACATATATGTTCTTACGACTCCTACAGGAGTGACGTTTGGCTCGTCTTCTTGATCTAAGAATTCAGGGAGGTTTAAATCAGTACCAGATAATATCTGATCCCAGATTCCATACTCCCAGACACGCTATTAATTGCTCCCAGAAGTAGTAATCAACGCTCCCAGGGTATCACCTCTTATTCCCCGGAGCTATACAGTCCACCCCGGGAGCTATAGGTGCTCTAGGACCATAACCGTTCCTCCTGTAAGCGGACAAGACCGTGCCTAGGAACTATACTACGGATTCTATGGTCGAATATAATCCTAGAAATGTGAGGGTCTTACTCGCGAGATAAGAAAAGCGGGATCTGGTCTAGCTAATTAATATTTGGTATACAAATGGCTTCAAAACGCGAGCAAAGTGCAAAGACACTGTTTGAAGAGACAACGTTGATGAACAATAACATACAACCAACGGTTATTTGGGAGTTGACCAAAAGTACAATCAATCGAATAAACGAGAATAGACACATAGTCTGTGAGACATCGTCGACGAGTAGTACAAGGCCCCATAGTAGTGAAAGTTGAGGGGTCAACGGCAAGCAAACTTGTAGTTTGTTGATTAAACAATTGGTTGTCTTAGAAATGCGAGGGTTTAGAAAAAATATAATTATAATTAATTTATTGTGTTTTTAAAGAAGTAGGGTGTTTATTAAATATTATTAGGTAGACAGCAGTCTCTACTCCAAATCACACGCATTCTATCTCGATTTATTTGGTCCAAATTGCGGATGTTGAAAAGGGCCCCTCCGAGAGTCTGAAAGCTGCGGTTTGGACACTAAAAATGTGTACCGCTAAGCGGCCATTTGATCCAGGAAATCTGGTCTGGGCCAGTGGCCCTCTTGGCGGCATCCTGAGGGACTTTGACGATACTATTGTAGTGGTCCGAATCCCAGTGGGTGACGATAATTGCATCGAACTTTCCGCTGGCTGGAGGGAAATTCATAGATTGCATTGATTCACTTGATAGCCGGAATCAGCCGATGATCATTAATATTTGGCCTCCTTCCATCCAGCTCAGTATAGTCTTCCCCGCCGTCAATCAACACAGCACCGCACACAGTCTTCTTTAGGTTTATAGTCATCGTCTATGAGCAGATGGCTGGCTGCATCTCCGACCTTTTGGCTGATATATGTAGCAAATCAGCGAGTGACATGGGTTAAGATTTTTGTTTTGTTTTTATTTTATTTTATGCCCTCACAATTTTGTTCTGGTCTTGCACCGAAATAGCTTGGGGTGTGGTAGATTCATTATATCCGTATGCAAAATACAATTCCACCGGAACTGGGGCCAAAATGTTGAAAGGGGCCATCCAAGTTCGGGAAAACAGAAAACATGAAAATATGAAAATATGAAAATCAAACAGAGAAAGAACAGATAACCGTATCTTAAGAGGTGTGTAGAATGGAACATAGAGACCGGGAATTTGCCGCGCATTCTATACTACCTTAGGCACGGTATGCAGATGCATCCTTGCTCCTTGCCTGACATATGACAGACGTACACTACCAAGGAAGCATTTTCTCAATCATACCAATACCTAGACAGATTGAGAATGTAACAGTACATCGTGCTAACACTGGTAAACCTGAGGTTGTAAGTTTCATAGGGCCGGCTAATCGGGTTGATACTTCGGTTCCGGGGCCGTGATGGGTTGGTTCATGTGTAAGAATACCCCAAGGGCAGCCAACGGTCCAGCGGCGAACTGTGGCCACATCCAGCTCCATGGCCTCTTTTCCATCTCCGCTTGCATTATTGCTCCCCACTTTCGGAAATTTGGGCTTGAGGTAGGGTTGCAGCCAGCTCCATTCCGCCGCTGCCAGAGTGGGGGTTTGATCTTGCCCGCAGGCTTATCGTTCACCGGGTCGTAATCGGCCTGTAATGGTTTGTCGGGGTCAAAGACGCCACTTCATCTTCAACCACCAATAGGGCAAAACGGAAGAAGGCTGTCATCTTGAGGAGGGACGGCTCCCACGCCCAGGGGGCGAGAACCAGGGACTCCATTGAAATAATGCTGAAGTAGGGGTTTACGGGGGGTAAATGGATCGACCAGCAAACCACACACTATTAGCTTGCGGCTACGGTCCCGGGTATATCCCTTCTGCGCATTCGCACTGTACTATTCCGTGAGGTTCAGCTGGAACGGACTGAGACTCAAAGAATCTAGCCTGGTCGATAGTTTGGACTTTGATTGTATCGCTGGGAGATGGCGTGTATGCACTATCGAGTGTGACGGCATTCGCCGGCCGGAGCAGCCTTTTAGCACAGATATATACCACCAATCCTTCATGCGGACGCAGGGCATCCCCTAGCTTGACGAAGAAGTCGTATTGGGAGACCTTCGGATCTGGATCTGGAAGGAGACTTCGGTGGCTTCAGCTCTTGCTGCGTCCGTACCGTGAATTGCTTTTTTTTATCTCACAAGGCGTTTTCTTCCGGGTGCGAAGCGTCTGCTATTATGCCTTCTGTAGGGGCCATCTCTACCCTTAATCTTTTATAGTGCTGTTTCCATTTACTCGTCTTTCATCGTTCGCCATGGCACAGTTTGATAATGCCTAGTGCAGAGTATCTGATATACTCAAGAGCGACCTTAAAGTGAACCTTTGATACCACCGAGCTACTTTTAATGACTGTTGACATACGTAACCTACTTCAACATCACATATAACGAGAGTAGAAGCAACCTTGGCTTGTCTTTCTTAACTGGGTAGGCGCAGTCACATAATATCATTTAGCTACATGACACCTTTGAAAAACTAATTAAGCGACACTGCTCCGGCTGCACCGGGATCCTTGATTCGATGTCAAGACGCTCGATAACTTCACTTTAAGCTTCAAGAAATCGAAGCCCATGGTAAGGATTGACATTATGACAGTCGGGCTCACGGTTAATATGAGGCTGTCCACAAATACCACCATAACTCCGAAATGGGGTCGATTGGCTCTTTGCACTCACTATACTGCAAGATGTATAAAATTTCAATCCACCCCATGACGTGCTCGAGTAGATCTAGACTATAAGAGATCTAGAATCTACATAGGTGTATAGCTGGCTATGTAGTGAAGATTTTGAAATTCGACCCTGCGTTGCATGTGCGCTTCTTAGTGATCTAGTCCTACCATAAGGGACTCATGAGATAGCTAGACAACACCACCAAGTAGGTAGGCTCTGTAGAATAGGATGACATCCAGTGCTCCTGTACATTCGTCACCACATCATCACCATTTACACGGGTGAAGACTTTCTAACGAGAACTGCGATGACGTACAGAAACTTGATGCAATGAATAAATATCATCGTCTATCCTCCATCTAGTCGTATATACTTTCACCGAAGACTTCATCTTTACGTCTTACATTTGTTTCAATTGACGAAGGTCTAATCACTTGTGTTATTTTGAACAGAATCTGTAGCAAAAATGGGCCAAAAAAAGGAAGTTGGCACTTACTATGGCTGTTGGGTGGGTGAGATGACTTTCATTTAACCCTGCAATTCGACCAGTGTTATGCTAGTAGATGCCGCATGTCGGCATCAAGCCCCGGTCTTTATCTTGCGATTTCCAAAGCTACATGGCCCACGATTTGGCTATAAAGATTATGGCTAACTGGTTATATAGTCCAAGTGGGTATATCCAGTTGAAAAAATCCCCGCCGAGGACTTGACTCGGATCTACCTTGCCTTTCTGGACGTCGATGTGGATGGAACAGTGTTAGTAATAATGCTCCATGATTTTCATAACTCGGGCTAATGACATGGACAAACCAAAGCAAAGAGCGCAAAGGCTATGAATATATCTTCGATGTTGCAAAAGACCTAATCGATAAGGTTAAGCCGAAGAACCCAGACCTTAAACTGATTTTCTCGATTGGAGGTGGAGACTCTTCTGCGACCTTTCCATCGGTCGCAGCTGATCCAGATAAGCGTGCAAAATTTGCGGAGACCTCCCAAAAGCTGGTCGAGAATTACAAATTCAACGGTAGGACACTAAACGCATGATAAAATTCTCCCAGAGGTTGACATTCTGGCAGGAATCGATATTGATTGGGAGTATCCAGCAAGTTAGAAGAGGCTGTCCACATCGCTATAGGAGTGAAAACTAATGGAAAGACTAGGCAAGACCGATGGTTCCAACTTTGTTCTCCTTCTTGAAGCATGTCGAAAGGTACCCTAGACTAACTCATATCCATTATGACACCAGATCATTAATGAACTATAGGCGTTGGGCAATGACAAGGGCTTAAGTTTTTCTAGCCCAACCGGTGAGTCTCTGTTAATTTATTATATGCCTCTTTCTTTGCAAGCATGCTGACAGGTTTGTTCGCGGAGGTTCTCAAAACTACGACAATCTCGATTTCCCAGGCATGAACAAATATTTGGACTTCTACAATTTCATGGGATATGACTTGGCAGGCAAATGGAACGACAAAAGCACACATTCGTCGAATCTACACCTACATGATTGTACTTACTTGAGTATTGATAATGCTCTAAAGGATTATCTAGACAGCTCGGTGCCTGCTGACAAAATCATCCTCGGAATGCCCCTGTACGGGGTCGTGTTTGAAGGCACCGACGGTCTTTGTAAACCGTACGAGTCAGTACGCAGTGACAACCCGTTCTATGCCGACTTATTGAAGGGTCCCCAGCCAGAGCTCGACCAGGAAGCAGGGGCCTCGTATACCTTCGACAAGAGGACATTCACCTCATGGGACACTCCAGATGAGATCAAACTGAAAGCGAAGTATGTTAATTCTCGTGATCTGGCTGGTGGCTATTTTTGGCAATGCGGTGGTGATACGATTGGCGAGAACAACGCAGTTACTGCATTTAACCAGGCGTTACGCAAATAAACGTCTCGGTCATGGGCAAGGAGTGACTGGCAAATAGTGTGAGCATTTATTGAGAGGCAACAAGTCTATTGATATTGACAAAGTTGCATCAATTCTGCCTTGGTGGGGGTTTTTTTATCCTTCTAGGTTTTCCCTTCACTGATATGCAAATGCAGAGGCTTATCCAAATGAGAAAGCAGAATAGGTATAGGTTTTGAGATCACGTGACCACTTTACTCCCAGCTCTTAGTCTCAGTATTATTGTAGTTGGATAGTAGCCGTTCACAGAATAAATGGCCATGTAGGGCCTATGTCATCTGGGTACGACCTAGTTGAATCATCCCTCACTATTTTGTAATCCCTTTTATTTCAGAATAGTCAGCTCTCCGACAATTCTTCGATTTTAATAAGGTGAACTGTACATTATGTAGGAAGGCTCAACTGATGCCTCAGGCCATAGAACGTCATTCCGTTGCCCGGTGGGGTTGAGCTTCCCGTCAAAACAAACGGAATCTTCCAAACCCCGCCTCGAGCGACAATGGCGTCGTGAGTACCCCCAGCAGTATGCGAGAAATTGCGAGAAGAGAGTAATCCCACTGACTTGTTCTTCTGTTTCATTGCTTTAGTAATATCCTTCAACTCCCGTTCCGGCGCTCCCATACCGTCTCGCTCTCCGAAGCAATCACCCAGTACATTTCTTCCAAATATGACCAGCGCCCGGATATGTTTGCTGAAGATCTGATGATCATTGATCGTCTAAGATCTGAAGCTGTAAATGTCCAGGAACCGCATTTTAGTGGTGTCAGCCGCTTGGTCACGTATGCGGCTCAGCTGAAATGGCTGAGTGGAAAGTTCCCAATTGATGTGCGCCGTTATTTCTAGGTCCTGTTTACTTTATTTGGCATCGTAAGCTGATGGTCGGCGTGCTATATAGGTCGGAGTGGAATTTTCGTGGTATCCGGCTTTTGGCTTTAATGCTTCGCGGCCAGGTGAGTTGATTTCATGAGGTCATATCCTCCGCATGGGTCTGATTTGGTGAACATGAAACTAATAAGAATAAACATGGCTTTTAGTCTCACAAAATAACCTGCGCTTCGAACTAGCGAACGTCCTATTCAATCTTGCCGCATTATACTCCCAGCTTGCATATGCCACAAACCGGACTACCGCAGATGGACTCAAGCAGGCGTGTAACTACCTCTGCTCGGCTGCTGGAGTCTTGAGCCATCTTCGAACCGATATCATCCCAGAACTTCGAACGTCGCCGCCCGAGGACATGGACGATATGACACTGCAGAGTTTGGAACTTCTTTTGCTCGGACAGGGCCAGGAGTGCTTCTGGCAGAAAGCTGTCAAGGATAGACTGAAAGATGTATCTATTGCTAAATTGGCAGCAAAGGTTTCCGACTTCTATGGCGACGCAGGTGACTTGGCTGTCAAGTCTAATGCAATTAGCACGGACTGGATCCACCACATGACTGCAAAGCATCACCACTTTGCAGCTGCAGCTCAGTTCCGACAGGCGCTTGACTGCCTGGAGAAACGAAAGTATGGAGAAGAGGTTGCTCGGCTGCGCGATTGCTTGATCTGTGTTGGCGAAGGGTTGAAAGAGCAGCGGTGGATCAATCGGACTGTGCTGGGTGACTTGACTGGATTGAGGAGCCGTGTCGCGGAAGACCTCAAGCGTGCCGAGAAGGATAATGATGTGATTTACATCAACCCTGTGCCGCCCAAGTCTGAGCTCAAGACTATCGAGCGTGCCAGCATGGTTCTTGCCAAAGCACCTTCACAGGTTACGGACGCGATCTCTATGCTTGGTGATAATGGACCGCTGGGCCAGCCGCTATTCTCGAAGTTGGTCCCATACGCAGTTCACATTGCTGCCAGTATTTACACCGATCGTCGAGACCGACTTGTCAATGATACTCTTATTGGAGAGTTGGAGTCAATGACCGACAAGTTGCGAGAGTATGTATTCAAAAACACCAAAATTGCTAAGGGAACATTTGCTAACATTAGGCTTAAGCTTGCTTTCATCGCTTAATTTGCCAGGGTCTTTACAAGCGCTCGAAAAACCATTAGGTCTCCCGCCAACGCTTGTGTCACATGCAGAGGAAATGCGCCAACAAGATGGCCTGAATCGCCTGCACCGGTCTATCGAGGATACCGCCAGAGTCAAAGGCAATGATCTGGCTGTGTATAACGAAGGCGTTGAGCTTCTCTCGGCTGAGAAGGCCGAGGATCTTGCAGCTCGCCGTAAATACGGTACCGACCGCTGGACCCGCGGGACCTCAGAATCCGCTGCGCCTAAGCTCTACAAAAGTTTGACTGAAATCGACGGCTATTTCACCTCAGCCCAGGGCAGCGATGACCTTGTCCAGCGCAAGCTGGAAGATTCACGGTCTGTCTTTATTGTTCTCACTGGCACGAATCGGGACTTGGAATCCTTTGTGCCTAGTAGCCGGAGGGTTGTCATTCCGCCAGAGGTGGAGCGCGAGGCTAACCGGTTGCGCGGTTGTTTGAGTGAGGTCACCCGAATGGAGAATCGGCGGAGGCGGCGAATTCAAGCATTGAAGGACAAAGCTCGCACGGATGATATTCGTAGGTGTTCTGTTTTTCCTTGGTCTTGAAATCTACTAATGTATTGCATTTAGATCCGGCACTTTTGACACAGACAGCTAGACTGGAGCGGGAGTTCCCCATGCAGCCTATCCAGGCAAGCCAGTTCGAGGATTTGTTCGAAGACCAGCTGAAGCTATATGATTCGGATCGTGAGATGCTCGCCCAGGAGCGGAGAGAGCAAGATCATCTTTCGGACCAGGTCCGAGAAGCTAACCAGGCATTTACTGGGTCTCATAAGGGTGACGCGTCGACAAAGGAACGAGAAGCGGCACTGCAGGACCTGGAGAATGGATACTTGAAGTATAAGGAGATCATTTCCAACCTCGACGTCGGGCGAAAGTTTTACAATGATCTTGCAAAAATTGTAGCTCGATTCCGCGACGACGCAAAGGCTTTTGTCCACCAGCGTCGGATGGAAGCAAGCCAACTGGAAATGTACGTGTTATCACCCATCACTGAACTACCAGATTATCGCTAACATTAATTTTCCCGGATCTAGAGATGTCTCCAATGCCACAGCGATGGCCTCACTTCACATTTCTAAGCCACACCTGCTCCAACAACCCCAGGAATCTGGCCGAATCCATCACCCTCCTTCTGCCTACTCAGCTGCCCAGCCCGCCCAGGCACCACCACAGCCATCTCCACCCGTTCATAACGTACGGCCAGCTGAGACATCACCCCCTCTCACGGCACCCCAACCAGTGCGCGCACCTGTGGCCCCGCCCCCAGTTTCTACGCCGAGCATGCCAGGGGGCATGCCGGGTATGTGGACACCTGAAATGGGGATTCGATTCGGATCCGCCGCTGCCCCCCCAAATGGTACTCCCAGCACAGGAGCTGGACCAGCCCCGAGCCAGCCTACCCGTGCCCCTCAGCCGGGGAGCTGGGATCCCAGCAAAGGATTACGCTTCTCTTGATTAGGTTGTGTTAAAAAAAACGTTTAAATCTCCTTTTGTAGATTCCACTTTCGCACATAGCTCTGGAGTTTTGTTAGATGCTTATCTTGTTTTGGTCATGATTTACGGCGCGAGCAATAAGGTGTGAGCATAGCATTGACTGCGTATGAAATTTCTGTGAATTGTAGACGACCCATTGTAATGGATTATGTATATGATTAGTATTGATCGAATTTCGGCTCTATTATACATTAACATTGTTATATCCAGATAATTCATCGTAGTATGGTACATATAATCGTAGGAACTAAAACATGGCAACTCCGCAACATGGATAGTCGAACGGAGAACAACAACACATAAAATTGAATCGTCATGATACATGACATAACATGACCATGACGGAAGAAGTGGACTCAGCAAAAATTGCTGTCCAAAATAAAAGAGCAGCCTAAGTCGCCCCACTGGTGTACCCACAGGAACAAGGAGCCACATAGGCATTTAGCGAGCCCCATTAGCCTTCATAGAGCTATCCATAGCATCACTGGCATGCCGGGATTTGCCAATGGACAATGCACTGCCGTTCAACGAAGCATGGCCATTAATCCCAACAGCCTTGTGTTCGTCTTGCTCAATTTCAGACTCTTCCGACTCGGAGCGATCGTCCTTTTTCTCCCCGGTTGCGAGGAACTTGAAAGCGCTGCGCAGCAGACAATACAACCAGAATAGATTGAGAGCCTGGAGTAAAGCCAACAGTCCGAATGTGATGATGTTTGAGATCCAGCACTTGTACTGTTGAGTCTCCCAGTTGAGCTCGTAGGGCCCGACGGTTCGGAACTCCGTTAGAAGGGAGTAAAGGATTCGAAGATTTAGAACATGACGGAAATAGACCCACGTGCCCACCGAGGTTGCGTAGAAGGGGATCATTATGTCCGGGGCTATGTAATGGAGAGATTTTGAAATCTGGGGGAATTGTCAATAGGGGCCATGGATACTGTGGCTTGTGCCGAAACCAGGAGAATTGGTTTAGGCAGACGTGCGACTTACGGCAAGGAAGAAATCACTAATATCATGCGTGATATAAACAGCAATGCCCATATAGGTAAAGTGAAAGCGATAGCTGAGCGCAATAAGTATCAATGTCACAATATGATGCGCAACAAGCTCCATGAAGTCCTTCCGCCGCTTCTCCATTCCCAGCAGCATGACGATAGCCTGCTGTGCCCAATAAGCCGCCTCGAACAAGTAATAAAACTTGAACTCAGCTGCATGGGTCCTATGCGGGAAGAGTTCGTACATGCCACGCGTGTTGAAGTACCAAACCGGCGTCTGGCGCATGACATACAACCCCGCGGGACCGAGGAATCCAAAGTAAATCGCCGTGTACATCTGCTCCATGAAGCGGGTCTGCTTTTCCCGCGACTTGATGCGCGAAACTGCTAGCGGGCGGAGAATTTCGTGCATGATGAATTCGCGCGTGAAGGATAGCACAATCACGTAGAATGACACGAATGCTATGTCCCACAGACCCTTGCCATACTGCGTGGGGACATTTGGGTCGCCATTCAGGGATTCCTCTTTGTAGGAGAGGAATATGAAATGAGAGACTGGGTTTGACTTGGTTGGGTTGAGCGCGTATAGTGAGAGGAAGGCTAGCACGAGACCTAGCGGAATCGTCCACGTGTGTTTACGCGCGAAATCCCTGCACCGAGCTAGACGAGAGCCCCGTTTTTTGGGCTTCGGGATTGAAATTGGTGGGCTTGTATGACCATTTCCAATTGGCTTGGTTTGCGAGCCATTGACATTCCTGTGCCTAAAGGTGTCTTTCATTGGCATTTGGTTGGTCCCGTTCAGGGGTAATGAACGGGGGGTCATGTTTGGTAATTTGGAGGTGAGATTCAGCTGAAAAGTAGAAAGTGTTAAGATATGTCGACGACCAACATAATATAATCTCCGAAAAGAGGCTAGTCAAGCTAATAATTAAACCTGAAGCCCTCTTTCCTATTAAAGCGCTGAATTTTCCTCATTCGGCTAGCCGTTCGTATTCGGGTGCGTCGGGGCCGACCCCAACGCCCAAGAATATTTCTGTTTTTTTTATGGAACTTGATATGAAGTAAACCAAATGAAGTAAACCAAAAAGCATTCAACTTAAGTCTCTATTTTTGGTTATATTTATGAAACATTACGGAGTTGACTTTTCACGACTGCCTAACTGTCCATTTTATCTGTGGGGCTGTCGCACATCCCAGACTTTCCCCAGATTGCTCTTTTTCAGATCGTCGGTACTTTTAAAATGAACTAAGTCTATTATAGCGAAATGCTAGGCTGATCGTACTCTAGAAATATAGTCACTGATTACACTATTGTCGATGAATGCTCCAAGTCGTGGTCTTCCACGTCGAGCGGGAGGAGCATGGCTTCCTCCGATCGGACTAGGAGCTTGGCCTGGGTATCACAGCTTAGATTCCTTCCATCCCCTTCGTTCAGCCATTGAATGAAACCCTTCTTCAACTACCTGGGGCCATAGGAAACCATTATCACCTATTGCCTGGCTCGACCAGGGATATATGTCACTGAAAGTTAGGTTGCCACGGAGCTTAGAGGAAGCCCCCAATTGTGGTTCAATCTTTCTAAGATTACCAATATTTCCTACACTGACGCGGTATTCTAATGTATGTATTGTTACCACAGTAATGACGCTAGGTGCTGCATCACTCTATGAGTCCATGACTAGGCGTGGAAAAAAGGAAGATGAGGTCGATTACTCTAGATCAATGATGTTGTTCACCATCTTGGACATAGTGTGGTCCTAAACTTATGCCTGAACTGTGGACGATCTATCATGAGGTGGAGTACATTTGATCGATGTACACTGCCCCATCGCTTGGTCCAAGGGACAGCACCGATGGACTCGAAAAAAACATACTACGTCAATTGAAGTGAGGTCTGTGTCATGAGTAGTTATATGACGGTCAATTGGTATCTTATACATACTATCCTAAATGTGGCTACTGCATAGCAGATCCTACTGCCTTCGCCGAAGAAATGCCGTGCCAAACCTAAGTTATATAGGCAAGCCTAACATCGCCTCTGGTTGACAAGTGTACCCCTTTTATACTTTTTATACTAGTCTTTCGGTTTTCATTCACTTCCAATTGGAAAGCACAATCAATCAGTCATGGATGCGAACCAAAACGAACTGAACCAATGCCAGTTATCACTTTCACTGGGTCGTATCGAGGTAGCCGCCCGTCGATCGACAAGTAGAAGCCCCTATTTCTGGGGTGAGGAAGTGGCTCAGGAGCCCAGCTTCCCAGTCCACAGGGGATACGCAGAGGCACGCAGCATCATGGAAGACGGCAGATTGGAGCTACTCGAGGATCTTTCAAACACTGCCATACGTTATATCACACGACTATTTGAGTGCCTCAACTCACCTAAGGAAGGATTGCAGAAAGGTCTTGTGGAGATGCATCTCTCTGAGGATCTGCAGAAATGGCGAAGGGAGCAGCATGATTCTGGGCACATCTTGCCCAGCAAAGGTCATGGCCTCGCACCCGCCTCGGAGAAGGCGGTCCAGCTTTTTGGTGCGGAGAAATGGCCGAAAGCACTGACCACTGCCAACGCGTTGTTCGGGTCCGGAATGACGAACATGTTGATCGGGGCATATGATGCTGAAACTCTCTACTCCAATTGTTGTGCCGATATGGCTTTCTACTATGAGCACGGTTATCACAAAGTTTTTCCAGAGTTCGAAAACGTGATAAAGTTGGCGATTAGTGATCGCCATGCATTGCATACTGCAGGCGGTGCCGAAAGGAGGGCCGCTGTCGAGATTGGTATCAAGTACATAAAGAAGAAAGTTGTTCTAGAGGAGGCACACAAATCGGAATTGGCTAATAGGATGGCCACGCTGGACAGACGAGAGGCTCAAATCATATGCACCCTCGAGAGCAGCTTGGTGGGTATGGCCAAAGAGGCCATGGTGCGTGGTTTTGATTGCGCTGCAGTGATGAGCGACCTGGTCTTTAGCAACCCCGGGACGGACGTTATCGACGTGGGCTCTGATTTATTCAACTCGGAGTTGCTGAACTCCTTCCTAAACACGGCCGACATGACTTCGACAGGCATAGTCACGGAGGAAGCGCTACGGAGGGTGTATGACGCATACGCCCATACGGGCGCCAGGATGCTATGTGAACGCTGGATGGAACCGATGGCGCGCATGTGCTCGGCACTGTTCACATGGCATATCGTGAACGACAGACACCGATTCCTGCGACGTGCTCTGCTTGGCTACTCCAAGGTGCGGAAGACGGTAGCGGAACCGCAGGAGGCGGATTTTGATGAAGCCTTCGACCTTGAGCTGCGCACTACTGGCTTCAGCAGACCGTTGCAAGGGGCTTGTAACGGTCGCGACCCCTGTGATCAAGTAGAGGGGCACCTACGCACATACGATGAAAGTCATGGCTTACTGGCTGAGCTCTGGCTGTGTCTCAGTACTAAACCAATGCAATATGTAACTAAGGGTGCTGTGGATCCGGAAATAGAGGATGACATGTCTGAGAGACTCCAGCTAGCTATGGCGCGGGCGTACTCGCTCGGGTTTGTGGATGAGATGGCATGGTTAATTGCCCATGCTGGGCATCATGCCTGGCAGGTGAATCGACTGTATGAAGCTGCTATGTATGGCAGTCTCCTAGATAATGGTGGCCTGCGGGGTAAGCTTGATAGGTAAGATGACCGTCAACTGTGGGGTTGTGATGGAGTTCAAATCTGCAAGGAAGATTTCCCCGAAGCCTTTCGGGCCACGGTTGGTATTCCTCGGTATATGTACACACATACCATAATATTAGAGCCCACTTTTTTAGGAGACTACTATGGGGCTTCGTGCTCAAAATTTCCCAAGAAGAGAGGGATCGCTAAGAGTCTACCATGTGTGTTAGCTTTGTACTCCGTACGCACAGCTGATATACCATAACTGATACGTGACTTTGGGACGGGACTTTGGAAAGCCGCTGTATTAATACGCTGTTTGGTAATATTGGTAATATTGGCCTGGCAAGATGATTGGTTCTTCGAGGATATCTCCCTATCTGCGATAAAGCATCGCGATAAGTTAATTCACCTATTGGCCCTGCGTTGCTGGGTAATCTCCTCTACTGTCGTAGCGGTTCATTCTGCCGCTTGTATGATGGTTGTTCTTCCACGTTTTCTCTTCAGAAATGTCTGACATTTTGCGACCACCGAGCTAGTAAACAATAAGGGGAACTACGCTTGCGAGGAGACACAATGCTCGCAGAACCAAGAAAACGCCACAATGGCCAACCGCAAGCCTGCGAGCCATGTCGCAAGGCCAAGATTCGCTGCGACCATGAAAGTCCAAAGTGTTCGCGTTGTGTTCTGCGCAACTTGAACTGCATTTATCACCCTGCTCCTATGACCAAACGCCGCCCAACGGCCTCCCACACACCCGTACACTTTGACTCCACGCTGCCAGCAGACTTACTTACTCAAAATGTCTCCAACACCTTCCACATTCCTAGTGAATCTTCGGTCGGGGTAGCAATCTCGCTCCCTCCTGCGGATCCGAGCCCCGCTGCGAGTTCGGGGGTAACAGCCCGATCGAGCGCGTCAAAACGGAACATGTTATTTCAAGAGCAGCTGGGCCAACACGAAACAACTCGCTTCTCTGCGGTCTTTGTTGAAAACCAAGATAGCTTTGGCGCAGTTATGGTTGATGCCACAAACTCCGAATACCACGAGTTAGGCCGAGAGCCTGATGTAATGGCCAGGTCTCGCGTGGATTTGGCTGTGAGAACACTGCTCAACTTCCCCTCTATTCGTACATGTGATATGCTTTTGACAGGAATTCACTATATCTATGATGTATGGCTGTCACCAACCATGATCCAGCAATGCTTGAAACAAGTATGGACGGAATATGCCAGTGAGCTAAGTGAGCCCCGGACGCGGGAATCATTATTGAGAGTGGCAAATGATCTATTTCTCAACCAAAAAAGGCCTCACTCAACACCTGAATGTGATTACGCAAGCAATTCTGACCATGCTTCCTGGATAAACTGGTTTGGTGGACCTCATCTACGATGGGAAATGATCGGGATCCTCTTCAGCTGGGCTGGAATTGCATTCAGATGCAAACAAGAGTGGGACCCAGTCTTTGATCTACCCGAGCAGCATGGACGGAATCGCAACACTGCGGCAGAGAAGATGAGAGAGTGTGCTGCTGCCTGTGTAAGGCTTTGCGAAGGGAACTTTGAAATCAATGATACCATGGTTATTTGCATGAAGAATAGCACCAGACTACAAAGCATCATTATTAGTGATGAGAGTGAGTTACAAAACATTAGGACAAACCCTGGCATTATAGACTAGAGCTCATTTCATCATAGGTGACCGCGTACGAGTGGATTATGGGACTGTCCGCAGTGCTTTTATAAGTGCCGGATTGCATCGCCTCACTCCTTCGAAGGAAATCACGCCTTTTTCTCAACACCGAGCATCACTTGCTTCATCGATGTATTACCATGACAAATGTCACAGTTTGTTCAATGCGCGACCACCTATGCTCAGCAGCCATTACTGTCAATGTCCTCTCCCACTCGATTTATGCGAGGAAGATGTATATGGGGGCCGAGAGCGACTCACTGTGGCCATTGCAAAGCTTGACTCTAATGGCTGGAACACCAATGGTCACATATACACAACCACCTGGCTTCGAGCACTGACGATGCTTAGTCCTATACGGGAAGGAATCTTGGAACTAACTCTTAGTGTCAATTCGAACTTTACCAAACCACAGGTAGAGTGCGTTATGTAGAAGTAATATTGCATACATATCACTAACTTCAACCATTTTGCAGAGACCTCCAAGCCCAGCTGGGGAAGATAGTTGCTTCATATCCCTCGCACATTCAATACCAGGGGAACTCTGAATGGCACCCTCAGTCAAGCTCACGATTCCATGAACGGAGCGCTCAGGAATCCTATATTATCACCCGCATACAACTTGATGTATTGCAATGCCAGTTCCTTCTCCAGCGTCTACTTGTATCGCGGCAATTCAGTGGTGGTCAAGACTTGTTCGATATCGCTCAAGAGACAATGTCAGTTATCCTGTCTCTCTGGCTTAACCGCGATCAGCTACATGAGTTTCACCATGCCTTTGACTGGATTGTAAGTCAATGGCGAGCCTAGGCGGTTATTTGGATTGAGAACACAATAATAACTGATATTCATCCAGGCGGTATCATACGGAATGCCCTGTGCGGGAATTTTATGTGTCGAGCTTCTCCGGGCAAGTAATCTAGTACCACCTGCCACGCAAAGCGAGCTTCCATCGGCGATCCGCGGTCACGATTGTGTTAGATTCTCGCGGTCGGAAGTCGTCCAAAACCTGGTTATGTTCAGGGCCTTGCTTGACTGGATACGGCCTACGGATAACAATGTACAACTTAGCAAGAAGTTCAAGACGGTTTTACAGAGAATCATTGATGCTGTATTTGATTCTTTGGGGTCGCCGTGTGGCCAAACACAAGAGACGCCGAGCGAACAGCAGGCCCAGAGACACTATGGCCCGCAAGACCAGCAGTCCCCAGGACAGAATCTACCTGTTCTGACGGGCAGAGAGTGTGACATTGATCCTGAGATGAACGCATTCAATGATATGGATTGGCTGAACACCGTTGATTGGACTCAGAATGGTTGGCTTGAACAAAGTAATCCACCTTTTCCGTACTAAGAAATTTTAACGGAATGACATTTCCAACCTCTCGGTCTTGCATACACGAAAAGGCCATTTTACCATGCCTTGCTAATTGGCTCAACTGATAAGATAGCCCGGAGTCGGTTCGGAGTGCTTTTTGGTCTGTCGGAGTGAGCTACCCCGGTCGCAACAGGGGTTGCGGGGTTGATAAGGGCCCGTGACTCCGTTACACGGCGTGGACCAGTCGTGAATACCGATAAATCGGAGTTTGTTCTCATCCTCATCGAATGATGATCAAGGACTGAAACCACAGCCATTACTTAAACGCTGAAGTTGTCAAATAGTCTAACTCATCAATCTGGTGAAGTTCTCCGAGACCAAACAGCAACAGTCAACCCCACACCGGTGACTATGTCTCCAAACAACACATCCAGTATACCCCGACAGCCTGTCGAAAATGCAACTGTGCCGTTTTGGCACCGAGACATTCATGAACTGCACGATCATCGAACTACAGAGGAGCTTCCAGTATCGAGTGACGTCGTCATCATAGGCGCCGGCTATGCAGGAATTAGCACAGCGTACCACTTGACCAAAGGAGAGGCCAGTGATAAAAGACTCTCTATCACAATACTGGAAGCACGGGGTGTCTGTTCGGGCGCGACAGGGCGCAATGGTGGCCACCTAAGACCTGACATGTACACGCCCATGACCAGGCTCATCGACCGAGCAGGAGTTGAACGCGCCTTGGAAGTGACTGAATTTGAAATCGCACATGTCCATGCCATAAAGACCTTGGTCGAAAAGGAGAAAATCGACTGTGACTTCAGCCTCACAAGGTCTATCGATGTATGGACCAACGGGGAAACAGCCCAGAAGGCTACGGATATGTACGACACCCTGGTATCCCGTAATCTTGAATACATGAAGGATGTCTTCTTTGTGCTTGGCAAGAATGCGGAGGGTATTTCGGGTGTCAAAGGCGCCAAAGCATGCGCTTCTTTCACAGCAGCAACTCTGTGGCCTTACAAATTGATTCTCCATCTGACTGCCTCAATTCTCGAGACTGGGCTCGTCAATCTCCAGACTCATACCCCGGTGACGTCCGTCAGTCGGCAACCTTCGGGCAGCTTTATCGTTACGACTCCACGAGGCACGACAGTCGCCCGGAAAGTCGTGTATGCGAATAATGCCTATATCTCAGGTCTTCTGCCACAGTACCGCGAAGCCATCGTTCCCTGCAAAGGACTCTGCACTCATATTTCAGTTCCTGAGGGCACGACAGCGCCTCTGCTGAACAACTCCTACATAGTCCGTGAAGAGGACAACGTTGTTTCATACCTCATCCCCCGTGCCGACGGTAGCATTGTTGTCGGTGGAGCCAACTTGCGATACCACCCTGTACTGAGTTCATGGTATGACAATGTGGACGATTCAATTCTCATCGAGGAAGTCAAAAACCATTACGAAGGTTATATGCAACGGCATTTCAATGGCTGGGAAGACAGCGGGGCCCAAGTGGATAAAGTTTGGACCGGAGTCATGGGGTACAGCTGGGATTCCCAGCCTCACATCGGCGCCGTGCCTGGAGAGGATGGCCAGTTTGTACTTGCGGGCTTCAATGGTCATGGAATGCCTCAAGCGTTTTTGTCTGCGCTTGGGGTTGCTAAGATGGTTCAGAATGGGATCGGGTTTGAAGATACTGGTGTTCCGAGATTGTTCGAAACAACAAAGGAGAGGTTAGAAACGGCAAGGAACGGTCCCTTTGGGGGTGATATACTCGGCGTCAAAAGATGAGCAAGAGTCAATGGCAGAATTACGGAGCTGGGCTGTCTGGAGTGCTATCTAGTAGTTTTGTATCCTTAACAAAGGCTCCCTTCTCCGGGGTGTATCGCGGTGTAGTGATAACCTGTAAAAGGTCCTATTAGTGACCTCGATTAATTTTACTCTATTGCACCGAGTCCGTAATATGAGCACTAAAAAAGCGTCTCCGCTCGTCCCTTAACTAGCTATAAGTATCATAGTCAAGTCAAGTAGGGAAACTATCCAGTTAGGCTCTCATCTCCATGTTCCCCGTCTACGGGTTGACTCTGCATGCCTTATTGGATGATACGTATTTTCATTGGGCTATGTCGGGTTTCCAATCAAATCACTTAATTGACATCGGTGCCTAAACTAATTCCCTCATACTTCATGAAATTCCGTTTCTCCTCCTCTAGCCTTGCTAGGATGGCCGGGTAGGCATCTGTGCCGAGCAAGATTCTTAAAGGTGGGTCTTCCATCATAGCTAAATCGTAAAAGGCTTTTGCGGCCTTCCGAGGGTCACCAGGCTGAGTCCCATGGCGAGCCATCATCATGCCTTTAGCATCGAGGTGATCATATTCTGGATGGCGTTCAGTGAATGCCATTGACCGACCAGCCCAATCAGTTCTAATATGCAATGTTAAATTAGAGAAGCGAATTTCACTAGAGATTCCCTCAACTCACCTAAAACCACCTGGTTCTACACAGGTAAACTTGATACCCCATTCGGGTTTCACTTCCTTCGAAATAGACTCCGTAAACCCTTCAACCGCCCATTTGCTCGCGGCATACAGGCTGAAGCATGCGGCTCCGCGTTGTCCACCTACGCTGGTAACCTGCTGGATGATACCACCGCTAGGCTTTTGCGTTCTCATGATAGACATTGATTCCCGTGTGACATTAACGAGACCAAAGAAATTGACCTCCATTTGCATCCGGATCTGTTCTTCGCTGTATTCTTCGAAACATCCCGTGAGACCGTATCCCGCATTGTTCACGACAACATCAATTCTCCCGAAGCGCTTGATGGCCTCGGCAAAAGCTGCTTTGATGGATTCGGTATCAGTCACATCGAGCCGCAATGTCATATAGTTGGTATCGGTCGTATTATCGAATTCCAAAATCGCTGGAGTACGTGCTGTCGCAATAGCAATGTCTCCACGATTCAAAATTTCTTGGATCAGATCATGGCCGAAGCCGCTTGAAGTTCCCGTGACTAGGAATACTTTGGGCATGATATTAAGTTGCTTCGGACAACGTTTGCTGGAGCTCGGTGATAGGGTCTGTTGATTGGACGACTGAAGTGTATGAGATAATGCCCTGGGCTTGTAGTACTTGTGCTAACAGGCGAAGAGAATGTAAAATACTATATAGAAACGCCCCCAAACACGTCCGATATCTGTGTCGAGTACATTTTCTGAGTACTCGGTGCTAGTACCTTAGTTCTTGGTACTCCGAGTTGTTTGTTCCCAAGTCCGTACAGCTTATCTATCGGAGTTGCTATCTCACGGAGTGGATTGCGCGGCCTTGCATTTTTGCGGAGTCGATATGCACCCCATTTATCAACCCCGTGCTGCTATCTCACATTCCCCAGTTATTAGTGTTAAAGATACATATGTCTGCCGATTGGGTGCTTGCAATCTTGTATCTTCATCCATCTGCCAATCAAGGTCCCATGTCTTCCGGCTCTAACTGTTTTCGAATTATACTAAAGGCCACGCCTGATGTTAATTCAAAATCATTTTACCCGCATAGCTCGACTGTACAGATAAACAATTGGTGGCTTGGCATGGTGACTTCAGAGCGATATGGCTACTAAAAAGTCTAGCTATAAGTTCAAGCGAAATTGTCTCCAGACATACGTCGCAGTCTGCGCTATCTAGAACGGACCGCCCAATATTCCCAATAACCCCTTTTTTACAACGAGATAACATCCAACTCAATCGAGATGTCCACGATCAAGACCTTCCTTGGCAACGAGGACTCCCCCGACACATCCCATGAATTCAGTAAAGATGTCAAGACCACAGTACAAGACCCAGAATCCCCTATTCAACGAGAAGATGAATATGTTGGACACTTCGAAGAAATTTCGACTGTCAGGCAAGGCCTTCATCAGAGACACATTCAAATGATCGCTTTGGCCGGCACCATCGGAACAGGCCTCTTCCTCAGTTCTGGTCGAGCAATTTCGCGTTCTGGTCCCCTGGGTGCCCTTCTAGGATACTTGGTTATGGGCTGTGTTGCTGGCACCGTAACTCTTGCGGTGGGCGAGATGGGCACACTTGTTCCTTTGAACGGTGGAATAGTCCGCTACGCCGAATATTTTGTTGATCCGGCACTAGCGTTTGCCAACGGTTACAACGTGGTATATTCTTATCTTGTATCTATCCCCGCAGAGATTGTGGCCGCTGCTGTGTTAGTGCAGTTTTGGTCTGACCTCAATAGCGCCATTTGGATCACTATCTTTGGGTTGCTTATGTTGTGTACCGCTTTGCTCTTTGTGAGAGTATATGGGGAGCTCGAGTTTGCTTTCTCCATGATGAAGATATTGCTGATCATTGGAGTGAATATAATGGTAAGTTCAGCTTGATTCCTACGAGATCGATGGGCTTTCAATGTACTAACACTCATAAATCAGGCTCTTGTGATCACCTGTGGTGGCGGTCCTGATCATAAAACTATCGGGTTTGAATACTGGCGCAATCCTGGGCCTTTAGTTCAGTACCTTGGGATCGGTGGCGCTCTTGGTCGCTTTCTCGGTGTTTGGACATCTCTAAATAATGCCCTTTACGCCTATTCTGGGATTGAAACAATTACTGTTGCTGCTGCAGAGACAAAATCGCCGAGGCAGGCTATTCCAAAGGCCGCCAAGCGCATTTTCATCCGTATATTGGTTTTCTATGGTATGTTAATTGCAAAAGAGAATACAGGGCCACTTTCTCAAATCTAACGTCCTCTTTTCAGTCATCTCCATCTTCATGGTCGGCCTTGTCGTCCCCTCCAATGAGCCTAGACTCAGTAATTCTAGCGGGACAGCTTCTGAGTCTCCCTTTGTGATTGCAGCTACTCTAGCTGGAATTAAGGTAGTGCCATCAATTATCAATGCTGTTATAATCACGTCGGCATGGTCATCAGGCAACTCGAACATGCTTGGAGGGACCAGAGTGTTGGTCGGGCTGGCGATGAATGGTCAAGCCCCAAAATTCTTCACTCGACTTAACAGATTTTCGGTCCCATTCATAGCTATTTCGCTCTACGGTCTATTCATGTGTCTGGGATATATGTCGCTCTCCTCGACTGCCAACACCGTGTTTAGTTGGCTACAAGACCTTGTCTCTATCGCAACTCTGACCAACTGGATCACTATCCTGATCACGTATCTTCGTTTCTACTACGGTTGCAAGAAACAAGGAATCTCTCGGAAGTCTTTACCGTGGGCGACGCCGCTGCAGCCATATATCAGCTGGGCCTCGCTTTTCATGCTCGTCATCCTCCTGATCACGGGTGGGTACTCAACTTTCATTAAAGGACATTGGGAGGACGAAACATTCGTTTCCTCTTATATTAATATTCCTCTTTTCCTCATCTTCTATTTTGGGTACAAGTTTATTCGCAGGACAAAGATCGTCCCCTTGGAAGATATCCCCATTCAACCCTTTATCGATATTGCCAATCGGAATCCAGAGCCTGAGGCAAAGCCAAAGAAAGGTCTTCGCAGGCTGAACATTTTATGGAACTGAGGGCAGTATCTACGAGATCTGTTGACTCGCTAGTGGAGTTGCCAGATCGGTCTTCAGCCCCACGTTTACCTGAATTGGAGGGGTTCATTATAATAAATGGATATATCTTAAGTAATTCTATGTGTTGGGTTACTAGATATTGATCTATAGAGTGCATGTAATGAGAAGTTATTTGTATACTAATCAATATATTATGGAATTAAAGTGTGAATCGTCTAAGTTTCTGAGGATGAAAGATTGAATGTGAACAATTTCTAACCCCTATGTTGCTGTACGTCCCAATTCATTCTGGGCCAATTTCCTAGGAGGTTGCATTTTGGTGTATACAGCAAGAAACGGCGATCTCCATGGATGCATGCTGCTCGAAGTATTAGAGTGGTATTCTCAGCACTACGTGTTTATTCTACCACCTAAACTACCAACCTTCTATACAGTTCAGAGAACGTAGTAGATATGTCAAGCCTTCGGTATCAAACGGCCGAGACTCCATTGAATTATGGTGGGGATATTCCAAACATAGTGAATTCGTTTCTACGGGTTCGACCGGCTTTTACTTGAAGAATCGATCCAATCAAATTTATTAGCCAAGATGCTTTTGATTCCCTTCATACTCGGCTTTCGGCACGGAGTCCATACTAGAATAGCATGTGTGAAATCAACAATGTAATCCCCAAGGTGAGCTCCGAGACGGAGTGGGTCTAGTCCGAAGATAGCTGATTACCGGATCTGGCTAGTCCCGGAGTGCCCACACCGCCACTCTTCACGCATCCTAGAGCTCACATGTACGGAGTGAACCTCATTCCTATCTTGATTCGAGGGCGGGATGGATCAAGGGCGGGATGGAGATTATCGGATAGCTCCGTGCCGCAATCAGACAACGATTCCAATGGACTTGGCTTGGTGAACCGCTTTGAATAAATGACCGTGATACGGCCCAGATCACAATGCATCCCAAGAATCCTTTCAGTCTACCAGTTCGATTTCATTCAATCATTAGTCAAAATCTTATATCCACAACATGATTTGCCCCAAGAAGCACGCCGTTTTTGATGTGGTCGGTACATGCGTGTCATTCGACTTCTTTCTCGACACCATCGAGGATGTTCTCGGCCCGCGACTCCGAGCACATGAAGTATCGGCCAAAATATTCGGTTTCGCCTGGATGCAAGCTGCGGAGCTCGAGTCTCTGATGCTCCACATGTCCAAGCGGAGCGTGCCATACAAGGAAGTCTTCAAGGCGCTCTTCTACCGCGTCATATATATGTCCGGGATCGAAAACCCGAGGTCATTCGCCACCGACGAGGAAAGAGACATATGTCACGATGCGTATTCGAAGCTGGAACTCCGCCCGGACTGCCGCGCCATGATGGAAAAATTGAGGAATAATGGTTTCACCATCTGGTGCTTGACCACGGGCGACACAGAACGAGTCGGCGGCTACTTCAAGCGCGCCGGTTTTGAAATGCCCGCCGAGAACCTTGTCAGTTGCCATCAGTTTATGAAGTATGAATCCGCATTGGAGTCACCGCTTGCTATGGTCAAGCCGTCGATGGGTTCCTACCAGCCCATGCTGGAGAAGTTCGCTACCGAAGATCAAAAGTGGTTCGTGGCGGCGCATATGTGGGATGTGAGCGCGGCTGTTAAAGCTGGGTAGGTTTTGCTGTTTCTCAAACAGAATGAGGAAGATCCCCTGGCTAACTTATCTCTAAACAATCAGCTTCCGTGGTGCTTACTGTTCGGTCTATGAGAAGGAGTCGTGCATTGAGATCTTTGATACTAAGATGGATGTCATGGCCGACAGTTTGCTCGAAATGGCTGACAAGATGATTGACATGGCATAAAGTTCTATCTGTACTCTTGAGATTCAAGAAACAGTTTCGATTTTAATTGCTCCATATATCAATAGCTCAACATAAATAATTACATCTAATGATTTCAAGCGAGGGGCGGTTCTTTCTGTAACTTTTCATGATATCATATTTCCTAGTGCGATACCAAGTTTAAACAATAGCAATTGACTTATAGCGGAATTTTCTACAAACTACTACCTATAACTAACATGAGAACTACAAGTTGTATACGTGTATTTACAAGACTGGTTATATATAATTCGTGGGTCTTTGAATTATATAAAGTACAAAAAGCCATGATGAACACGTTATATGACAAATAGGAAATTATGAAACAAAGGAGCAAAGGAGTGTGTATTTGTTGAGCCGCGGTCAATTATCTTCTATATACTTCTTTCTTTCTCCTTGATTATCTATAGACCGAATCAGACTGCTGAACTACGTCTTCCCTCTTCTCTGTTGATAATAACACGCGATCAAAAACATTTCCTAGTCGGATAACGGCATCATCGGCAATTTGACAGTGGACGACTATTCTCCCGCCGAACAATTTAACTCCTTCCTCTCTACCCACGCAAATAATTCTGTCAACCGTGATGCCGCTGTGAGACAAATCCAGACAAACCATGTTTGTATCGACTGGCCGACTGACCGCGCCACCACGATCAACCCACATCTTCTCAATAGACTTGGCCTTCTTGTGCGTTTCTCGCAATCGACCACCTTCGCCATTAGGTCCATTTCCGAAATTCTCCTCGACCGCCACACGAGCCGCTGATGAGATGATCCCAGCCTGTCGAATGCCTCCACCAATACTCTTCCTCACCCATCGGCAATGTTGCAGAGTGCTCTTCGGACCAACGATAATGCTGCCGACAGGGGCAGCCAGTCCTTTGGAAAAGCACATCTGGGCTGTATCAAAGCAATCCAAATAGTCAACTAATGAGCCTGCTCCAGCAGCGACAGCCTCCCAGATTCTTGCGCCGTCAAGGTGGAGCTTGATATTGTTGGCGCGAGCGAATGCAGAGATCCGACGGACTTCCTCTAAGGGAGTAATGACACCGGCAAGAGTATTTTCCAGCGAGATCACGCGGGTAGGCGCAATGTGGATGTTGTCACGAGTATCCGTGTCCCGCTGAATATCCTCGAGGGTTAGATACTGGCCGTTCGTCGGGATGCACGGCTGCATATGGGCCTGAGACAGAGATGAGCAGCCGCCGGCCTCTGATTTTAAAATGTGAGATTGGTAATGACAGAGAATTGCGTGAGGGGGTTGTGTTAACAGCGATCGGAGGGCAATCTGGTTTCCCATTGTGCCCGACATGACCAGGAGACTGTCTTCCTTGCCTGTGAGGTTGGCCATGAATTTCTCGAAGTCATTTGTCGTCGAGTCCTCTTGGTATACGTCATCCATCAAGGTCGTTTGAGCAATCGCCTTCAACATAGATAAGGTCGGTGTCGTGATAGTGTCTGTGCGGAAGTCATACGCCGCAGGTCCAGCACCACACCAGGAGCTAGACACTTCGATCTGCTCAGCTGGTTGGCTAGCCTCATGTTGAACAGAGCAATCTTGAATGCCACTCATAGTGAATCAGGAAACAAATGGATTAAAGTCGTTTGGAAATGGTTGGTTCAGTCAAGAAGATGGGTAAGAGGACATTATGAGAATATGGAGTTTAATTATAAGATCGAAGTGATGCTCAAGATTCTGGTGCTGAATAGTAACCGCTGAATAGTAATACCCGGAGCGATTCCTTATCAGATCAACATTTTTGAGTACATACATACGTAGGTAGCATGCCTTCTCCGTTATCCTTCCAACTCCGGTCTTCTGAGAGCTCCGGAGCCCACTCCGTGGTCCGGACCTCGGACTTGCCGGTGTGGATTTGGTCCACAAATATTTCTCAAACCTGAGTCCGGTGCCGGACTAGGGCCATTCTTAAGTCAGGATCCATTCTGTCAACCGATGTTGGACAGCGAGTCGCTGACTGAGTTGCTCTCCTGCTTTGCTGAGGATGCCGAGCAAGTCAGAGCGCTCAAGTCATGGAGTTACTCAGGGGATCCTCATCCGGCTAAGGGATGAGGCGATTCCAATGATTATGTAAGACTCGGGGGTGCTCGGTAACTATGACTCAGTGAGCAAAAAGCGGCAAGGGATGAGCATTGAAACGGAAAGCTAAGCCTTAATAAGCTCTTAGGCGATCGTTTTGTGAGGTACTAGCTGGTTCGACGAGACATCGTTCACGTATATACGTACTTGGAAGACGTTGTAATGAAATAAAGCAGTCCAGATCGTAGACCCGTCTTAGTTTCAACTGGAACACGGAGAAGCCAAGAGTTACAAGGCATTATTCCTTATGCTATCTGAAGCCAAAGAGCGTACAAAAGAGTGTACTCCGTACACTATTGAACACAAACAACCCGGTTTATTTTCGGTAGAAATAGGGTATCGGAGAAAATATGTAAAAGGTATTCGGTGTAAGTCAGAGTGGATCAGGAAAAAATAAGCTCATCGAGTGACAACGTGGGCTTTTACCTAATGCTTCCGTAGTGGTTGGAGTCTATTGGAGTAATTGACCGTCTTTTCTTCCTGGGATCCTTTTTATTATATGAATTCCTCCATTCCACGAGGCTTTGTCTTACCTAAATGATTTCGAATCCTGTGTCGGAGTTAGTATGGCGAAATTATCTTATTTAGCAGTACACCCAAGGTTGAAATCTTCACTTCGCCATTTCCACCCTCCATAATCCCAAATATCCCATCAATTAAACACATATTTTCTTTTTTTTTAAACAAAAAAATGGTTCATCATATCCACATCGCCGTCCTAGACGTCGATATTCCAGCCCGTAAGCTATACGAGGCTAGAGGACTCTGCAGTGCCCACTTCCGAACCATCCTCCGCGAGACCGCATCACGCCTGAACGAGACTTTGTTCTCTGAGAAAGAGCAACTCGAAGTCAAGATCACGCCATATGATATCCGAGGAGGCCATTATCCCGACCTATACAAGCTCCGCGGCCATGCAGGCGAGGACCAAATACCCGTGCAATCCCCAGTGGATGCAGTCTTGATCACCGGGGGTTCGCCCGGCGTATACGAAATGGACCATTCACCATGGATGCAAGAACTCGAGAAATTCGTCAAAACTGTCTACAACCAATACCCAGAAGTCCGTATTCTCGGCACCTGTTTCGGCCACCAACTTATTTCCCACGCTCTCGTCCGCAACGTGGAAGACCCGGTCCGCGATGTCTGGGTTGAGAAATGCCCTCTCGGTCGTGAAGTCGGAATTTATACTGTTCAATTGGAAAATGCGTTTGTCAAGTCGTTCCCAGCTGCGCTCGGTGATCTTCCCGAGGGACGCTTGCGCATTCAGATGTTCCATGGCGATCGTGTGATGGCGGTTGAGAAGGGAGCTGCTGTTACGCTTACTGACTCGCATCCCGTTTCGCTGCCCGCGCCCTGGATTAACATTGGAAGTACACCAATTTGCCCTATCCAGGGACTTTACCACCCCGGCAGAGTACTGTCTGTGCAGGGTCATTATGAAATGGATGTCTTTGGCATGACTAAGATGTGCTTGGAATCTGCACCTGTGATGGGATGGAAGGAATCGAAGTTGGCGTTGTTCTTGGAGCAAGTTGGTGATGATCGCGAGGAATGTCAGGATGATTCCAAGGCCTTTGCCTCTGCTGTGGTGTCTTTCTTGGCTGGCTTTGAACAATGACATGTGGAGGATAAGGTATCAAAAATAAAGAGATTTTGTGCTTCCACCACTTGCGTTGTGAAGATGGATAGAATGAAATTGCAAAGGAATAAAATACACATTATGCAAAAAGATCATTTATGCGAACCGGGCATCCCCTTCAATATGCAAGCAATTCATTATATACAGCGTTAAAACGCTTCTCAAACCGCAGAAACAGGTGTGGAGGGGGCATTTTTAGGCTTCGGATGGCTACTTTTTCAAGAATGTCAAAGCCGCGAGGCACAATGCATCCACCCCGGTTCTCATCGTTGGCTGGATCACCGGTGCAAACAGAGCCGAGTGATTCCCGGGAATCTCGTCCATGGGAGTTTCGTTTCTCTGGCCCTTATCCCAGAGCTCTGGGTCAATTCCCCCAATGAACCAAAAGGAGCAAGGAAGCCCCTGAGAAGTACCCAGGGTAGAGAAATCCTCACTAACATTGGTTCTTGGGGTATCATCATCAAAGTCCTCGAAATGGTCTCTGAAAGATGTAGCCAGTTGGGAGGCGACTTCCTTATCGTTGTCGGTGGGCGGAAACCGTCTTGTTGGCGTGAACACCGGCGGTTTCGGCGATCCACTAGCAAGGCACTCAGCCTCAACGATGCGCCGGATAGCAGAAATAATTTTCTCGCGAGTCTCCAACTTGACAGTTCTAAAGTCAACTCCAATTTCCGCCCGGTCTGCAATGATATTTTCTGTCTGTCCTGCCTGCAGGCTCCCGACCGTCACGACAGCGAGATCAGTCGGGTCCACCTCTCTACTCACAATGCTTTGAAGTCTAACGACGACATGTGCAGCAAGGAGCACGGGGTCTACCGTCTGTTGCGGCTGTGACCCATGACCACCGCGGCCGTAGAGAGTAATCTTCATGCTATCGGCAGCAGCCATGATCGTGCCTGGTCGGGAACCAACACTTCCCGCTCGCATTCGCATGACGTGCTGACCAAAGACGTAATCAGGCATGGGAATCTTCGAATACAGTCCATCGTCAACCATGGCCTGAGCGCCTCCGCCCCTCTCTTCGTTCGGCTGGAAGAGTACGATTAAAGTTCCGCTCCACGCATTCTGTGTACAGGCCAGAAGTTCGGCTGATGCGAGAAGGCAAGTTATGTGCATGTCATGGCCACATGCATGCATCACTGGCTTTTCATTGCCGTCCGCATCAGACATAGTCACTGAACTCGCGTAGGGGAGGCCGGTGAGTTCCTTGACTGGAAGCGCGTCCATGTCGGCCCGAAGAAGAACTGTCTTTCCAGGGCCATTTTTGAGAATGCCTACAAGCCCATAGCCTCCGATATTTGTGTGGACATCATAGGCTCCGAGTTGTGACAAATGTGAGGCGATCGTTTCAGAGGTGGCCTTCTCTTGTAGCGAGAGCTCGGGATGTGTATGGAAATGCTTGTAGAGAGTTTCATAAGGGGTCAAATCCACAGCGGCGCTAGCTAATATGTCTGATAAGCTTTGTTGAGCCATTTCATATATAGGGGATGATATGTTAGGGAACTGCTGACAACATAGGTGATGAGGGGAACTGATGAGGGGGAGTTGGAGAGCTGAGGCCGAGGCTGGAGGGGAGATTGGTCAGCTAATCGTTAGGCCTCGGGCCCTACAGTAAAACCACGTTGTAACCATAAGGGTTATACCCATCAGAATCCGGTAAGTGAATTGATCCTTCATATAGAAACCGTTAAAAATCCTTTACTACGGATATCGGTAATTTATCATCTCTACCACGCAAAAAATCGTTCTATCTAGTGCTTTATAAGCTATTTTCAACTAATAAAAATGCCCCGCCGATCTATTTAGGCTGCGCCAAAACCTGTGCCAACCTGAACACAGTCCGTTCACGTGGGTTCTTCTCTTTACATTACAAAATAGTAATACAGTAAACCCCCGTTATAACGATATATTATAGGCACGGCAAAATTATTATTATAACCAAGTAATCGTTAAATTAAGGTGCCATACATCAAATATATATTTCTGGTTTACATATCCTCGGTTTTTCTGTGCGACACGATGCACAGGGTTGTGTCGCCTAACACGATCCATCCAAATCAAGTTGATATTCGTATCTCGTCAAGTCTCGAGGATTTCCTATTTAGGATTTACGAATAACCTCAACTATCAGATCGATAGTAACGTTATTAGCATCTGCCAAGGTGAAAAATAGGATCTTAGTAGTAAGTATCTCCTACGTAGGGGGCTTTCTGCTAGGCGACGCCACTTTGGGACGACACTACTATTAGATGGTGTTTGCTTGTTTGCTATCTATATAGCAACCTGCTGTGTAGAGTTTTCTTCCTATAACAACTCTACCTTTGGATCATCTATATCTCATGCTCAAGCTTAGTTTTATCAATACAAGGGATTTGTCATCTCTTTTTATCGATGTTCCCGAGGTATAATTTTCCGTTGGTCTTGCTTTTGTATCAGTGCTCAAATGGGTATGCCGAGCTGTGTGAACATGTCTAACATGTCTAACTATCATCTGGTCTGCGAAAAGCATAAATCGAGAAATCCCCAAGGTCTGAAGTATTTTAGAAACATGTTATTTCCTCGAGCCGACGAATGGAAAGTAGAGTATTACAGAAAAGTGAAGGCCTAAAAGGAATAGGTGCTGCTAGACCTCTGCATAGCCTATCAATGGGCCCAGACCCCCGGCCCAACCCACAGCCCATTAATGGGGGCCCATAAAAGCCCATCAAAAGCCCATTTCTGTGCACAAATACAGTCTTAGCATACATAAAGTAGATGATTAATGACTATATTTTACGCAGGTACCAACCTATGTCTTCAGTATTATTATATTATCATAGTAAGAAGTAAGAATTAAGTGGATTTTATACTGATTTTAGCATCATGATACTAGGTTTCATACAAAATTTCATACAAAATAACCCTAAAAAGATCCAATTTGACTATGAATTCGCACCTAGAAGGAATTACTAAGTATTAGTATGAAGAGATATATATTATCTATAGAGGATTGATACTACTCTCTGTAGTTAATTATAGTAATACTTATGGTACCTCTACTTACTATATAAACCCCTAATAAAAATAAGTACCTCTTATAAAAAAGTAAAGCTTTATAAAAATCAATTTTGATTCTTATTTATATCTTCTAACCTACCTTTCTCTCTCTTGATATCTACTTCTTCTCTCCTTTATACTTCGTCTATCCTTCGCCTTTGCCGCCTTTACTGCCGTTGCCGCTACCGCTACCGCTTTACCAATACCCCTAAAGAACAGGAAAAAAATGCATTAATTATATAGCTGCAATAAATTGGCATATTTGTATTGTTTGGTTAATAATAAGGGCCCATTATAGGCCCCAATGGGCCCTATGGGCTCGGTGGATGGGCCCATAGCCGGCCGATAGGCTCGAAGGGTGGGCCCAAAGCCCAACCCATTAGTGGGCTGGGTTGGGTTGGGCTATGGGCTTTATGGGCTATGCAGAGGTCTAGGTGCTGCACCTATATAGGATAGGTATAAACGTATCCTATAAGAGTATGCTCACAAGTCAATGCTAGATGGCTTGGTAGAGATATTCCATGACTTAGTGAAGGATGACTATTTAATTCGGTTACTAATAGGGAACGGATATTTCGTATTTCGTCCAGGATCTTCATATTTACATTAGAGAGAATAGTATTCATATATAATCCTCTGTTATTTGCTTCATGATCTGTGTAGAGTACTTTAGCCTAGGGGCTCTGGTTACGATACTTCAGTCCCTTTCCGATAGCCAAATTCAATGTAAGGCTCCCTCGCCTAATATAGAACAATAGAGGAACCCTGAAGTGGGCTAGGCCTTGGCTTACGTCAAAGGGGCAAACATTGTAGTCAGTTATTTTTTCTTTTTCCTTTTCTGTTTTAAAAAAGGGGTCTTCCCGCGTGGACAGTGGGGATCACCTATACTAAGAGGTTGAAGTTGTCCAATTATTTTCTTGTACTTGCCTGATTCAGCGTAGCGTTGCATGTGTTTCGACTATTACTTAGCCAACTATATCTTCGAGTTCCTGTATACTATCCTGGAGGATGCTCCAAGTGGATTCTTAATTTGTATGCTGCGAGATCTCCACAACGAGAAATTCGCGCATAAAGAGTGATAACTATCGAGCAGAGAATGTTTGAGATTGATATCTCATACTCCGTGTTGCCAATCCCACCAAAGTGTATCTTTACATCCGCCTCTATGCATTTACTCGATTCTTAGAGGTCGTCATGCAACGAAGAAATTTTATAAAACTTTTATTCCAGCACAGAATTGATATGATCCAAACCGTCATTTCTAGAAGATGACATGTGGTTAATGTAGTGTACCCTGGAGCACCCTCCCTAGGGCAGCAAATGAGAATCGCTGTTTCTCGCCAACTGAAACACCATGGACCCTTCCTGTACCCCACACCAGCTTGACCGTTGCAGATCTATTTCAAGCTATAACATGATGTTACATAAAGTTTAATTGTAGGAGCGCGAAAGGGATTGGTCTCATTCATACCATCGGCTCACCAATTTGCATTCAGGCTGTACTTAAATGATTTAAATAGGGTCGGCTCCTGCTTGGATAGTTTAGCTTTCGATCTTCTATTCATTCTTTTATTCTTTTATTCTTGATTCAGTCAGTCATTCAATCATTTAACCTTTCTCGCTTCTTACTCCGAAAACCATGTTCTTCAAAGCGAAATCTGACTTATTGTCAACTTTTGTTCTTTCCCTCGCATCGGTGCCAACTGTGGTTGCCAACTGCGCACTTCCGTCTACTTACCATTGGACATCCACTGAAGCCCTCTCAAGGCCTAAAGCTGGATGGACGGCTGTCAAGGATTTCACCAATGTGGTCGTTAACGGCCATCATCTCGTCTATGCATCGTCTGCCGATCCAGCTGGGAAGTACGGCGGGATGTACTTTGCTCCCTTTGCTGATTGGCAGGGTATGGCATCTGCTAGTCAAAACGCATTGGACTTTTCTGCTGTGGCTCCTACTTTGTTCTTCTTCCAGCCGAAGAACATCTGGGTCCTCGCCTATCAATGGGGTGTGAGCCCTTTTACCTACCGGACATCGAACGATCCTGCCAGTGGAAAATGGTCAGAAGGACAACCCCTCTTTACCGGCAAGATCACCGAGTCCACCCATGGTCCTATTGATCAGACCCTGATTGGCGATGCTACCCATATGTACCTTTTCTTTGCTGGTGACAATGGCCGGATTTATCGATCGAGCATGCCTCTTGAAAACTTCCCCGGAAGCTTCGGAACCAGTTCGGAGGTGGTGCTGGCTGACACCAAGGAAAAACTCTTTGAGGCAGTTCAAGTGTACCATGTCAAAGGACAGAACCAGTACCTGATGATCGTCGAGGCAATTGGAGCCCACGGGCGCTACTTCCGTTCATTCACTGCTAGTGACCTCAGCGGAAAGTGGGCCCCACAGGCAGTGAGCGAGGACAAGCCTTTCGCCGGAAAGGCTAACAGTGGCGCAACCTGGACTAACGATATCAGCCATGGTGATTTGGTCCGTGAAAACCCAGACCAGAGCATGACTATAGACCCTTGCAATCTGCAGTTCCTCTACCAAGGACGTTCCCCAATCTCAAGTGGCAACTACGATACCGAGCCGTACAGGCCGGGTGTCCTCACTTTGAAGAAGTAAAATCCCTTCTCTTACTGCAAATGAGGCAGTGAAGATGGATCTGTGTGAGCTATGAGATGGCGACTACATACAATCGTGCTAACGGTAGGAAAGGAGAGAGATTTATATGGAGGCTCTGTTTTTTGGTCTTTGTCTACACTGGCATCTTGGAACCATGTCAGAACCAGAAGAGAGTTTTCCAAGCAGAACATACATACTAGGAGCCGGCTAGCCATCCGTTCCATCATCTACGGCTTTTCTGTAACTAAGACTGAGACAACACAAGGAGCATACGTAACGGCTCAACTATTGTTATTACATCCAATAAAGTAATAGTAAGCTTACGGCGCCTAGTGCAGGATCTCGGATGTTCTAACCAAACTCAGCTGGGCACTCCTAAACCGGCTAGTGTTTCCGTATACCGGAGTCTAACCAGATTAAGGGCACTCATGTGGGTGCTCCCAATCCAGTTGGTGCTGTAGTCCTCTGTCATATTGCTCAATGATGAGCTACAGACTAACCAAGATCCCAGACTCAGGGCAATAGTTAGCTTTTTATTTTTTATCCACCGCCGATTGGGGAGCTGGTAGGGCAACAGTAACAAAAAAGAAAGAGCTCTCAATTCCTCAATATTCATCTTGTCTACACCTAGCGGGGTTTTTCATGTTTAGATCTAAACCCGGAGGTCCGTGCAATCCGGACGGGAACTCAGGCGGTTGCACCTGTCTGATTACATAAGACAGCATTTAACCACTCGGCTAAAAGATCAGATCAACAATCGGAACCTCCGATTGTAACTGCAGCGGTATATATACTAGTCCCTAGACTCTGCTCGCGACCACATCCGCCCCGGCTCTCAATCAGGTGTTCAGATGCTCAGGTGTTCAGATGCTCAGACGTTCAGGTGTTCAGGTGTTCAGGTGTTCAGAACTAGGTTAACAGGTAATGAATGTTTGAGGTTCCCGGGCCCGTAGTTCCGCCAACTCGTATCCTACACTTCCGAATTTTCCCCTTTCCAACCAACTGGGTCTCATTTAGGCAGAATAACCCACAATACCGAGGTTTGTCTTCTTTTCACTATTCATTTACTAACCTGACCCGTTTCGTATGATATTGTTGCGAGTTGCGAGATGGCATAAATATTTCAGTCTCACAACCCAGGATAGTATAAATCTTTTTGCTGCTCCATCAAAGCAGAAAATCCCGATTCCTCGCTGACTTCCCTATCGAAGAACCGGCTTTAATGCCCGGACTTGATACCCCTTTCAGCAAGGATAAGTACCTTGAGCCACCATTTGTTTTTGACTCCACAATTCCTTCCACTGCATTTCCAAAGTAAATTCGGCGTGGAGTATTTACCATGGTGCCGAGAGAGTTCGTCCCAGCTAGGTTTCAGACGAACGGGTTGGTCTCTTGGGATCACACCAGTCCAGATATCCAAATCGTATCGTGATAAAAGCTACCAAATACTGTCTGCATATACACAAGATGGTATTGTTTATTCTCGGGTGTTTCGGGGATCGACCGATGAATCTGTTTGAGGATTTCATCATACAGCTTCTCTATCATTGTGGGGAATGGCCAGAGCCGAAGTCTGTGTTGGTCAGATATGTCCAGAGGCCGGTATGGAGCTGGTGTATCTACCTAAGTACTCTCTAGACCTGAATCCCATGGATGAACTTTTCGCAGAACTAAAGCCCTTTACTCGCCGGCATTGGCAATCCTACGAATAGCACCCGGATCAAGGGTTTGACAAATTCCTTGAATAGTGTGTTGATAGAGTCAGCGGGAAGAGGGAGAGTGTAGAGGAACACAGATCAGCTCGTAATCCGTTTATTTATTAGAGTTTCGTCTGAAGTATAACCTGAAGGAAGCGGTTGGCCCTTGCACTATGCTTTTCTCTCTACAAATATTAATAGATTATCTTTTGCAACAGCCAATGGAAAATTTTATATTGATTAGCACAATACTAGGCCTTTCTCATATTGTGTCTTGTTTTTGCCCCTACTAAATGTTAGACTGGACTAGAGTTTGAATCAACGTTCCCTTGTAACGTAATAAAATCCTCCACTTTTGAGCGGCCCAGACACGGAACCCCGATAAATGACCGACCTAATCCTTCTACTTTTTTTGTTCCCCAATGCAGAGTAAAACATAGCCCCAATGTACCGACGGTCATCTCAAAATACATCATTGGGTTGACAGTAAGTTTCGACTTAATACTTCAATCTTTTTCGTTAGTCCTCAGCTCGGGATCATACTTATCTCCATTCCTCTTTCCATTGCCTTCATTATTGTTGATGCCCGCAGTATTTTCCACGCTTTTGCTTTTTTCTTACCGAAGGGGATTGAGCGGTTTCCGAAGGCTAGTCATCCTACATAGTTATATGCCGTGCTCGAGGGGGTGGCCCAGTTCTCGGTGCAATGCACCGGCAGGACAGGATCCTAGTTTGGTTGGTCCAGAGTTAAATTCTGCGGCTCGACGAGCCTAATATACGACTTGGCGGCGGCTTGGCGATTTCATTGTTAAAAATATGGGCTCGATCGTTAGTAAGCAATGTCCCGGTGAAACTTACTCTTCATTTTTACTATTGTGTTCTGGTTGGCAGGAGAACGTATAGGTGGCATTTGTGCAATGAACGGAACGCGTAATATTGTACATTTATATCCCTGCGCCTTTTACCTTGAACTCATTTAACGAGTGCCTCGGGCAATGCTCCGTGTCTGATATTGATTTCTTCCCGTACGAATATTCCCAGATTACCCACATCCCTCACAATAGTTGGCTAACTTGTTATGAAAGGATTCAGGGTCTCGCGTGGGGTGCAGATCGCATGCAGGGGTCCCGGGATTATTTCAGGGTAAATGCACCCCGAAGATGTGTTTCATAATTTGTGACTTCCTCGGTCATGTAGGGCTATGTAGTTAGATAGACTTTAGTTATATTACACCTTGGCTAGTTCGGTAGTGATCAGCCACATGTTTGTTTCAACAACATATGATCTGGATTCCCGGTGAGTTCGAATGCCTCCATTTTGCAGGCATCTGCACGTAGGTAGGCCTTTCTTTCTATGACATCGAATACTTAAGCACCGCACGCCGCCGCTTTCTGTAGGATTTCTCGGTCAGCGTTTTGTCTCTTCTTTGATCGTACATTCTGATCACTACCTTCTCTTTCTTGAGTTCCTTCCTTTTATCTTTTTCTTTGTTTCATTTTTGGTATCTTCATTGGAAGTATACAGTATCTAGAACTGTTCCTCTTTGAGAGACTGCATCCTATCGTTCTTCTGCTTTCCAAAGAATGCACGTCTTTTCTACCCTTATCCCGGCCGTGGGTCTGTTCGCCCACCTCGCCACAGCTGCGTACAAGTTGCAAGACGACTATGGTACCGGTGACAAATTTTTTGATAATTTCGACTTCTCCACAGTACGTCCACTACATATGGCTTCAATTAATATATATGCTAACTCCGGGCATAGGACCCGGACCCAACGAAAGGCTATGTGAACTATGTAGACCGGTCAACCGCTAGCCGAAGTGGCTTAATCAAGGCTTCTGGGGACTCCGTGTACATTGGTGTCGACTCTACCAACATTGCTAGCAGCCCTGGTCGCCAGAGTGTGCGCCTGTCCAGTACCAAACGTTACACCCATGCACTGGTGATTCTGGATCTGGAGCACATGCCGGGAAGCGTCTGTGGCACCTGGCCCGCATTGTAAGTCAATCCTAATCAATTGACCCAAAAGAAGGAAGGCCGTATACTAACCTACCACAGCTGGATGCTCGGTGACAACTGGCCCAGCAACGGCGAGATCGACATCATCGAAGGCGTCAATGAGCAATCCACCAACCAGGCGGCACTGCACACTAGCCCCGGATGCTCAATCAAACATTCTGGCTTTAGTGGCTCTGTTGACACAAGCAACTGCTACGTGAAAGCATCCGGCCAGTCAGACAACGCGGGCTGTGCTATCACCAGCAACAACACCCAGTCCTATGGCAATGGATTCAATAAAGCCGGCGGTGGCGTGTACGCCACCGAGTGGACTAGTAACGCTATCAAAGTCTGGTTCTTCCCAAGTGCGAGCGTCCCCTCGGACATTAGCAAGGGCAGCCCCAACCCTTCGGGCTGGGGTAACCCTATGGCGGCCTTCGCTGGAAGCTGCGATATTGACTCGCACTTTAAAGAACTCCAGATTGTACGTTCGCTCCATCCACCTATACGTATATTTCATTTCCATTCTAATGAACTTCTAGATGTTTGACATTACCTTCTGCGGCAGCTGGGCCGGCAAGGTCTGGTCATCAGACAGCTGCGCCTCCAAGAGTAGCTCATGCAAATCCTACGTCCAAAACAATCCCTCCGCTTTCACCGAAACCTACTGGAGCGTGAACTCGCTGAAGGTCTATCAGGACGGTAGCAGCCCAAGCAACGCTACTTCCTCCGCCAGTGCGAGCTCGTACGCTTCTACCCCTCTTGTTTCTTCCACCCCTCGCCCTACATGGAAGCACCGTCGTAACGGCCACAATCACGGACATTAAATGACATGTTGAATACCTGTGCTGCCATGAATACATTGGCTTGACTGTTGGGAAGCCAATTTATTAGGCAGAGATCTGAGATTTCTTCTTCTTCTTCTTCTTCTTCTTCTTCTTCTTCTTCTTCTTCTTCTTCTTCTCTTTCTTCTTTTCCTCTTCCTTTTCTCCTGTAGGTTAGGACTAGGATAATGACGGCCAGATGCCTTATTTACCTGGGAGCTCCGTGCTTAGATAGCACCGCCCTCTCTTGATTCGCTTCTCTTTCCCACAGTCGATAGACAATACAATTCCTCGTCCTATCGTGTTCTCCGCTAGACCGTTGTCCCTACGCACCTCTGTGGGCCCCTCTCAGCCTCCCCGTTAAAAACAAAACTTGCTTCCCCTTGCAGAATTTGTAGACTTCGTCAAGAACCCATTTACCCATCCTTAAAACGTATATTTCTTTGAATAGGGGGAAATTGTTTTTGAAAGATTTTATTGGGCGGCATATACCCACACGCTATGTTCATAAAAGCATGTTATAGTGATAGATACGAGTGGAAGTTTATATCTTAGCGTGATATTCGGAATTAGACTGCGACAATGCCCATTAAAGTGGAGACATTCTTAGTGTCGCCAAGACATTGGTGGGACCTCTTGGCAAAGTGGACACTGCCCAGAGCTAATTGCGTATATAACATTGCCTAGTAGGGTAATTCTTACATTAATTTTGCATAATGACGGGCGATGAACCTCTAATTTCAAAGTTCCCACGAGCAATGTCGCAGTCTATTCGGAATAAATGCTACGAAAGTGGATCCTACTAGTGGCATTGTTCTATGGTTCAGAGATAAGATGTTTCACTTTCGACATGCTTTGCGCTAGGCGATATTAGGAAACATCCTCACGAAAGTGGATCCGAGTGCTAGCCTAGGTGTGAGATCACAAGCCGGCTACTACTCCGAGCTTTTACCCATTAAGCCAAAAAGGCATGACCAAACTGAGTTATGGAACTCAGTTCATGTGCAGTGGTATATATATATAGGTGTCCACATATTGTGGGATCACAACGGTATGGTCTAAATTTAACCTTATCTAGTAGCAGTGATAATATTTGACATGTCGATATTACCTGATATATCTCTTGATGCTTGATTCGACATTGCTTGGGATAACGAGGCTTTCCAGGATGACAACTCTGGTGACAGCGAGTTGTTGTAGCTGGCGCTTAATCTCTCCTTTATCTATCACTCTAGGCCAGTGCATAGGGTAGCCGTAACATTTTGGAACTCTGAGGATAGGAGGCCAGTCTGGTTGGCCAATATCAAGAAGGATAGCACTCTAGGACATACGAAGCCCTTCAATGACAGTGTAGGCCCCCAGTGAGCACGCCTGGACATTGGCCATTAGTGTCTTATTAGCGTATATCCAGTCGGCGTCCGTCGCGGTACATGTTGAATTCTTTAGAACCCTCGGCGAGACAATTGGCCTGGCGGTCAATATCAGCTGTGTCTTTGTTTCGTCATTGAACAGCTCCACGTTCTGGGATGTTCTGGGCATCAGCGGTAGCCACAATGGCCGCGATGGCAAATGCTGACCACGTTGCTAACCGCATTAACTAACACTCCTCCGTCGGTCAATTGGAAGCTCTGTAATGGATATACGCCCAATATCACACGGGGGGAACAGAGGGAAGTAGAACTCTAATCAGTTCCTAGGAGCCTGTACTTTGGCTATACTTAAGTCTATCTGGTTTCCCCCAGACAAGGGAGGAGGGGTAAACTCGACGGCAGCTTCACGTTAGAACTCGGTCTTAACGGCCATTTCGCCCAGATTCGGACGGCCAGTCACTGAAGATCGTTTTAATTCAATTTCTTTTCCTTTTTTCTGCTTTGGGGCTCAAATCAGAATTAGGTGCGAAGGGCTAGACCTCTGCATAGCCCATCAATAGGCCCAGACCCCCGGCCCAAAGCCCAACCCACAGCCCATTAATGGGGGCCTATTAAGGCCCATCAAAAGCCCATTTCTGTACACAAATATAGTCTTGGCATATATAAAGTAGATGATTAATGACTATATTTTACGTAGGTACCAACCTATATCTTTAGTATTACTATTATTATAGTAAGAAGTAGGAATTAAGTAGATTTTATCCTGATTTTAGTATTATAATGCTAGATTTTATATAAAATAACCCTAAAAAGATCCAGTTTGACTATGAATTCGTGCTAGAAGGAATTACTAAGTATTAGTATAAAGAGATATATATTATCTATATAGGATTAATACTACTTTCTATAGTCAATTATAGTAATGCTTATGGTACCTCTACTTACTATATAAACCCCTAGTAAAAATAAGTACCTCTTATAAAAAAGTAAAGCTTTATAAAAATCAATTTTAATTCTTATTTTTCGGCCTCCTAGTATCTATTACCTGATATCTTATAAATAAAATTAAATCAACCAGTCCTATTAGTTAATTTATAAGTGATTTATATATAGCTTTATATACAGCTTAAACGGTAATTTCAATACCCCCAAAGAATAGGAAAAAAATGCACTAATTATATAGCTGCCATAGATTGGCATATTTATATTATTTGGTTAATAATAGGGGCCCATTATAGGCCCCAATAGGTCCTATGGGCTCGAAGGTGGGCCCAAAGCCCAACCCATTAGTGGGTTGGGTTGGGTTGGGCTATGGGCTTTATGGGCTATGCAGAGGTCTACGAAGGGCAGAGCGACCAAAGGCCAAATGCCTGATTTTGTAGGGATGATGCCTTGATATGCCTGAATTATAGCTCGCTTTCGACACCTCTCTATACTGTATACTGTAAATTGAAGCTATTCCTAGTTATGCATACCATATATAAGAATAGTTGGCTGGTTATACGGCCTTGTCATGTCTTTTTAGGTGATGTGTTCAAATATATTTTTGGCTAGTCTTTTTGGATGTTCTTTTTAGGTATCTTTTTAGATGTATATAAAGGCCGTAAAATGAAAATAGCATACTTTGTATAAGAGATTTTGAAATCTCTATATTCCTTCCCACTCCACAAATCAACAGTTTCTTCGAATCCCTAACATCGAAAACCATCCCGAACCGTGTAAAATGCATCCTTATATTAATCTCGAGAGATTTGATTGGTCGCAATATCTTAAAGCTTAGAAATAGACGTATCCAGTGATTTATATGGAAGGAATAGCTTCATTCTCATAAACTACTTAGGCCCACAGGTGGATACTTTGCTTATTAAGCCATCTGGTATAATTCATGTAACTATTTTGATTTCTGCCAGTCTATGTAAAATAAGGCATAATTAAGGCATAGTTATGCAGGGGCCAAGCCTACAAAATCAGGCATTTGATCTTTGGCCGCTCTGCCCCTTCGCATATAGGCTCACATATGACACCTTGGAACCCCACACGGAACGGCCCCCACACGGGCCGTTTTCCAACTCTGCAGCAACTCAAAAAATGGGGAATCGATTCTTAAATAAAAGGGCTGAGTGGTCTCCTATCTCAGCAAATAGGAAGGTCAGACTTTGCAAAATCCAACCCAGGGTCCTCGAACTTCCTTGATCCGGACTAGGGCAGCGGCCCTACAGGCGACGTTAGCCTAGTATTGACCTAAACAGACAGACTATGGCAGCCAATACAAATAGTGCTATGAGTATTGGCACTTGACAGGTGCCGAAGACAGGATAGGAATCTTCCAAGGACCCTGACCAGAGTAAGGAATTTGGAGCCGATATCAATTCCAAATTTTCAACATAAAACGATTGAACAATAATACCTGTTATGTCTGGCCCACTCGCTAATGCCCGGCCATGCCCCCCCGAAACTCCGCGCATTAGTATACATTAGCGTGGCCGGGGATATTGCTGCCCACCCGTATGCTTTTGTCTCCGACGAAAGCATCGTCGCCGTGCCCCCCACTCCCATAAGTTAGTATACATTAGCGTGGCCAGGGATATTGTCAACCAACCCCTCTGCACAATGGCATAACCCCACTCACCGTATGCTGCAGACCCAGCGGAGAGGGAGAGACGTCGTAATAAAATTGGCCTGCTTGATCTGCTCGCCGTCGTCCCTACAGACAATCGCTGTCGTAGTCGCAGTCGCAGTCACAGTCGCACTCCTCCGTCTGCTCTTTACAGCTGCAGCAAAATGTCCAGCTTTGTGAGCTATCTACTCGGCGCTCTCAGCGCGATCCTAATGGCCCGCTTGGTCCTCTCACTCCTCAAATGCCCCTCGCTGCCCCTACCACCAGGACCCAAGCCCTTGCCTATAATCGGAAATATTCACCAGCTCCCCAAGAGCCTCCAGTGGCTGGAGCTCTACCACTGGAGCAAGAAGTATGGCCCGGTAATGCATTTCAGTATGGGCGGCCAGCCGCTCATCGTCCTCTCCACCCACCAGGCCGCACATGATCTCCTCAACCGCCGCAGCTCGCGATACTCGGATCGCCCACGCATGGTCATGGCCGGCGAGCTGGTGACTAGGGGCATGCACATGCTCCTCCGACCATACAATAACCAGTACAAACTACACCAGAAGATGGGGGCCCCACTTCTAAACCTGCGCGCTGCGAGCAACTACCGCCCGCTACAGGACCTTGAGTCGCAGCAACTGCTGTGGGATGTGCTAGGCGAGTGGGACAAGCTTGGCGAGAAGGGCGTAGACTTCCACCACCACTTCGAGCGTGCAATGGCGAGCACTATCTACTGTCTGAACTACGGCTACCGACTGCAAACTGGATACGAGAAGGAGCTGATGGACGGGAAGCGCGTGCAGGCGGAGTTTGCGCGCATCGGGCAAGTGGGCGCGTACATTGTCGACTCGTTCCCTTCGCTGAATTACCTGCCCAAGTTTCTGGCGCCGTGGAAGAAGGAGGGCGAGGAGCTGTTTGAGCTAGAGCGCCAACTGCATATTGGGAACTTGAAAAAGGGGCTGAGTACCCAAAAGTGGAACTTTGCGAAGCATATGAAGGACTCGTCGGAAGCTGCGGGGATGCCGGACGTTGAGCTCGCATTTGATCTGGGAATTCTTGCTGATGCTGGCTTGGATACTTCCACTGTTGCGCTGGACTGGTTCATCGTTGCCTGGATTACGTCGGGCTCCCGTGGCTGGGCGAAGAAAGCGCAGCTGCTGCTAGATGAGGTCGTCGGTAAAGACCGCCTACCTAACTTTGAAGACCGTCCCAGGCTAGCGTATATCGACGCTATTGGTGAGTTTCACTTGTCTGATTCGAATAATGGGCAAGGTCTGACATTACATGACATGGTATAGTGAGCGAGACCCTCCGCTGGCGCCCCGTCGTCGTCCAGGGTGTGCCACACTGCACCAAGATCGAGGACGAGTACATGGGCTACCGCATCCCCGCTAACTCAACTGTCCTCCCCAATGCATTTGCCATCACCCGCGATGAGGCCGTCTTTGGCGAGGATGCCGACAACTTCATCCCGGAGCGGTGGGTTGCCGAGGAATTTGACAATGAGCAAATAGATATCTGCGGCTGCAACACATCCGCCCTTAAAGACCTACCGCAAACAGGCTTTGGATTCGGGCGCAGAATCTGTACGGGCCGTCTCATCGCACGCAACCAGCTGTTCATCCAGATGGCCCGCATGCTGTGGTCGTTTGATGTCGAGGCTGGCGTTGTGGACGCGGCCACAGGCGTGAGACACAAGGTCCACGATATGGACTGCACGGAGGGTTTTGTCACCCTACCCAAGCCGTTTAGGTCTGTAATGCGCCCGAGGGGGCAGTGGGTGCGTGATGTGATCCTGAAGGCGGGCACCACGCATAACCTAGATCACTCGGCCATTTTGGAGGCATCAAAGATTGAAAAGTCCCGAAAATGAACAAATATCTTGTCGCTGTGGTATTCATTGTGTTGTTTAATGTTGAGTGGGTAAGAAGAGGAAGCTACACAGGTATGCACAGAGCAGAAGGATGGAAAGAAAAATAGGCAAGTGCTAACATTTCTAAACGGCATTTGTTTGGAATTGGAGGGAACTACCAAAGTTGATGCCCTAGGTGCCAGGAATCTGACGTGTGGACTATACGGTACATAGGGAGTTTTGCTAAGTTACTAAGTAGGCTCCTGCTTTGTGCCCCCTATCTTTGCTCTCCCAGGATATAAATGGTGATTCTAAGGACACTTAAGAATATTATACTACAACATCTCCTGGCTTGATTGAAATACGCAAAGACTAGGAGAAAGCTTAGAACCCTACTTCGTTTTTCATTGATGATACCTATTAAAATGGAGTAATAAATCCACAATCATCAAAAATGACCCAAACATGTCACATACATCAGATGACGAACGTTAAACGCAGCAAAAAACAGTATTCTAAAGGAGTGGAGCAAAAATAGCCCAGACTAGACCAATTAAGCCAATATGAGGGATATTTAAGGATCCTGCCGCATTGAAGGCTGGAGAAGTTGTAGAGGTGGTTGCCGATTCAGTCTGAGTTCCGCCACCCGAGCCCGATGGACTACCAGAACCATTGTCAGATGTGGTTTCGCCGCCAACCCCTGTGCCCTGAGTGCTCGACATGGTCTTGATTGAACCGGGTAATGAGGTTGTGATAAGCGAGCCAGATACTGATGTTGTCGCAATTGATCCAGGTACTGAGCTTGTCACGAGGGACCCTGACGTTGAGATCGTGACGACATATCCAGAGAAAGAGGTTGTGACAAGTGAAGCAGACACTGAGGTTGTCACAACTGATCCGGAAGCTGAGGTTGTGATGACAGTGACTGGTTGAGTTGTCTCGACTGCGCTGGATGTTTCCTCGGTCCCAGTGGTAGCAGTGCTTTCCTCACTGGACTGAGTGCTTGTCGTTTCAGTGCCGGTAGCTTCAGCACTGCTTACTTCGGTGCCGGTAGCCTCGGTGGTGGTAGTTTCGGTGGTGGTAGCTTCAGTGCTGGTAGCCTGAGTACTAGTAATTGTGGCTGCTGTCGAAGCCTTTGTGCTGGTAGTAGTGGTGGTCTCGGTGCTCGTCGCCGTGGTCTCCATCTTAGTGCTGGTGGCACTTTGTGTTGTTGTGGACGTGACCATGTCGGAGCAGAAATTCAGCCACTGTGCAAATGTCGGCAACATTCTTGATGAATATTGATCAGAGCCAGAATCAGCGTTGTTGGTAATACATTCTTCGCAAACACCCAAGTTTTCCATGAATGCTGAATCGCTCTTGCAAAGCTCGTCGGTCTTTCCAAGCACTTGCGGCTCATGTGCAGCATCGTTGCAATCGTTATAACAAATAGTAGGAATGTTTGTTATATCGATTCTTTTAACCTTTTGAGCGACAGCGAAATCCCACAAGGACATGTCGCGCTTACTGTTGGCTGCAACTTGGTCTTCCGGAAACTCGAAGATAGAATAATTGAGACCAAAGTCTTCGGGGTTGAGGTTGTAATAATTATTCGAGACATTGTACTGCCAGGTTGGATGGACGTCCAAAGGTGGAGCCACAATGCAGTCTGAAGGGGCGCAGATGTATCCGGGGTCGGGAAGACCTGCTTCAATGTTGCATTCCGAGCGGTTACCTGTATGACGTGGCTTGCAGAGATATCCAGGTGCGCAGCCCCAGGTATAGTCATCTGGCAACGGAGCGGTAGGTGTGTAGGATGGGTTGCTGATAAGAGTGGAGCATACAGAGGCGGATACTGCCGTAGTACTGCCAGAGTTCTGGGTCGACGTGGTTTCAGGCCCACTAACTGTGGCAGTAGTAAATGGAATTGTTTGGGTCGTTTGTGAATCTGATAGTGTTAGTTCTTATAATAATACCCAACACTCTATTCTTCACAACGTACCTGGGATAGTGACAGTTGTGGTACGGGTTGAGCCGGGTAAAGTGCTAGTACCATCCGATACAGTGACAGTAGTGGCAGGATCGGTAATTGTTGTCGTGATAGTTGTCCCTGGAAGTGTTGTTCCCGGTGGAGTGATGGTGGTATCGGGGATAGTGACAGTTGAGCTACCGGTGGTAGTCACTGATGTTGTCGACACTGGAAGAGTGGTAACACTTACAGAGCTGGAAGTGGTTCTGGTTGTCACTGTAGTGGTTGTCGTCTCTGGAGGAGTTGTAGTCGAATCACCAATAGTCGTCGATGTTGTTGGGGTGGTTATCCCAGGTACACTAGAGGTGGTCGTGACAGGTTCGCTCGAGGTGGTTGTCACAGTTCCTGAAGTAGTTGTGATAGGCACACTCGAGGTAGTGGTGATAGGTTCACTCGAGGTGGTTGTCACAGGTTCGCTCGAGGTAGTGGTGACAGGCACACTCGAGGTAGTGGTGACAGGTACACTCGAGGTAGTTGTGACAGGTTCACTCGAGGTGGTTGTCACAGGTTCGCTCGAGGTAGTGGTGACAGGCACACTCGAGGTAGTGGTGACAGGTACACTCGAGGTAGTTGTGACAGGTTCACTCGAGGTGGTTGTCACAGGTTCGCTCGAGGTAGTGGTGACAGGCACACTCGAGGTAGTGGTGATAGGTTCACTCGAGGTAGTTGTCACAGACTCACTCGAGGTAGTGGTGATAGGTTCACTCGAGGTAGTTGTCACAGATTCACTCGAGGTAGTTGTGACAGGTTCACTCGAGGTGGTTGTCACAGATTCGCTCGAGGTAGTAGTGATAGGCACGCTCGAGGTGGTGGTGACAGGCACACTCGAGGTGGTTGTGATAGGCGCACTCGAGGTAGTTGTGATAGGTACAGTTGAGCTGGTTGTGATAGGCACGCTCGAGGTAGTCGGCGTGCTAGTCAAGTCATCTGTGCATGTACATGATGTGATGGTAAAAATCTCGGTTGTGTAATCCGTGAGCGTTTGTATAGCTTCATTTGCGGGCAGTGCGATGGCGGCGTTTGCAGCAACATTGACCGGTCCAACGCCAACATCGGCGGAAGCACTTACGGCAAGGGCATTTCGACATCCACTAATAGTCTTCGTAGTAGCCTCGGTGATGGTAATTGTAGTGGCGCCTGGAGAGCTATTTCCAGTCTGCGTAGAAGTTTCGGTGATAGTTTCAGCAGCGCAAGAATCACCATCACCGAGCCAAAGTGTAACCCCGACTCCTACTGTGACAGCCAATCCATCCTCTTGTCCTGCCGACAGCGCGGGGGATATGTTGATTAAACTGCTATGGCTTGATGTCACCAAGCCGAAAACTGTCGCCAACAGCGATACCCAAGCGACCGCGTCCTTCATCTTTGCCTGTCTGTAAAAGAAATCCTTCCGAGGATGGCTAGCAAGGTAAACAAGCTAGACATGCCAAACAAAGAAAATGAGTCGAGGGAATTGGAAGACGTCCAATACATACGCACGGTCCCCTTCGCTCAAAGAACGCCCAGTAGTTCGAGGCTCAAAATTCCCGTCCGAGGGGAATCAGCCCAAGAAACGTAGCATAGCCCCATCTTGAACCCCGATACGAGAAAATACATAATATTCTGAACTATTGCAGTTATGCATTGACCACAATTGGGGGCTAGATCAAGCACACAATGGGGCTCCGTCAGTTGATTCGGCTGTATTTCCCGTAGCTGCATGATTCTAGCCATGCAGCAATACAATCAGGGTAATGATCGGAACGTTCGGACCACAAGCTGAGTGGGGTTCTTACACCGTCATCTATTCATTCTTATTTCTCCTTGGCTACTTCGTATTCAGGGCGGGGGGAACTGACAACAAAAAAGATCAACAAAGCCGCATCTCAAGTTCCAAGAGACCCCCGCCCCCTCGCTTTTTGCATGTGGATGTCAGCAGTCAATCTGAATTCCAGAATTCTTATGGGACTTGTCATTTTCATATTATGACAACTCAGTGATGAGCTCAACCGCTGTTTCTTCGATTAAAAAATGCGGTTTCTTTTGGGGACGGTGCTGACGCTGCTAGTCGTGATAGACTATGTAGTGGCTGTATGTAGCATATCGCCGACTCAAATTAATGTTTCTATGTGCAGTTGGTCAAACCTGCGTGGTAAGCACTCCTTGTCTATTTCTTTTCAGGTTCTTTTTCTTTTTCTTTTTTTCTCTTTTTTTAACTGACACTAATAGCAAATATCCTGCGCGATACAATCTTCCTCGATGGCGGGGAGCTATCGTATCAGATGTATGAGGTTCCTCATGGTCAATACCCATTTTCACTAACAATTGCAGGGGATATGATGACGGTTGCGTCCAGTACCAAGCAGATGACAGTATGCGCGACCAATAGATGTTGTTATATGCACGTAGCTAACTAGCAGAAGATTTGAAAGCCACCATCTATTATCTGAACCTCACCACTTCTTTCAACACAAAATCAGATTTCATGGATATACTCAGCAACGCGTCCATCGCCGGTGGTGTTGCTAGCATAGCTCCGAATTACGTTGACGGCACGATGTTTGCCAACGACAACGAGTTATACCTCTATGGGTTGGCATCCCTCGTCTCTCCCTCTAATAAATCACTGATTCTGAGGTCCTTTATCGCAGAGGCATGCTTCATAATACCGATAGTTCCGATCCTCCGCCTGCTAATCAAGTCTTGTCGTACGCGGCGTACCAGTATGGGCCATATAGAAGCTTATGGGAGCCCACCTGGAACCAAGAATACCTCTCCACTAATGTTACACGATATATCACCAATGGCGCTGCTGCATCAGCCCCAAGAGAGAACCTAGGTTTTTACTTCAGTGGGATGCGTGCGGCAGATTGGGGCGACTTCAATTTAAACCTGCTTCAATCCAACGAAACGGCCGACACGCTAATCACCTTGGACATGTCACAGATGAGTGACGGAAAGTGGACAAACAGCACACTACCAAGCTATGTTCCTGCTCGTTCCAACGCGGAACTGGTATGGGTCCCTGTATCTGAGTCCGGGATTTTAGTCGCCATTGGGGGAGTGGTTGAACCCATTCGGTTTTTCAAAAATGATAAATCAAACTCATCACGGACAGATGAGAGCAAAAGAATTAGCCCGACGTTCATGGAGACAGTCTCCATCTTCGATGTCGGGAGTGGAACCTGGTATCTCCAAAACACGACGGGCGATATACCGCCACAGTTGACGGAGTTCTGCTCTGTCCTTGCTAGTGCGGCTGATGGGTCATCTCATAATATCTACATCTATGGAGGATATGATGGTCTCAACTATAGTGCCAATCCATCCGATGACGTTTATATATTGTCCCTGCCTTCCTTCAAGTGGGTTAAGGCATACAATGGTACAAACACACACAGCCGCAGCGGTCACCAATGCATCAAAGTATATCCTGACCAAATGCTGGCAGTTGGAGGGCAGCATGTTGACTCAACTCATTGTCTGGAGGGTGGTGTTATTGTCAACTTCAATCTCAACACGCTGAGCTTTGTGGATAAATACGATCCCGCAAATTGGAGCGAGTATAAAGTACCGGATGCCGTGACAAAACTAATAGGTGGCAAGTGAGTGTAGACCTAGCAATACAGAGAATAAATCGTCATAGCTAACAGCCTATTAGCTCTGATGGAGGTGCAACCACCACCGCCCCAACATCATGGACCAACAGCTCTCTAGCAGGAATTTTCGACACGAAGTATAGCAAGACTATCGAGACATACTGGCCGTACAATAGTACCAGCAGCAATTCCAGTACCAGTTCTTCCACACAAGATCACAACGGGGGCGGCGGCTTCCCCGGCTGGGCTGGTGGAGTAATCGGCGCGGTGTTGGGTCTGTTCGTCATTGCAATCCTTGTCGGACTCTGGTTTTATCGCCGACGGCAGCGTCAACGCAAATCTGCAGAAGCGGAATCTGGAGCCACAGGGGCCGAACCCAAAAGCCGTCCTCCGGAATGGATGTATGGGAGCGGCCCAGCCTCGCCTGAACCCGGGCCAGTATCTTCATCGACGGGTATGGAGACGGCGGAAACGGTGCGAACAACGCATACCTCGGCAACGCAGCCTTCTACAGCACAGCAATCGATAACCCAGCCATCAGACACACAGGCTTCAACAGTGCCAGACTCCTTCATCTCTCCCGCAACCCCTGGAACGGTGGAATCAGGAGGAGGTGCGCTATATGAGATGCATGGTATGTCTATGACTTCCGTTCTTCAACCTCTGATGGGAAATAGATATTACAGAGTACTAACCCTGCCTTCCACACAGATTCGTCACCTGTTGAGCTTCCCACGCCATTCAATGCCGCGTACTTCGCTCACGACGGGTCTCCCAAGCCCGAACCTGATCCGAGACGAGGGTCCCAGTCTCCTGTCTCACCGCAGACTCCTAGTGAGACTGAGTCGGAGTATTCATATCCAACGGGTCATAACCGGCGCCCATCTTCACTGTCATTAACATCGCCAATGTCGATTGATAACGTGGTGAGCGGTCGGTCGTCACATTTTTATGAATCTTTTGACAGTTTGCATACCCCGCGAGCAGGTCATCGATCTGAGGTTTCTCAATTGACTGATCATGTGGAAGACAAGGGGCGGAAAGGAGGCAGTGAGACGATTCGGGAGGATGAATAGGGTATAATTCTTTAATGAGGTAAATACTGTTCTAGTGTGTAGAATAGAGAGATTAATCAGTGTGTTCGTGATGAACCACATAGTTCATATCAGCCAAAGTGATTTGCAGTACTAAAGTACAAAAAGCCTGGAATACAAGCTCAAGTCATGCCAATATACTCCGTCGGCCCGAGCTTTTGCCATATTGACCCGATGTATCTGGACCCCGGCCACACGCGGTAGTTGCTGCCAAAGTAGCTAAGGATGTAGGTATCTCAAAGTGCTTGTTGATAGCCGAACTACGTGGAGAACCCGGTTCCCACGGTGAGTTAAGTATATTGACTGTTGCTCGCTCGGCAATGAATTGAGGTTCACGATCTAGAGGGATATGTGAGCCTACAACCACCAAACACCTCCATGCACTAGCAATACCTTCTTTCGTCAAAGATTGAGGTATCAAAACTGGCTGAACCTCCCCGTCGCTATAAAGTCTGTCTCCCTTGTCTCGCATATCCCATCTTCGCTTTGATCGCGGGGGTATAGATTCTTTCACGGGCTTCTCGGCGCCCGAGTATTTCCCCCGGGACGCGATACCAGCCCCCCAGCGCAATCGGATCTCGTATCCCTCGCAAGTGAGGCCCCGGGAACTGCATTTCTGGCAGGTTGGACGCATTTCATCGCACTGGATCCTCTTTTTCTTACAGGTCCAGCATCCCTTGAAAGAGCGATGGCGGTGGGATATGTCCTTTTGTTTCTCGGTGGGAGGCATGGTACTGAAAGGAATGTAGTGAAAGAAGAGAAGAACAATGATACGAATCCTCAGGAAACACAACAATTCACTCATATATACTTGTGCGAGTGTGGAGCTATGAACATTCTCGCACTGTGATTGGCCGAATAAAGATCTCAGTGAGCGAAATAACGCACTCTAACCTCCTATGGGAAATACTTCCCGGTTTATTAACAAGGGGATATTCTATTACCCCATAATTGCCTCACACTTGCAAAAGTTATCTTATGATCAGTGGGGGGAAGTCCAGTTTAAAAGTTCATGAGACTTTAATCCAAGCGTACCGTTTTGGGAAGGTCCACGCAGCAAAAACAAGCTTGTCTTCTCAAGCTCCCCACTGATATATTTGAGATCTGTCCTAGAGGAAAAGATCGCTCGTGGAAAAGTCAATTATCAACTCTGAGGGACAATATTGATCCTTTGCGACCGTTATGTGCTTTGTCGAATATCATGGTGACATACATGGTAGAAATAAAGGGTACTGAAACCCGGAAAATCTACAGGCCACCATAGTGCTCTATACAAAAGCACGTATTATTGTTAGTCGGCAAATATATCTGTATGACTATGATGATGATGATGGTGATGATGATCTCATTAACCCGATGTAGCTCGTTATTACATACATGCTGCTATGCGGGGATAGCGTTCCAGTATCTGTATGACTATAGATTGGAAAAAGAGGGGGTTGTTGTCAATTTAGTGAGAGAAATGTATTTATATCTGTCATCTGTATCATACCTTGCTGCACATCCTGAGTTCTGTCACTTTTATCGAACTGAAACGGACATAGATAGTTTGGTAGCTCCCTCCTGGTTTCTTGGTCTTTGCACACGGTGCGAAGGGGCAGAGCGGCCAAAGGTCAAATACCTGATTTTATAGGGATGATGCCTTGATATGCCTAAATTATATACCGTTTTCGACACCGCTCTATACCGTATACTATAAATTGAAGGTATTCCTAGTTATACATACCATATATAAGAATAGTTGGCTAGTTATACGGCCTTATCTTTTAAATTATCTTTTTAGCTATTCTTTTAGCTATCTTTTAAGCTATTCTTTTTAGCTATCTTTTTAGGTATATATAAAGGCGGTAAAAAAAAAAGCGCACTTTATATAAGAGACTTTGAATCTCTATATTCCTCAAAAATAAAGCTATTCCTACTCCACAAAAAATCAGCTTCTTCGAATCCCTAACATCGAGAACCGTCCCAAACGGTATAAACTACCTCTTTATATTAATCTGAAGAGATTTAGCCAGTCGTAATAGCTTTAACGCCTAGAAATAGGCGTATACGCTGATTTATATAGTAGGAATAGCTTCATTCATATAAACTACCTACAGTCCTATAGATACTTTGCTTATAAAGCTACCTATTATAATTCAATCGATGTAAAATAAGGCATAATCCAGGCATATTCAGGCATTTAACCTTTGGCCGCTCTGCCTCTTCGCGCACGGGCCAGATACCAGTTAAGGTCTCTTATACGCCGCCTTGGTGGCCGCTTATTGAAAACTTCGAGTTTTAGCTAAATTAATAAGCTATCACCTAATTGTCTAAATTGGATCGAGTTCCAGGACCAATGATCACACAATGGTCGCCATCACATGATAATATTTGTGCCCAATGATCCTAAGGATAGACAGGCCTTTATAATCCGTGGATACATAGCCTGATAGCCTAATAACCAATCAACAGCAGCTTTTAATTTGTTTGTGCCCAACTGAATAACTAGTAGACGTTATTACGTAGTTGATATCATGGTCTATAAATATCTGTCTAGTCCGTGCTGTTGTTGTATTCATTTCTAGCGAATCGCTCAACCACAGACTTTTTTGTTACTATACTACAATTTCTTATTCACTTTTTCCCCATCAACCAGCCATTGCAACATTACGAGTCTAAGAAATAGGCCATGTCGCCGACGTATATGTATATATGCTGTCAGTGTGGTGATGGGCCTAAGATATATAATCATCAGCCACAGTGTATAAATTGCAATCACGTGGCTTGTGGAGTACGTGCCGTAAAAGCGGTGATATGTTGGTTGAACTTAGAAAACTGACCTAGCCTCTTTATGATTATAGGGAGTAAGTGAACCCAGCTAGAAAATGGGTTTGTGTCAAAGCTAAACCATAGTTAACTTGGAAACTTTGTGCGGTAATAGATGTAAGTGGATACTGCGAGACAAGACTTGATTTCCCCGGTATTGGTTGAATTGATGGTTAATACTCCTATTAGCGGACCGCAACATTACCCAAGGGGCGCAGCTCGGCCTCCATTCGATAAAGAGAGTTTGGAGTTGTGCAGACTTGATTGGCTCCATAGGAAGGCCACTCTTGGTGAGGAGCACGAGGATGCCCTTTCTGCGGCATTCGTTATTGCCGAGGTCTTATCAAAAGGAAAGCGCTATAAACAAGCACTAGGATGGTACCGTTTTGTGTTTCTGACAGAAAGTGTGAATCTTGGAATGGACCATCCCAAGACTTTGGAAGTGAGGAATCATATTGCGGATGTATTGGAAGCTCTAGGTCGGGATGCTGATGCTACTCGTTGGAGCGTCCCTGACGCGAAGGGTTGCACGTATGTCAAATGACGGGCTCTATACGTGCTTAGCTAACACAGATACCTCATGTCTTTCTTCTCGGGATTTCCTGGCTGTGTTATCATTCGGTTTAATATAACATTCAGTTTTATTCCTTAGTCCATTCCACGAGAGAATGTGGTATAGTTCTTAGACGAATATGATCAGAAAAGCATCGTGGAAATGAAACATAGACGAGGTAGATCATTATAATTATAACGATTAACGCTGTTTGGATTCGCTATTCAAGTGAAGTTCTGGCTCTAAATTATCTAATGTTTCCTGCCAGCAACATCTGATAAGTCCTCCCTACATTTACTCACCAGATTAACACTATGGTCTGGTCTGCACATATCTAATGGTGGTTTCAATTAGACGTTGACAAAGTAAGTGTACAGCTTTGCCTCCGACTCACCCAGGGGCATTGGAGATGAATTTTTCAAGGTCCTGCCCTAAGTTACCTTTGTCCTGAAGTCCTTCTGTAGGGGGATTCGAGATGAAGTTTTCTAGATCCCATCCCAGGTAATCTTGGTCAGGGGACGCTCCCATAGGGGGATTGGAGATGAATTCCTCTAAATCCTGACCCAAGTAATCTTTGTGACTAGGTTTTCCTGTAGGGTAGTTGGAGAGAAATTCTTCTAGATCCTCAGGCTCTGGTGGGGCCTCATAACGGCGAGGAACAACATGCCAATCGATATGCTCACAATCAGGGACGATTTGTTCTGAAGGAAGATCATTCTCGGGGTCAAATGCGCCTTCTCTGTGTAATGAGAAGTCCTCTATACTATCCATATCCTGATATAGAGATCTCTCGCTCGAGCTGATCAACGACGACTGATCGTCGGTGCTGCCGGATGTACTTTGGTGATCGGCCGAAACATCCATCTCTACATCCATGGATATCAAACGCAGCGTGAGAAGCATTATTCCCTGAAGATGCGCAGCCACATGGCTTGCAATCAATTCCAAGCTGGCGGGGTTGCTCGAGGATGGGCCATAAGTGATCTTTGGTTCACGATGCTTGTTTTTCGTTTTCAGATTGCTTTCATGGTTGTGATCCAAGTGTGTGCGGCCAGTCTCTGTCTTGATGCGCTTGTTTTTATTTTCCCGACTTGCTTCATTACGCGGCTGCTCGGAAGATGGGTATCCATTGTCATTGCCCCTCTCCTTAGATAGAGAATCTAGTTGGCCCCTCACTGGTAGACAACAGAGAGGGCATATATCTTGCGCACGAGAGGACCGAAACCGACTCTGTCGCACGATTGCCTGTACCTGAGTCACTGTGAAAGTTCCTGCATGGAGATTTTCAAGGTGCCCAGTAAGGTCGTTCGGCCTGGAAAAAGTAGAGTCTTCATCGCTACACAGTGGGCAGGCCCATGATGGCGGCACATTAACTTCACGATGCCACAATTTACCATGAGCGGTAACCATGTGCTCCAGCCACTGCGTCGAGGTCGCAAATCTCCTCAACGATTTAGAGCAATTTTCCGAGATACAAACGTAGGGCTCATGATCTTCATTCACATGCCGCCTAGGACTTGAGTGTCAGAAAATTCACTCATTTCTCAAGAGAGCGGAATGGGCTCGAGGATTTCTTACCGCCACTTGGCCCCCTCAAATGAGTCAGTTGGGAGGGGGCTAAAGCACCACTCGCAGGTCGAGCTTCCTTTGGCGGGTTGGGGGTAGTCCACTTGATTAACCAATATAGACATTGTCTTGTCATTTACTGTGGGGCTCAAAGTTTTCTGGAACCTTTTTCTGACTTCCTGACTGTTCACGGTCGTTGGCTCAGATATGAGTAACGTATGGGCTGAACGACGTTGAAGCATCCTTGTAGTAAAGTTTTCGCCTCCCTGGCGTACTTTTATCTGGTTATCCATGGGGCTTTCCACGTCACCATCTCCGTCAGGCTCCTCTGCGATAGTAGATAGTGGTATTGCTGTTCGGGGACGTGACCGGGGGACCTGAAGCTGCTCCTGGCGATCTTTGCGATGAAGGAACCGAGTGTAGGTTTCTGTCATGGATTGGGTGAGCTGTTCAAGGAGCTCTACGCTTGCGTCGGGATAAAGCGTCTTCATGGACAGGTACGCTACTCCCTCAAAAGATGCCAAATCAAATTTCTCCGCGAACTTTCTAGCCTTTATTGCCTGGTTTGTCACTGACGATTGTCGGATGGAGATTCCCAGATGATTGAGGCGTTCAATGGCCCCCGAAATTGCCTCCAGGTTGTAAATGCTAATGCAAAGGGGTTGCAGTGATGGCTGGCACGCATCGGACAACCCAATGTCAATGCGATCAGAGGAGTCATCTCGATCAAAAACTACGTATACAGTTAGTACTTATTGTTTTGCTGCGGACGCAGGAGGAAACACAGTGTATCAGGCTTCTCAGCACGATGTCAAGCAGAAGGAGCACTTGATCTTGAATCTCGACGTGGCGTCGAAGCCTACGATCCAAGCACATATTCGATTCAGCAAAGACACCCAAAAAGGCTGTCCAGGCGGCGAATCGCTGGCTCAGCTCTGAGAGAATCTTGGCGCCATTGGGCTGGTCTTCATCTTTTAGCCTGGTAATCTGTTGTACGAACAGCCTTTCACATTCAACAGCGAGATCATATATCGGTTCCTCATCCTCGATAGCTTCCATGGTGACTGATTCTGCGATAACAAAGGCTCGAGACGACCCCGCAAGCGCCCTGACAATATAACCTTGGAAGGCGTCGGCGACACGTAAAATATCTGTGTCACTCAGGATTGTTCGGACAGAGGATTCAGAAAGGGCTAACAGAGAAGCATATACTGACGCATTTCACGATGTGAAGGTTGAACCAACCGGGCACATTCTGGGACCCCCCCCCCCCCGGGTCCCTCCCGATCGGGAAGCCCCGCTTAGGAAGCCCCGCTTTTCCTGATCAGCTAAACTTCCTGAGGAACGTTTCATGGGGATCATGAACGCTAATAGCACCTCTCAGGAGCAGCAATATCCACAAGATAACTATGCTTCTCACAGGATCGCTTGGTTGGATCGGTATTCAAGCTGTCAAGTCACGGTTGATTGGCAGACTTGCGAGGTTTACGAGGAACACACAGCCCGACAGCCGCCCGCAAAAATTGCAGAACGATGCTGCCTTTTTTGAAGCCGATCTGCGCTACATCCTCACGGCAACACCTGTGGGTGCTGATTTCTCCGAGCATGACTATGCCGACATGGATCAAATGGCACAAGATCTTTTGGCTTCGCTAAATGACATGGTCAATGGAGATCTCATCGGTCCTCTGGGAGCAACATGGATCGGCCCTCACGACATTTCCCTACTTAGAGTCAAGTACCCACGATTGACTTCCCTGATTGCTTTTTTAGATATGTCCATGGACGAGTTCAACCTGACGACCGGCTCAGGCTCAGTTCTATTCATACTGCCTCAAGGGCAAGCCGGAAGTCTTGCGATGGAACGGATAACCAATTTGAAAGCATTTTTACAACGTTTCGCGGCCAACACTCAGAAATCGCAAGGCCTTCAGATCATTTCCCCGCCACAAACAGAATTGTCGGAGAAAGTGTACACACAGGGCCAACCTGGCGTGCATGTGAAGCGAGCGAGCATTGTGGTCAACGCAATATTCAAGGAGTTTCGACAACTCAGTTGTGGAGAAGCACACGAAATCAAGCTGAGGGTATCAGATGAGTGGCAAACCGGTCCTTTTGACACCATTTTGGATATATTCGTTTCCTGTTGCCCAGACGGAAGTATTTGGCAACAAGCCAAATGTGGTACATTTCAGTACGTTTGTACTAATACCATAAACCTAATAGGTTTTATTTTGACCGATTGATAGTACAACGATGGACGAGAGTGAGAATAACAGTTTATGCGGAGCGATTCAACGAGCAAGGGAACGGAGTAGAACACTCTATCTGTTCGTTAACCAGCGAGGGTTATTTGATATATCGGATAAAATGCCACCAATACTGTCAAGCTTGGATAAATTTGCCGCAGAGTCCCTCGGTGAACTACTCGATCAAAAGGCTTTCATTCGGATAACTCCTCAAGACTACCTAAAAGGTGCAGCGATCGAGAAAGTTAGTTCTCGAGAGAAGGCGACTCTAGCTCTTTCGCTTGCGAGATGTCTGATGGACTTCTTCGACGAGGATCTCGAACTGGCTTCATACAGTTGGAAACCAGAGACCATATACTTCCTACGCTCCGCCGGAACTCATGCCAGTAGCCGTGTGCTCTACATTTCGCTCAGGCCGAATTTTTCGAGCTCTAGATACCCCGACTTACTCAGGACAGTACGACCCGGCAACCCGATCCTGCTTTCATTTGCCAGGCTCCTGCTGGAGATTGACAACGGCGAGAAGATCCCAATGACTATATATCCTGAAAGCGTAGCCAACGTGTCGACATGGGGGCAGATGTGCGACTTCGTTCACGTGGCAGGAAGACAAGGAAATAGCAACTACCTGCAGGCTGTGGAAGGGTGTCTGTATCTACATATGGCCCTGCCAAAAATACAAGGCCAACCAACTGGCCCAGCTGCCAGTGAAGTTTTGAGGAAGGCTATCTACGAGAAAATAGTCCGCAATCTTGAGCTTATGGTGAATCCACAGAGCTTGAAGCGGAAAAGATCGGTTTCATTCTCCGAGCCTCCGCAGGAGAAGAAACTTTCGATCTCATCGCCAGCAGACATAGAGTCCCCGGGGATGTTACCCTGCCATGCTACCAAGACGAGGATTGCCCGCCCTGCTAGTCGCGATAAATTCGAGATTGCAATAGTATGTGCATTACCGCGCGAGTACGATGCCATGTATTTTCTCATCGATGAAGTCTGGGACGAGGACTCCGACTACTATGGGGGGGTCGATGGGGATACGAACATATATACGGCTGGCCGGATTGGGAAGTTCAACATGGTTCTGGTACTTCTTCCGAATATGGGCAAGGTTAGCGCTGCTGGATCATCCGCCAGCCTTCGATTGAGCTATCCAGGACTTAGGCTTGTCGTTCTGACTGGCATTTGCGGTGGTGTACCCTGTCCAGGAGGGGATGAAGAGCTTCACCTAGGCGATATAGTCATTAGCAGGCATATTGTCCAGTACGATCTTGGTAGGCAATATCCTGACAAGTTCCACATGCGAGATACTGCGGAGGATGGCCCTAGCAGAGCCCCTAAAAACATACGCAACTTGCTTGCTATAATTGAGACGACTGTTGGGCGTGAGAGACTCGAGCAAAATACTGCACTTTACCTCCAAGAAATCCAAAAGATGGCCGCTCTAAAGCGGCGCGGTACCAAATACCGGTATCCAGGATCCTCACAAGACAATCTCTTCCAGTCGAGCTACCAGCACAAGCATCACCTTTCCCTGCAATGTGTCTGCGCAAAAGATCACAAAAATTCAGCGACTGTTTGCGAGGAGTCCCGCCAGCTCTCATGTGATGACCTCGGATGCGATAAGAAGCACCTAGTTCAACGGGAGCGACTCAAGTCAAAGCAACAACTAGAGCAGGAGGGGCGTGACACGGATGCCCAAGCCCCGTCAATATTCGTTGGGCGTGTCGCATCAGGCGATTCTGTGATGAAGTCTGGCGAGGACCGTGACAAGATTGCCAAGCGTCACAGTGTGATTGCATTCGAGATGGAAGGCGCTGGGGTGTGGGACGAAGTACCCTGCATTGTAGTCAAAGCCGTCTGTGACTACGCAGACAGCCACAAGAACAAGATATGGCAAGACTTTGCAGCCGCAACGGCAGCATCTGCCACAAAAGCGCTACTGAAACAGTATGGGCGGGTTGGGCACGAATAAGACCGGGTGTGGCTTGGTTTTTCATCCTTTTCGAAATTCGAAAAACACCTCATTCCCACTTTCTGGATTGTACGACCAGTTGTGTGGTACCGGGACTTTGTGGACAACATCCTGGTCATGTATCGGCGATACCGACTCCCTCAACTTAGAGATGAGATGACTATGACTCATCTCCCTGAGCGCTATCCCAGGGGGTCGTCCGGCCGGACTTAACAGCAGCGTATGTTTGAGATAAGTGACCCCATTGTAGCTGTAGGGGTCAGTCAAGTCGATGCTTCCCTGGTAGACAGGAATGCAATAGTGGGGGATACTCCATTTGGATGTGAGAATCAAATTCAATAATTTCTTATGTCTAGGCAACGTTGATATATACAGTGAAGATCTCCCCAAAGTTGGAGCGAATATCTCTGGTATCTGAACGGTGCCTAGTGTTAGTAAATAGCTATAACGTATTCCACAAGCGAACCGGCCACCCCAAAACACCATGGTAAATGCGATATATTCTACATTTATATTTCAACAACCAACTTTTCATTTTATCTTCTTATTTATCGATAGTTATTGATAAGATATATTAGCACTATATATCAATCTTAAAGGAGTTATGAGACTATATTATTATTATTTCAAAAATTACCGAAAATTACGTTACTAGAAAGTAGAAATATATATATCGCAATGACAAAGTCATATATATTTCCTAAACTCCCTAGAGAGGCTAGAAACTACCTCAAAGGTATTAGGCTATATTTAAGGAAATCTCTATATAGGCCACTATTGTTAAGATATCAAGTTGCAATATATCGCATTTACTACGGTGTTTTGGGGTGGCCGGCTCGCTTGTGTGGCCGGTTCGCTTGTGAAATACGTTAGAAATACCAATTTAGTCACGATGCTGACGGGATGGGCCTCGGGGGCTCTGAGTAGTAGGCTATCGTGGAGCTCGCTCTTCTCTCTTTTCACATTTGGTATGCAGCAAGGGTCGGTCACATCGAGACAAACCTTCGTTTATTTACTTGCCAGCACCGAATCTTTAAACCGGAAATGCCTAATACCCCCGTATCATGACGTGAAATTTGAGATAATCCTTTGGATTTCAATTTTGCTATGTACAATGTAATATGTCCTTCTCGAATATTCAAAAGCCCTCCAAGTCTTGTTCTTAAAGCTTAGACTTCATGTTCACATGAATAGCCTTAATATTTGAGTAAGCAGCAAGGCCAGCCTCTCCAAGCTCGCGACCAATACCAGATTGCTTCACGCCACCAAATGGAATACGCCAATCGCTATCATTGCTAGAGTTGATCCAGACCATACCAGCCTCAATCTTTTTAGCCACTCGGTGGGCGCGAGTCAAGTTCGTCGTGAACAGGGCGCTTCCAAGACCATAAGTAGAGTCATTGGCCATCTCAATAGCATCCTTCTCCTCACTGAATCGGGCAATGACCACGAAAGGACCAAAGACCTCCTCTTGGTAGATACGCATCTTGGGCGTAACATCGGTGAAAATAGTAGGCTCAACGAAGAAGCCCTTGCCATCACCAACACCAGTGAAAGGCTTGCCACCAGCAACAAGAGTGGCCTTCTCAGACTTACCGACATCAATGTAAGACATAATGCGGTCATACTGAGCCTGCGTCACCTGTGGACCCTGGAAGGTCGACTCCTCGAACGGATCACCGACCTTAGAGACATTCTTCACCTGAGCCTTGAATGCCTCCAAGAAACGGTCGTAGATCTCGTCCTGTACCAGAATGCGGGATGTGGCCGTACATATTTGGCCCTGATTGTACATGATACCGATATGCGCCCATTCAACGGCCTGCTCGAGATCCGCATCGTTGAACACAATGAGCGGGCTCTTGCCACCCGTCTCTAGGGTGATATTCTTCAAGTTCACGCTGGCCATCTTCATAATCTGCTTGGCTGTGGCCGTGCTGCCTGTGAAGGCGATCTTGTCCACGTCCATATGTGAGGCGAGTGCAGCTCCGGCGATGGCACCGTGTCCGTTCACGATATTCACCACGCCGGGAGGGAAGCCTGCTTCTACGATCAGGTTGGCAAGGAAGAGGATCGAGAGAGGGGTTTGCTCCGCTGGCTTGAGAACGACTGTGTTTCCGCAGGCGAGGGCGGGACCGAGCTTCCAGGCGGCCATAGCGAGGGGGAAATTCCATCTTTAGTGTCATAGTTAGCAATCGATTTCGGCGACGCTTGATCGCAGGTCTTTGTGACTTACGGGATAATTTGGCCACAGACACCAACGGGCTCCCGCACAGTGTAGGCAAACTTATCCGGGGTGGTATCGATAACCTGGCCAAACACCTTATCGGCGTATCCGCCGTAGTAACGGATTGTCTCGGCGGTCTCGGTCAGGTCGTCATTGAAGGAAACGGAATACGGCTTTCCATTGTCGATTGTCTCGATAGTGGCGAGCGTGGCGCGGTTATCCTCGATGAGCTGGGCCAGGCAGTTCATCAGTTTGCCGCGGTCAATGCCGGGCAGGTCGCGCCAACATGGGTTATTCAAAGCAGCACGAGCTGCCTTGACGGCCTTGTCGACATCGTCGGCGGAAGCTGCGTGGATTGATGTGATTTCCTTTGCGGTTCTATTTTTAACACAAGTCAGTTATGGCCTTAACACACGGAAGCTTAGTCTTCAATTTCTCACGTACGTGGGATTGATGCTGGCAATCTTCTCGCCAGTCGAACACTTGACCCATTGGTTATTGATGAACAAGCCGGTGGGCTGGGTCCAAGTGTGGCCGTTAGGGGCAGTGAGTTGAACGGATAAATTGGCCATGATTGTATGTGATTTGTGTTATGAGTCTCTTCTAGGTAAGAGAAGATAGTGAAGCTAGATGAGATGAATTTGTAACGAGTTCTTAAACTTGAGCTCAGCTATGGAAATTGCGATGAGTGCCTCGGCTGGACATGCCATTCCAGGCAGCTTATCGGAGACATCATGGTCCAGGGACCGACCCCACACGACAGAGATAAACCTCCGGATTTTTGAAGCTCAAAACGGGAAGAAGATGGAGGGGACTGTGGTGGATTGACTGGAGACAGGCCGAAATCGCCGTTGATAAGCCGAGCCGCTAAACCAAAACAGGCAAGTCCACCCACAGGCTGTTACATCCTTAGGTTAATGATAATCTGAGATGAATTGCTCTTCTCTTTTACTTGTGTAATTTGAATGTCTTTCGTTTTTCCTATATATAAAGGTGATGAATTCGTGATAAACATGCCTTAATGGACTACGTAGGGGCTCCAGGGCTGTAGAGGCTTACATCACATCCATGTGCAAATAAGCTTGATTTAACGTCTTGGCATCCCCAACCCTGCACAGCCGCATTCTCCCCTAATTCGTCTATCAGATCAGATATTGTCAAATTAGGGCAGGTCTTGCCTAGCGTCAATGCACGGTCTTTCCTACAAGACTTGCCTTATTAGGCTGACCACTAGCAGATGACTGTGGCCAACACATCTTTCCGAACCGTTGCAATGCAATTGGCTGGAGAATTTCGATGGCAAACGCTTTACGCAAAAGATATTATGACATAGAATCAAATTCTCAGACAAATGCTGTGCAAAGACACATCTTCTCCAGACTTTATCCAAAATTGAGCAACGGCGAGAGAACCCACTTTCGGGGACGTTCGCTCACTTTGTCCGAGTTGCTTATATTGTAGTTCCAAATCCTGATTACCCGAATGGGAAGGTACATGCGGGGGGAGATCCTATGAGATGTTCAAGGTCCATTAGCTATATAAGGTCTATCGTAGCTTTGGGATGGAATTTTTTGGTTTTCTACAACCTCACAACTCTCTCTCTCTTTCCCCTTGATAACCCTTACACACCTTCATCATGGCGTCTGCCCCTGATACCGAGTCAATTCCTGGCTACACAATCTTCCGTGAGGGAGATTATGAAAGTGTTGCTGCCGCAGCAATGCTGCCGCAAGGCACCCCGCATCCGTTAGGTATGACATGTCTTTAAATAAACTCTGAGGGTACTACTAACTCCAAACCATAGATCAACTTTCTATCAAGGAAATTCCCGACGCGGCAAAGATCATCCGGGATTATGCCAACCCCAAGTCCATCAAGTTCAACTGCCTCACACTCCGTGAACCCCGCAAAGCGGAATACCGGGCATTCCGTGCTGGCACCGTCCCAGCTCCTGCCCGTCGTGCTTTCGCCATTGTCATTGTCCGTGAAACCAACAAAGTCGCAGAGGTGGTGGCAAATCTCGCCACCGGCAAGGTTGAGGAATGGAAGGACGTTCACGATGTGATGCCTACCCTCACTCTAGAGGATCTTGATGTGATGGAGCGTGTTGCCCGCAAAGACCCCCGCGTCATCCGTGCCTGCAAAGATATTGGACTCACCGACATGAGCAAGGTCTTCTTCGATGCATGGGCTATCGGCATCGATGAACGCTGGGGATACGACCACCGCCTCCAGCAGGGTCTGGCTTACTACCGCAACTCTGAGTTCGATAACCAATACGCCCACCCTCTGGATTTCAGTGTTGTCGCCGACACCGATACGGAAGAGGTTCTCAGCGTCGACATTCGTTACGTTAACGGCGAGCGGACTGCTGCCCCTCTCAAGGAACACAACTACCTCCCCGAATTCATTGGCGAGAAGTACAAACACGATCGCCTCAAGCCCATCGACATTACCCAGCCTGAGGGTGTCTCTTTCAAGGTCCGCGGCAATGAGCTGACGTGGGCCAACTACAAGATGCACATTGGCTTCAACTACCGTGAAGGTATTGTCATTTCCGATGTGCGTACCCACGACATGTACGAAGATCGCGAGCGCACCCTCTTCAACCGTATCTCCGTTGTTGAGATGGTTGTTCCTTACGGCTGCCCCGAGAAGCCCCATCACAAGAAGCATGCTTTCGATGTCGGCGAATACGGCACTGGTCTGATGACCAACTCCCTAAAGCTAGGTTGCGATTGCAAGGGTGCCATTCACTACATGGATGGTGTTA